CTTACTGCAGGCCAATCTTACACAGGCAGTTTCCCAGCTGCGGATCCCTTATATTAGTCTAGCTTATGTCAAGTTGGCAAATAATAATAATAATAATAATAATAATAATAATAATAATAATAATAATAAATAAACAGCCAGCACAACATTCGACTCCACAGAGCTCAACCTAGGGCAGGTGTGTTGTATGGAAGTACTAAACCTGGAAACCATCTGTTCTTGGTACTTTGATTGGACTCCTTGTAGCATCCTTTGAAGATTCTTTCTTGAGAAAAACAGTAGTTACCAAATGGTGGTTTTTCTAATGCCATCTTTTTGTCTACATTTATTAGATAGAATTTTATAGGCAGGAATAACTTATCTTGCTGTATATTTATTGTCGTTGTGTGTGTGTGTGTGTGTGTGTGTGTGTGTAGGACAGAGGATGACTTGCTGGAGTCAGTTCTGGGTTTGCCATGTTGGGTCATAAGTACCTTTACCCTTTACTCATTATACCAACTCATTATACCTATTTAATTGATTCATTTGCTACCAAAGCGTGCAATGCTGAGTTCCATTTTATGAACTATAGTCTAATATTTATTTTTTTGCTTAAATTGTCCAAGATTTGGCCAGTAAATTGTCCCTGGTTTCTGCAGCCACCCTCATTTTTAATACTTCCTTACTTTCTGCCACTTTAGCTTTTTAAGGTTCATTTGGTACTTTTCCTGCCATTGGAATTGTTTGTTTCAAAGTGGACCTAATCTGATTTGTTTTAAAATAGAAATATTAAAGCACTGAAAGAAACTAAGTGGATAATCTCTAAGGAGACACCAACATAAGCCCCTGTAGTTTAGGATTGTCAAATCCAATAGGCAAAAATAGAAATGGATAGACATAAATAGTTCACAGGAAAAAATGAAAATGATTTGTAAACATAAGATGTTCATGCTTATTTACAAATGGAGATTGTAAGATTACCCTGCAATACCAAGAGTTTGAACACACTTAAACTGAAAAGAGACTGGGTGTGTGTGCATTGCTTAAAGGAATATAAAAATCCTTAGGTTTGGGGGGAAAAGCTAAAAATACAACAGACATGCACTTTTAGATCTGTCCTACTGTGAGGATTCTACACTGAACATCAGCTTCCACAAAACAAACAGCATACTCACGGAGTTATTTATGGTGTATTTTAGTAACAAAGGATTGAAGGCAACCCAGATGGCCATTCCTGGAAGACTGAATGTAAAACAACACCCACGTGATGGAAAACTGCAGTGCTTAAAAAAATAATTGATTATGTGCTACTGTGTAGTGATTACTAGAGTATCTAAGATTTTTTTTTTTTTTTTGGTTTTTCGAGACAAGGTTTCTCTATGGCTTTGGAGACTGTCCTGGAACTAGCTCTTGTAGACCAGGCTGGCCTCGAACTCACAAAGATCCGCCTGCCTCTGCCTCCCAAGTGCTGGGATTAAAGGCATGCGCCACCAACGCCCGGCTTTTAAGATATTTCATAAGTCACCTGACCTGGTTTTTTGAGATAGGGTTTCTCTGTGAAACAGTCCTGGCTGTCCTGGAACTCACTTTGTAGGCCAGGCTGGCCTCAAACTCACAAAGATGCTCCTACCTCTGCCTTCCTCACCATTTTAGCTGTGTGCAGTGGCACATGCTTTTAATCCCAGCTCTCAGGAGGCAGAGACAAGTAGATCTCTGTGAGTTCCAGGCCATGGTTTCCAGAGTGAGACACTTGCAGAATGTCTGCAATGAAGCTGGTTTGCTGGAAGTTGAGCTTCAGACAGCCACACTGTCTAGAGATGTACAGCTAAACACTGACAGGAACAAACTGGCTAGAGATGTACAGCTAAACACTGATATGAACATTAGATATTTTCTCTAAATCTGACTAAATTAGGGCTATCAGGAAATGGGAATAAGTTTTTAGTAGATGCTGACTCTGATGACACAGATGGTACAACTCTTAGAATGGAGAGAGAGCATGTGTACAAAACTCTTTTCCTTCTTGATTTTTTTTTTGAGACATAGTCTCTCTAGTCTTGGCTGGTCTGCCTCTGCCTCCCGAGTGATAGGATTAAACACATGCACCACCACACCTGGCTTGCGTTCTTTTTTTATAGTAAGTAAACATTTTTGTCCTTACTGTCTTTTCCCCGATAGTTCTAGAAACATTAGAATCCCACAGTGTTAGCTGGGCAACATGGACACTAGGGCCTCCAAATCTTTTGGACTTATAACAGGCTTGGTTACTATCAGGACCAGTTGGACTCCCAAATTGCACTGATTAGGGCCATGTGACTACCACCCTTCTCATGAAACCAGATGTCTGACTAGCAAAGTACTGTTTGCCTAAGCAGACCCAGATTCAGTAATTTGTATTGGGCTTGATCATCTCCATGACCCCAGGGGGATACCTGTTTACCTTGGTGAGGCCCATGCAGCCCACCACAGAGGACTGGAGGTCAGTACAGACTGGAAGTAAGATGGCTGGGCAGAGAGAGAATATAAGCAGGAAGGAACAGGAACTTGCTCTCTAGTCTGCTGAAAGCTGAGGAGGTAGGTAGGGTATGAGTATGACTTGCTCCTTTTTTCTGACTTTTTTTGCACAAGCAACATATCATCACATTGGTGTCTTCAGCATCATGGGTCTCTACCAAATGAATCACATTGGCATGCACACACATGAAGATAAGCTTGGATCCTCTTCCCAAGTTTCCTGTTCTAAGAATGACATTCAGAATGTTTGTGCTAATGCCATGAAGTGAGTGCTCTTTTCCTTGTTTTCAGTTTTCCAGCCACAACAGCCCAACCACAAGACTGGAGCATGTGTTGGGCTCAGGCAGGAGGCTTACGGCATGTGGATTGAGGCTGACTAATATAACCTGAGAGCAAGCAGATCATTTTTCTCGTGGCTCTTTATTCTTCAAGAAATGTTCTTCCCAGAAGCTCTCCCTCAAAAAGCTCTCTTTAAGGTTTCCAAAAGTTCAAAAGCCAGACATTGGTGACACATGCCTTTGATCCCAGGACTTGGGAGGCAGAGGCAGGGGGATCTCTGTGAGTTTGAGACCAGCCTGTCTACAGAGTGAGTTCCAGGACAGCCTCCAAAACAATACAGAGAAACCCTGTCTGGAAAAAACAAACAAACAAAAAACCCAAAAACAAAAACAAACCTCCAGAATTCTCTAAAAGCTGTTTTTTTTTTTTTTTAAATCCCACATGGCTTCCAGTTTATATACCCAATACAAATACAATTAGCAACTCTCTGACAATAGCAGGGATATCAGGCATGCATCTCTCTCAGAACCAGGAAGGCAGATAAAATCTTGAGGAAAGTGGGCACCTCATATCTTGGGGGGGGGGGGGGCATGACTTGTAAAGCATCCAGGCAAAACTCAAAAGGTAGGGTAAGGGTTAAATGGATTAAGGGGCTATGTGAAATCCAGAGGCTATAGCTCTTATCCCCTGATGCCCTGGTGAGAAGGAATTTCCTTTCCCTGGGGCATTTTTGAGAATATAAAGCACCCAGTATATATACTTTATATCAAGATTATACAGCCAAATTCACAGCCACAGAAATTGTGGAGTCTGTATGTCTTACAGATTTTGCAAGACAAATTTTTTCCTTCAGAAGTTAATTCTAGTGGGTTGATACCTTCAATATCCATTGCTACTTCTGTAATAAATGATAAAGGCTCCCAGCAAGCATGGAGTTGTCTAAGGCTTTGATAGCTTTAAGAATTATACTTATTGCACCATCATAGATGAAGACTATTTAATCTATAAAAAAGTCCTGTCCTGTCACCATCGCCCCCACCCCCAAGTGTTGATGGCACACACCTGTAATCCCAGCAGCACTCTAGAGTCAGAGGTGGGCAGGGCAGATCTCTGTGAGTTCAAGGCTAGCCTGGTCTATTGAGTGACTTTTAGTGACAGGGCTACGCAGAGAAACCCTGCCTCGAAAAACCGAAACCAAAACAGAAAAAGGGTGTGGCCTGTTGATGTACTAGACTATCATTTACTAGAAAATCCTAGTGACTCCTCAAAAAAAGCTACCAGAACTAAAAAGTAAATATAGCAAAATGACAAAATAGAAGATCAGTAAAACTCACTTGTATTTATAATATCATTTCTAATAATAGAAAAAATGAAAGTTTAGGAATAAATCTAATAAATAGATGCAGATGCAAGTTATATGTACTGATGGGATAAAAATCTAAATATATCTAAAATGGAGAGAGCTTATTAATGAAATGTAAAACAGTAGTATAAAGATGTCTATTTTCCCCCAAATTGATCCATAAGATAAACTTAACCAAAGCCAAGGAGACTTTAAAAAACATTTTTGCATCTGGATGATTTCTCTCTGTGTGTTTTGTGCACCATGTGAACACAGTGCTTATGGAGGCCAGAAGAGGGCAGCAGATCCCCTGGAACTGTAGTTGTGTGGTGCTCAGAATGGAACCCAAGCCCCTTGGAAGCATAGTCAGTGATTCTAACCTGAGCTATCTCTCCATCCTCCATATGGCTTTTTTTTTTTTAAGATTTATTTACTTATGAATACAACATCCTGCCTCCATGTACGTCTGCAGGCCAGAAGAGGGCATCCAGGGATCTGTCTGCCTGAACCACATGCCCAGGGTTGGGATACAGGTGCTCCCCTCACCACATGGGTGTGGGCATCAGACACATGTCCTTGTGTTTTTGAAGCCAGTGCTTTACCAACTGAGCCATCTCCCAGGCCCAGAGGGAATTCTTGAGTACAGCTTTCAGAAAAGTTGGTAAAGTGTCCGTGTATTCTAATAGAAAGAACAGTCCTTTTCTTGTTGTGCGATTAAGAAACTCCGTCAACACACCTCAAGTTGAAAGAGGTCTATAAATTTTAAGTAGTTGTATTGTTAACGATAAAGAATGTTTTTGAAGTTTTATGAAAATGAAATTAAGGTAGTCAGTTTGAAATAACATTCATGTATAAAGTATATTCATTCATATTTTTTTTCTTCTAGTTACTGTTTCTGGAAAAGGAGAAAACGGTAAGACTCTTAATCGACCTTTAAGTAGAGTAATTTGTAACCAAGTACTTTTCATTTGGTGGTGAATACATGTGTTTTTGTTTTCCTGAAAGAAAATATGTATCTTTAACCTTTAAGTGATTAAAAGGAGAAAGAAGCTGGGTTTCTTCCCAGGCGGAGAAGTCTCTTAAAGATTAACGGAGCTTTCATAATGCCTAAATGCTAGGGATTGGTTCATTGTCCGTGTTTGTTCAGAATAGCACGCTAGTATTCACAGATACTTAACTAAATAAGTAGACTTTAAATTTGTATTATTAGGTCAAGGGAATACAAGAGTTTATAATGACCAATCAGACAATGCCTGGGGGGTGGGAAATCCTGAGAATTTCACTAGAATTTAAGAAAACTTTAGTAGTACCACTGAAGTAAAATTTCAAAAACAAAATTAGATTTCAACATACAAAAACCCAAAGAATTCTAAAACATCTGAAACAGTTGAACAATTAGCAGTTGTTAATATTTATTTATTTAATTTTTTCAAGACAGGTTTTCTCTGTGTAGTTCTGGCTGTCCTGGAACACACTTTATAGACCATGCTGGTCTCCAACTCACAGAGATCCTCTTGCCTTTGTCTCCCGAGTGCTGGGATTAAAGGTGTGCGCCACCACACCCAGCTAATAAAAACTTTTTTAAAAAAGTACGAAATGGAAAGAAATTGAAGAGGAAGTACCTTTTCTGTGTTGACTACCCTAGTTTGAGAGCGTTACATGTAGACATGAATTACTACACCCTTTCCTTAAAATGTATGGCTACTGTGCATCAGTTTAACGGAAATGTGAGCATGTGTGTGGGCCAGAGATCAAACTTGGATGTCCTTCCTCTGGAACTGTCCACCTTGAGTTGTGTTGTTCTCTTTTCATCCAACCTTGTCCAGATGTGTCCTCTTCCACCCTGTCAGTGACTGGGCTAGGTTGTCTGGCCACCCAGGGATCTGTCTGCCTGAACCACATGCCCAGGGTTGGGATACAGGTGCTCCCCTCAGCACACGGGTGTGGGCATCAGACACATGTCCTTGTGTTTTTGAAGCCAGTGCTTTACCAACTGAACCATCTCCCAGGCCCAGAGGGAATTCTTGAGTACAGTTTTCAGAAAAGTTGGTAAGGTGTCCTGTATTCTAATAGAAAGAACAGTCCTTTTCTTGTGAAATTAAGGAACTCTGTCAACACCTCAAGTTGAAAGAGGTCTATAAATGTTAAGTATTTGTATTGTTAACGATAAAGAATGTTTTTGAAGTTTTATGAAAATGAAATTAAGGTTAATACTCAATTTGAAACAAAATTCATATATAAGGTATATTCATTCTTTTTTTTTCTTCTTCTTCTAGTTACTGTTTCTGGAAAAGGAGAAAACGGTAAGACTCTTAGTTTACCTTTAAGTAGAGTCATTTGTAACCAAGTACTTTTCATTTGATGGTGAATACATGTGTTTTTGTTTTACTGAAAGAAAATATGTATCTTTAACCTTTAAGTGATTAAAAGGAGAAAGAAGCTGGGTTTCTTCCCAGGCGGAGAAGTTTCTTAAAGATTAACGGAGCCGTGTTGGTAAGGCTCCTAGTACTGCTTCATGTAAATTTGTATATTTCTGCCTTGTGTGCTCCTCAGAGCTGTCCATTTCAATTCTGATAGCAGTCATCACTGCACTGGGGACAGGTCTGCTTTCATAATGCCTAAATGCTAGGGATTGGTTCATTGTCTGCTTTCATAATGCCTAAATGCTAGGGATTGGTTCATTGTCCATGTATTTGTTCAGAATAGCACACTAGTATTCACAGATACTTAACTAAATAAGTAGACTTTAAATTTGTATTATTAGGTCAAGGGAATACAAGAGTTTATAATGACCAATCAAGCAATGCCTGGGGAAGGGAAAATCCTTCCTAAGAATTTCACTAGAATTAAAGAAAACTTTAGTAGTACCACTGAAGTAAAATTTCAACATACAAAAACCCAAAGGATTCTAAAACATCAGAAATAGTTGAACAATTAACGGTTATTAATATTTATTTTTGAAATTAGTTAAAATCAGTATTTTATTATTTGTTAGTTGTCTGTTCATTGTATCACAAATAGCGTAATTTATTTAATTGAAAATGTATTTTAAAGCAAACCAGTTTGTTTGTGTGCATGGAGAGTGGAACATTCCTCAAGGAATAGTAAATGTTAAAAGAAGAGTTGAAGAGTCTGTTTATGCTAGTCTTAGTTGTAAGTAACTAAGAAGTTTAAAGTACTTCAGTTTTGACATCTGTCTTAAAACTGGTAGTGTACAGTCCAGTGGTTCTCAGGCTTCTAATGCTGTGGCCATCTGCTACAGTTCTTCATGTTGTGGTGACCCAACCATAACACTATTTTCATTGGGGCTGGAGAGATGAGTCAGAGGTTAAGAGCACTGACTGCTCTTCCAGAGGACCTGAGTTCAGTTCCCAGCAGTCACATGGTGGCTCAGAACTATCTATTATGAGATCGGGTGCCCTCTTCTGGTGTGCAGGCAAATATGCAGTCAGAACACTGCATATGTAATAAAAATATGTAAATAAATTTAAAAAATATTTTTCATTGCTACTTCATAACTATACTTTTGCTACTGTTATGAATCGTAATAGAGATATTTTTGGTAGTAGAGGTTTGTAAAGGGGTGGAGGCCCACAGGTTGAGAACCACCGGTGTAGGTGAAGATGCTAACTTGATTGAAGCAGTTAAGGAAAAGAAAAATGAATACAGGAAGTACTGGTAAAATATAACTTCAGAGTCCGTGAATGGCCTCAGAACCGGTGTCAGAGAAGGGAGATAAGCCCCAGATGAGTTTCCAAAGGAAAAACCAACTAATCAGTGGTTTTTAAGTCACTGAATAGACTATGAGATTGACCTCAAGGGAACAGACGACATCGAGAAAGAAATGCAGCTTGCTGAGAGGCCAGGGTTTTTAGTGTGGATGACAATATTAGTGGAAATATGGAAGGAAGTGGTGATTAAGGTTTATTTTGAATTCAGATATTAGCACAGAAGCAGAACTGCTGACTAGTTAAATGCTGGCTAAAAAAAAAATGGAGGAAAACATTCTTCGATGATAGAAGTGAAAAACTTTAGATATTTTTCAAGCAGTCGTAAATTTCAGTTCTAGTATAAAGGTTTCCTACAAGTGACATTAAATTCCCTGAGCCCCAGTGTTCACACTCCTAAGGGTTAGAAAGAAGGTACATGTCATGTGCTAAGAGGCTTTCAGGAAGAAGCAATGGAGGTTTGAGTAGCTAAAGCCAAATGGGACTAGAAAGTCTCCTAGTTTTTTAGGGCACACTGGTGTTTCGCATGTATTAATTTACTTTTTTTGTTTTTGCTTGTTTTTTCCTGAGACAGGGTTTCTCTGTTTAACAGTCCTTGAACTCACAGAGATCCAGCTGCCTCTGCCTCCCGAGTGCTGGGATTAAAGGCAAGTGCTACCACTGCCAGACTTAATTTATCACTTTTTTTTTTTTTTTTTTTTTTTTTTTTTGGTTTTTCGAGGCAGGGTTTCTCTGTGGCTTTGGAGGCTGTCCTGGAACTAGCTCTTGTAGACCAGGCTGGTCTCAAACTCACAGAGATCTGCTTGCCTCTGCCTCCCAAGTGCTGGGATTAAAGGCGTGTGCCACCAACGCCCGGCTTAATTTATCACTTTTAAGCAACTGACTTCATAGTGTTTTAATTGAAGTCTAAGCCAAATGTTAATAATAAAGAGGAACACTCTGAAAAGTAAATTCTGAGAATGGAGAGAACTTTTGAGCTTAAAAATCAGTAGAGTTCAAACTTGTTATCTTCAGAGTATAACTGTGCGACATTTCACACCCAAAAAAAAAAGAAAAAGAAAAGGTCAGGTCTCAGGTCTCACTTCCAAAAACTAACCCTACTTGTTTCAAATAGAAAAACTCCAAAATACAACAAAAGGCTTATTAATACTACATCAGTGAGTTGATAGTTGGAGTCCCAGTTGTCAAGTGGGACATTAATCTATTTGGAAAAGATTCTGGTAGAAACTCACAGTGGCTAGCTTTTTCTTGTTAACCTATGTTGAACAGGAGAATAAATTTCAAAATACTCTAACCCAAACAGGAATTGAGTTTTCAAATTTATTCATTATTTTTGGTTATATTAAAAACTTTTTTGCTTTATGTTTCCAATTCCCCTTGGCTTAATGTTCATAGTGATGGGTCCTTGTAAGTAATTTCTAACTCATTGAGAATTAACATTTAAGGAAAACTTAGTTACAGTGAGTGGCCCCTGTGGGTGCACATTGTTACACTAGCATTCTTTAACCATCCTAGCATGAGAGAAGCAGAGGCAGGAGGGCCATGAGTCCCAGTCATCTTGGACTACATAGTAAATTCAAGGCCAGCCTGTCAAATTTCTCTTTCAAAACTTCAAGGCAGCAGTGTGGTAGTGCACGCCTTTAATCCCAGCACTCAGGAGGCAGAGAGGTAGGTGACTTCCTGTGAGCTCAAGGCCAGTGTGGTCTACAAAGCGACTTCTAGGACAGCCAGGACTGTTACACAGAGAAGCCCTCAAATAGAAACAAAGCAAAAAATTCAAACCCATTTGGGAGTGGTGGCACACAGCTTTAACCCGAGCACTCAGAAGATAGAAGCAGGTGGGCCTGTCAGTTCGAGGACAGCCTGGTCTACAGAGTGAGTGCCAGAATAGCCAGGGATATGTAGAGAACCAGTCTTAAAAAAGAAAGGAAGGAAGCAGTGAGCAAAAGTGTTCAGATGTGTTTTTAGCTTAGATCCTCAGCAACCGATGTAACCACTCTCACCAAATACAGCCTTTATTCATAAACTTACGGTTTAAAGTTAATTTTATAACCTTAAACCCCGAAATACAATAATAGGCTATTTCTTACTATCTCTTACTGTTGAATCATAGAGCTAAAGGAGCTTATATATTTGATATTTAAATAAGAGTTTTTATTAAATCATGTCTTGTGACCATCCTCTTCTAATGTAATGCATTTTCTTGTTTTCACCTGGACTCAATGAAATATTGTTTGTTTTTATTTACCAGGAAAGACCGTTGTTTACCTTGTGGCTTTCCATCTGTTCTTTGTTATGTTTGTATGGTCCTATTGGATGACAATATTCACATCTCCCGCTAGCCCCTCCAAAGAGGTAAATTCTATGTTGGTAAATTGTCAAATGCTTTAACTGACTATGGAATGATGTTCCCTGTGTTAAAACCTTGCATGATACATTTGTTCTGTTTCCATTTGTAAAATTCCTTGGTAATGTGAATGTGAGTTGTTGGCTTGTTCCTCAGCACAATTTACTGACAGCATAGTAAATGTTCAGTTATACTAACACTTTCTGGCATGCTGAGTTTTCTTAAACTCTGTAGTAAAACATTGAGGGTCAGAATTGAGCTAGGAAGAAGGGCTGGTTTCTAGAAACTTCATCGTATTTTCTGAGGCATGAACAAATGTGCTGTGTCTAAATTACATGCCACTGTGGAAAACAGTTATTTAGGGTTCATCTTGCTGTGACTGCATTTCTCCTCTTGGAGGATGCACTTGGGAAATAATACAGGTAAATATTTAAGTGCAGTAGGTCTTGTAACTGGTGTCTGTCTTGCCTTGGCACAAATGAAGTACTCCCTCATTGACATTTAGTGTAGCAGAGTAATGAAGCCGCTTCTCTAGGCTGAGCATGGTGGTGGCACACTCGTGATAATATAGCTTTTGTCAGGAAGACACAGTGAGATAGCATGTACACACACACACATGCACACCACACATGCACACACATGCACACCACACATGCACACACACACACCACACATGCACACACACACACCAACACACACACACACACCACACATGCACACACACACCAACACATGCACATACACACACCACACATGCACACACATCACACATGCACAGAGTTATGATGATTTTTTATTTTTATTTTTTTTGAGACAGGATTTCTCTGTATTGTTAAAATGATTTAAGGTTGATTTTCTTTCTTTCTCTTCAACACATTAATTTCTTTTTTTTTTAATTTAAGTTAGAAACAGCCTTGTTTCACATGTCAATCCCAGCTCCCACCCCCTCCCTCCCCACCAGGTCCCCCAGCCCCCCACTCAGTCTCCACTCCAATCCCCAGGGTGGATCCTTCAGTGACTGTCATGTCATCCAGAGCAGGGCCTAGGCCCTCCCCCCAAGAGTCCCGGCTAAGAGAGCATCTCATATTGTGGCATGGGCACTCAAAGTCTATTTGTACGCCAGGGATAAATAGTACCCAAGGCCCCATAGATTACCTAGGCCTCCTCACTGACACCCACATTCACGGGTTCTGGATCAGTCCCATGTTTTCCACACAGCCATCAATCTGGAGTCCAAGAGCTCCCCCTTGTTCAGGTCAACTGTTTCTGTGGGTTAAACCAGCCCAGTCTTAACTCTTTTGCCCATCAGTTCTCCCTTTCTGACACTGGATTCCAGGAGTTCAGTTCAGTGTTTGTGGGTATCTGCCTCTGCTTCCATCAGTAGCTAGATGAAGGTTCGGTTTCCCAGACGGTTTGGCAGATGGATTGTATGCTGGCACTCCCCCTGATTCATGTCTAAAATCCATATGTGAGTGAGTACATACCATGTTTCTCTTTTTGTGACTGGGTTACCTCACTCAGGATGGTTTCTTCTAGTGCCATCCATTTGAACATATTAATTTCTGAGCTTCGGTTTTCTTGTCAGAAAATCATGCCTGTCTCTGTGGGATGCATGTGAGGACTGACGTTTTCCAATTTTTAACATACTCCTGTTTTAGGATTAATATTCAAATATTGGATGATAGTAGTGATATAATTGCTTTCTTTCATGTTAACTTTTCAAAATGTTAAAAATTATAGTATGGTCCATGGCGTGGTGGTGGTGGTGGTGGTGGTGGTAGCGGCGGTGGTGGTCCACGCCTTTAATCCCAGCACTTGGGAGGCAGAGGCAACTGGATCTCTTGAGTTTGAAGCCAGTCTGGTCTGCACAGAAAGTTCCAGGACAGCCTGAGCTACTTAGTAGAGAGATGGTGCCTCAAAAAACAAAGAAACAAAAAATTGTTTCACAAAAATTGAGTACACACATTAACCATTATGCAAGCCAGTTCAGGGAACAGAATATTCCCAACCCTCCAATTAGCCTTAGCTGGTCACCCACTGTGTCATGTATTTGGCCAACAACAGTAAGAGCGGTGATGTGTCCCTATCCCCAGCCCCACCCCACCCCACACCTGCTCCCCACACACCTGCTCCCACCTCTAGATTGAGACTACCAGGAATCAATTTCCTCTCATGGAGTGGACATCAGGTCCTAGCAGAAAGGTAGTTGATTATTTCAGTGACAGTCTTGCTGCTACTATGCCAGTAGTCACACCTTGCCGGGCAGGTACAGATATTCTAATATAGAAGTCTACTGCTGGGTAGGTCTGTTTTCTCCATCAGCAACTTGCACAGCACCTGTAATGCTATTTCACTGGTTTGTATTTTATCTTTTTTTTTTTTTTTTTTGGTTTTTCGAGACAGGGTTTCTCTATGTAGCTTTGGAGCCTATCCTTGCACTCTCTCTGTAGACCAGGCTAGCCTCGAATTCACAGAGATCCTCCTGCCTCTGCCTCCCATGTGCTGGGATTAAAGGCATGTGACAGCAACGCCCGACCTTGGTTTGTATTTTATAATTCTTTGTTTTAAAGGAAATATTTGTTTTTATTCATCTTTTAAAAAATCATTTTTTCTGGTGCCGGGCGGTGGTGGTGCATGCCTTTAACCCCAGCACTCGGGAGGCGGAGCCAGGCAGATCTCTGTGAGTTCGAGACCAACCTGGTCTACAAGAGCTAGTCCCAGGACAGCCTCCAAAACCACAGAGAAACCCTGTCTCAAAAAACCAAGAAAAAAAAATCATTTTTCTATATGTTTGTCTGTGTGAGGATGTTGGATCCTGGAGCACAGACAGTTGTAAGCTGCCGTATAGGTGCTGGGAACTGAACCCAGGTCCTGTGGAAGAGCAGTTAGTGCTTTTAACCACTGAGCCATCTCTCCAGCCCTGTTTTTATCCATCTCTGAACCTGTGCCATTTGAAAGGGTGCCTAACTTTAATTTAAAGGGTCATTATGTTTATACAGACTGTTCTGCCTGCATGTATGAATATGCACTGTGTGTGTTTGGTGCTGGTGGAGGTCAGAAAGGGGCGCTGAGTCCCCTGGAATTAGAGTTACGGACACTTAGCTGCCATGCCAGTGCTGGGAACTGAACTCACTGCCTCTGCAAAACAGCAGATGTTCTTAATCACTGAGCCAGCGTCTGTTCAGCCCCAGTGCCTAGCTCTTACTGTTCTGTTGTTATTGCTGCTGTTTTGTTTTGCTTTAGGATATGTTTATGGTTAGGCTCTGGAGTGAGCTGGTAGTCTGACTACACAGGAAGCTGAGTCGGGAGGATTGCTTGAATTCAGGAGTTTGAGATCACCCTGAGCAGCATAGCAAAACTGTCCCTTTTAAAACAATGATAATAGTTTAAAAGCATTTATTCCTAGTTGTTTGCTGCTGGGGATTGAACCCAGGACTTTGTGTGTGCTTAATTGATGCTCATCATCCTTGGTCTAATATTTAAGTGAAATTTTCTGGACATGTAATTTAAGGTAATAATGGCATGTTGTAGATTAATTTGAATTATACTCAGTAGTATTAAATGTTGTATACTCTGGTATCTGAAAATTGTAGCTTCTCGTTGTTTTACAGCTGTCTTAGTTAGGGTTTCTCTTGCTGTGAAGAGACACCATGACCACAGCAACTCATAAAGGAAAACATTTAATTGGGATGGCTTACGGTTTCAGAGGTTTACTCCATTATCATCACAGTGGGTGTTGTGCAGGCAGACTTGGTGCTGGAGGAGCTGAGAGTTTTTTACATCTTGATCAGCAGGCAGCAGGGAGAGACTATCACACTGGGCGTGGCTTGAGCATATATGAGCCCTCAGAGTCCACCTCGACAGTGACATTTCCTCCAACAAGGCCATCCCTCCTAATAGTGGCACTCCCTCTGGGTCAGGCAGTCAAACACAGGAGTCTATGGGGGCCATACCTATCTGAATTCTTAATTCAAACCAGCACAGCAATGGTGATGATGAGTGGAAGTGCAATCAGGCTGAGGTCTGGAATTCTGTTGCAGACTTGAGATGTCAGCCCAGAGGAATTGCAGATTGCTGGCCAGATTCTCTGCTAAATATTTTACTTTTCTTTCTGAAAGTGTTCAAGTGCCTGTGAGCTTATGAAAGTGTCTGTAGACTTTCACCTTAAGACAGTGTGCATCTGCTGGGCGTTGGTGGCGCATGCCTTTAATCCCAGCACTCGGGAAGCAGAGGCCAGCCTGGTCTATAGAGCCAAGTACCAGGACAGCCTCTAAAACAATACAGAGAAACCCTGTCTCTAAAAACCAAAAAAAAACCAAAAAAAAAAAAAAAGCAATGAGCATCTTTTTTTTTTTTCCAAGACAGGGTTTCTCTGTAGCTTTGAAGCCTATCCTGGAACCCACTATGTAGACCAGGCTGGCCTCAAACTCACAGAGATTCACCTCTCTGCCTCCCGAGTGCGGCGATTTAAGGCATGTGCCACCATTGCCCAACCTAACGATTTTAATCTGTGCAGTTTTGTTAAAATGTACATAAAGTTCAGTTGGAAACAAGTTTTGCTTTCATGAAGCAAGAGTATTTGGGATCCTCCCCCTGTTTCAGATAAACCTTTTCCTCAGCACACTAGCTGAGAATTACAGATTCAACAGTTCTTTCTCTCTCTCTAGTTCTACTTGTCAAACTCTGAAAAAGAACGTTATGAGAAGGAGTTCAGCCAAGAAAGACAGCAAGACATTTTGAGAAGAGCGGCCAGAGACTTGCCAGTCTACACCACATCAGCTTCAAAAGGTAAGAGAAAGAATCTGAACTTGGCAAAGGAGTTTTAAATATGTGTCTCTGTCAGGGTAGGTCTGCTTGGCTTGACTAATGACTGGGTCATGCCAGGAACACGAGTTCCTGTTTAGTGTATCATGTGTGGTATTTCAGATGTAAATGGATAGTTACCTATATTAAGTCAGGTTCTCCGAGGGGTTTACTCTAATGTAAATCTGGGTTTAGTTTGTCTTGTCCCCTTTTTCCCTAACACTCAGCCTTCTTGACTGAAACTTCCAAGTACTATTCCTAATACACTATCATCTGAAAATTCTGGTTGGAATTTAGCTATTCCACATCCTGACTAGTAATACAAGAAATTAAGAATATATGAGAAATGGGGAGAAGTGAAGACAACACAACAGGGAGAAAATTGGCCAGAATAAGGTTTTGTAAGGCCGTGACTATAAACTATGTGCTGACTTGTTTTATGTCGTCATAGCCCAAGCTAGAATCATCAGAGAGGAGGGAGCCTCAGTTGAGAAAATGCTTCCATAAGATGGGACTGTGCATAAGACTGTTGAACCTTTTCTTAATTAGTAATTGATGGGTAAGGGCCCAATCCATTGTGGGTGGGGCCATCCCTGGGCTAGTGGTCCTGGGTTCTATAAGAAAGCAGGCTGAGCAAGCCATGTTGAGCAAAGCCAGTAAGCAGCTCCCCTCCATGGTCTGCATCAGCTCCTGCCCCCGGTATCCTGCCCTGCTTGAGTTCCTGTCCTGGCTTCCTTCAGTGATGGACTGTGGTGTGAAGTGTGAGCCACATCAACCCTTCCCTCCCCAACTGGCTTGTGGTCGTGGTGCTTCATCTCAGCAATGGCAACCCTAACTAGGATAGTTTATTTGCCTGGTTCTACCCTGCCTGTTTCCTCTGAGACAGTTCCCCTCCTAAGGGTCAACTGAGACAGCAGCTTGCTTCCTTTGGGTTGGTCACATTATTATAGGAAATTGTTTAAATTATAAATAGTAGCAGCTGAATGGTTCCTCTGTACTGAGTTCTACACACAAGAACCCATTTAAACTCACAATATTGTAGTCTCGTGTGCACATACTGTCCTGGGGCAATCATGTCACAATAATGAGAACGAGCCCAAGGTGCTGTGAGATCGGTGAAAAGCAGCAGAGAAATCAGAGGGCAGGTGGGGGCTCTTAGGCGGCTTCCTGAAGGAAGCATGGGCCCAGGCAACAGCAAGACTAAATTGACGATGGTGGTGTAGCCTATGCTGTGTAGCTCAGACTGGCCTTGAACCCCTGCTGTGGCCTTTAGAGTGCTGGGATGGAATCAGGTAGATTGCAGGCATTTGAGTGCAATTATAAATGAACTTGTGCATTCTGGCTGACTGCAGGAAAAGCCAACAGTGATTACTCTGAGAGAGTCCCTGTCCTGTGACTCAGGATGTCAGTGGTATATCACTTTGAATCCCTACTGACACAGGTTGAATACTTGTTCAAGATCACACAAGGCTGTATGTGAAGAAAACAGAATTTGAATCCAAGTATTCTAATTTCAGAACTCAGTGGGCTTCTCAGTGACAGATCACACATACAGGGAGCTTAACCTTTGTGACTACAAATAAATCCTGACTGTGGTCTTACATAGTTCTAGGCTAGCCTAGGCCACATAATGAAACTGTCTTTGAAAAAAAGAAAAAAAGGTTTTAATTATCTGCAATAGCTTAAGGGCGGTAGGGAGGTACTGGGATTTTAGAGACGTAAGACAGAACAGTGGATTGGAGAGATGGCTCAGTGGGTAAAGAATGCTTGCTGTGCGAGCATGAGACTGGAGTTTGAATCCCCAGCACCTATGTAAAAATGCCTGTACCCGTGCAGGGTGGGGACAGGTGCTTCCTGAGAGCTCTAGCCAGAACAGCCAGCTTCCTGCTCGGTAGATCCTGTGCCAAGGCAGTGGAGACAGACTTTCTCCTGGTCTCTGAAGCCTTGCTTGTCTTGGAACTCCCTCTGTAGACCAGGCTGGCTCTAAACTCAGAGATCCGCCTGCCTCTGCAGACCAGGCTGGCTCTAAACTCAGAGATCCGCCTGCCTCTGCCTCCTGAGTGCTAGGATTAACGGTGTGTGTGCCAACACCATCTGGCTCTTTTTTTTGTTTTGTTTTGTTTTTGTTTTCGAGACAGGGTTTCTCTGTGACTTTGGAGGCTGTCCTGGAACTAGCTCTTGTAGACCAGGCTGGTCTCAAACTCACAGAGATCCACCTGCCTCTGCCTCCTGAGTGCTGGGATTAAAGACATGTACTACCACACCTGGCTAAGATCATCCAGTTTTGAACTAGTACATGTGCCCCTAAAGCAGTGTTTTTCAACCTGTGGGTCAAATGACCCTTTCACAGGGTTGCCTAAGCCCATTGGAAAACACAGATATTTACATTACAGTTCATAACAGTAGCAAAATCACAGTTATGAGGTAGCAACAGAAATAATTTTATGGTTAAGGGTCACCACACAGTGAGGAACTGTATTGTATTAAAGGGTGGTAGCATTAGGAAGGTTGAGAACCATTGCCCTAAAGGTAAATAGCCATTGATATAAAAATTTGTCGCTTAACTAGGCCTAAGCATGGATTCCTGCCTATAATCCCAGGATTCAGGGTATGAAGGCAGGAGGACTGAGCAAATTAAAGGCCAGCCAGTTTCTTCTTTATTTTTGAGACAGGATCTTCCTATATAGTCCTGGTTGTCCTGTAATTCACTATATAGACCAGGCTGGCGTTGAACTTACAGAGATCTGCCTGCCTTTGCCTCTGCAAGAGCTGGAGTTAAAGGCAGATTTGGCTGTGTTCTATTTCTCACCTCCACAGGAGTGTATTGTATTTTAGCTACTACCTCCCACCCCCATGGTGATGGGATTGCACTCAGGGCCTCTCTAAGGCTAGACAGACACTCTACCACTGGGATGTAGCCCCAGTCCTCAGCCATCATTTTTAGCCATGAAGCTGTGACACCACTGTACTGCAATCATTCGTTATGTTTAATAGTTTTCTTCTTAACTTAGAGCAGATTTAAGGATCTTATCATATGAAGTCACCTTCTAAGTGTTGTGCTGTGTGCCTGGTATCAGGTGGAGTTGCAGCTGTACACACGGTTCAATGTCAACTTTGCCTTGGCAGCCCTTTAACACGCCAGGCTAAGTTGTTCGCTTTAATAAACCAATTAAAGCGTCATGAAAATCAGAATTTCCCCCCTGAGGTTTATTCCATGTGTCCATATAGGGAAGAGAGATGAGATAATTTGGTAACCTCCCCGAGTTCATCTTTGGTGTCCTAACTTCAGGGTAAAGTTTGAATATGAGACCAGTCGGTCCTGGTCAGGGTGTGGCACTGTGCCTCTCTGCATCTCATCTCTCCGTGAGCTTCTCTCACGTAATCCTGGGAGACAAGTTCCTCTTCTGGCTGTCCCAGGACCTTGGCCTACCTTCTTCCTGCAGGAGATCCTTGGAGAAATTCCCATGTCTTGGTATCCATTGTTTCAGTAGTTTGACAGCCTAAAAGGGGGCCCAAATATCTCTTCAGCATATCTTCATTTCTGGCACATTTTATCAGTGGGAAGCTGCACCCTGGACCTCATTCCTGTGATTTCAGAGGGATCTGACATTTTGCCCCAGCACATACCAGGAACCCTGAGTCGTCCTTTCAGTTCAGTATCTGTTCATCCAGTCAGAGCCATTCTGGGTTTCCAGTTGTGAAAGGATACCTGTACTTGAATGAGTTACTATTTGAACCTTCAGGCTCACAGAAAACAGATTTCCATTTAAAGTCTAGTGCCATGGAAGCAGGAGACAGGTTTGCTGTGTTCACCTTTATTTCTAGAAATGGGCAGTATTTATCATACGTAGAAACTCTCAAGTATTCATTGAACAAATGAAGGGACACCCCAGCAGCACCTGCTCTATTTCTGTCTTCAGCACTGTCCTTTTGTGGCTGCTGTATAAGAAACTGAAGTTTCCTTTGATCGCAACTGTTTTAGCTTTATCTGCTTTTGTTAAGTACAATTTTCTTTCTTCCTCCCTTCCTCCCTCCATCCCTCCTTTAGGGAGGATTTCAATATTTGTAGTCTTAGAATTTGATATGTAGATCATGCCAACCTTGAACTCACAGTAATCCACCTGCCTCTGCCTTCCAAGTGCTGGATTAAATTCTCACCACAGCCACCTCCAACCCATGTTCTTGTAAGGCCTGTTTGATTTCATTCCATCCCTGCACCTGTGTATATGCACAGCTGTCACAAGCCGAGTGGCGGGAGGATGGAGAGGAAGAGACAAACATAGGTGCTTAGCTTCTCTCTCTCTGCTCCTGACCTTACTGCACATGCAGCCTTCAGTTTCTGTTTGGTGTGTAGACTTAGGGTTAGTGGTGCCATCTTCAGCCTGCTGTCTTTCCCTAAATGGAGTATGTGTTTTTTGTGGGAAACTCTTGTTCTCAAGAACAGTGTACTTACTATACAGACACATCATAAAGTATTTAGCCATTTCATGTATACAATTATTCCTAGGAACTTGAAAATGGCTCAGCAGGACCCAGGACTTCCTAGCACCCACATGGCAGCCCACAACTGTGTGTAATTCTAGTTCCTAGGGTTCTGATGCCCTTTTCTGGAATTCAAGGCCACCAGGCACAAATGGATTGTACAAAATATACATTCAGGCACAACATTCATACATTTTTTAAAGGGAGATCATCCTGGTATTTTATTATTTAAAGTAGCTGTAATGAGCATTCCTATTTGTTATTTTTTAAAGATTTTTTTAATTAGGTGTAGGTGTGTGTGTGTCTGCATGTAGGTATGTATGCTAGGGAGACCAGAGGCCTGAGCTAGAGTTATAGATGGTTGTGAGTCATTTTCGATAGGTGCTGGGAACTGAACCCTGATCCCCTCTGGAAGAGCAAGCAGCAACTGCTTTTGACCACTGAGCCATCTTTCCAGTCCCCATATGTGTTGCCGTTCAAATGAGCAAGCAGTTTTCTGTAACTGAGTCTGTTCCTTCTAACTGGAGTCTTAATTTTCCAAGATAAAGGGGTGTTTTGTTTGTTTTTCTCTCGTTTCATGCATCCCAGATTACCCTCAAACTCCCTGTGTAGTTGATAATGACCTTGAACTTCTGATCCTTCTGCTCGAGCTTCCAGGTGCTGGGATTACAGGCGCGCCCCACTACATTTTGTACATGCAATGGTGCCCTTCAAACCTAGAGCTTCATGCATGAGAGGCAGGCTAGCACTCTGCTGTCTGAGCTAAACCCTTATCCTCTAACTCCTTATTGTTCACTGTCATTGTCTAATGTGCTGTGTATTTCATTGATTCTCTTAGTCCCTACAATGTAAAGTGTATAAGCTTCCCAAAGTAGGGATTTTTGTTTAGATTAACTAGCACATAGTAGGTGATTAGTGTCTTGAACAATTGAATGTGAACTAGGCAATAATACAGCATGTATTAGAATTTTAGTTGGAAAGAGGTTTTTGTTTGTTCCAAAAATGAACTGTTACTGGTCTAGAGCAGGGATGGGTGCAGAGGTGAATGCCTTGAAGTATGGTGGTAATCGGTTACAGACATCGTGCTGTAATCAACAAAGCACTGGGTTTGGAACTCAGCGGACCTGGGTTCTGGCCTAGTTCTACTGTCTGCTGTGGTGTTTGGCCTTCTGAAAGTCACTTACTTTGGATCTACTTTATTAGTTTGGAAAATTCTGGGAAGATACATTATGAGGCCCCTTTTCTTGTGACATTTTGTTTGAGATGCTCTCTGGTGCATTTTGATATTTTTAAATTTTAAATTTGGTATATTTCAAAAGTCAGACTTTATAGATCTGCTAAGTTTGCACTCCTTTTGAGTTTCTTTTTTCTTCTCTCTAGCTGTCCGATACTGTGAAAAATGTCAGTTGATTAAACCTGACCGGGCTCATCACTGCTCTGCGTGTGACAGGTGAGTGTTAACTCTGTTTTCCTTAAACCCTACCCTGGAATTTGGCAACAGGAACATTTTACATGCTTCTGCATATTTAGCAAAACACTTCATCCTTTCCCATTATTTGATTTAGATATAGAACTAACACAAATATTTATGTAAACTAGAATACACTGGAAGTTTTTGATAACCATTTCTCTGCTAGTTGAGTAAAATTTTACTTTTAAATGTGCTTTCTAGCCAGGCATGGTGGTGCATGCCTTTCATCCTCTGAGCGTCAGTAGGGATGTCTTGAGTTCAAGGACAGCCAGGACTACACAGAGAAACCCTGTCTCTGCACTTACACTTAATGTGATGTTGATGAGCCAATGGTTATAACCTCCTTGTAAAATATGACCACTTCATGGACTAAAGAGACTATGATGATACTTTCTTGGTTTTTTATTATCGATATTGATATTAAAACCAAAAAAAATCACTGAAGTAAATTCTATAATTGTTTTCAGTTGCCATTTGGTTCATCTTAATCCTTGTTTTCATATGAGAAGGTAGTATGGTAATGGAAAGATGTTAGCTTAAAACTCTTGACTAATCCAAGCCTGACAAGACATACAAGTTTCTGGGTGTTGGGTTTCTCATTCTTTCTTTATGAAATCTGTACTATCACTTTTTTTTTTAAGTTTTTCGAGACAAGGTTTCTCTGTGGCTTTGGAGGCTGTCCTGGAACTAGCTCTTGTAGACCAAGCTGGTCTAACTTACAGAGATCCAACTGCCTCTGCCTCACAAGTGCTGGGATTCAAGGCATATGCTACCAATGCCTGGCTTGTACTCTCACTTTCTACATGTATAAATAATACTCTAGAGGGAGAAAAGTTTGGTTTTGTTTTGGTGTTCTTATGATAAAGTGTAGTAGTGGTCATCATGGTGAAACTTGATGTTAAAGAATGTAGGAAAACAAGCAGCCATCTCAATCCGTGTGCTAGTGTGTGGTGTGCGCACTTCTGATGACTGACATCTTGATCTGCACATGCTTATAACACTAGAGGTCATCTGTTCATCTCCTTAGCTGATGTCTAACTGGGCCTTCTGATGTACCAAGAATCATTCCCAGACCTGAATAGTAAGATGTCATTTGGTATGGTTTAATGTGCTAGCTGTGGTGAATTGACAGTGTAAAAACTAGTGACTATTTACCTTGGAAGGTACTTAACGGAAGTAGCAGAAGTTACCTGAGGTTTCTTGATTGGTTCTCAAAGATTTAGTTCAAAGGGGATATTTTAAGTTGAATAAAATAATGAGAAATTAGAGTCAGAATTTTTCTGTATGAATTTTCTTATGTTTCTTCCTAGATGTGTTCTTAAGATGGATCATCACTGTCCATGGTATGTATGAACAATAGTAGAAATCGCCTAAGTCAAGAGGGTAAGGGATGGGCATTAGAAGAAAGAAATTGAGAATGATTTTCTTTAGTAACCTTTTTTTCCTATTGGTGCTGGTATTTAAATTCAGGGTCACTATACATTCTAAGCATGTGCTCTCTATGACTAAAACCATATACCCTGCTCCAGTATTCCTATGTTTGAGCTCAGTTAAATTACTAATGTACACACACGCATGCACGCACACACGCACGCACGCAGGTACGTGCATAGATATGGACATTTATATTTTTTCCTTTAGAAATATTTCCTGATAAATAATCCAGATGGTAACATGTTAAAAATTAACATTATAATGTAGCACAAATAATAAAAGCCCAGAGACAGATATTGAGGTTAAAGCTGAAGATCAGAGAAGCAAAGTGGCCAGCCACTAGAGAGTTCTCATCTCTACCAATGCTCACACCAAAGGGGTGTCCACTGAACCTCAGACTGCTCCCGACTGCACTGCTCCTCAGACTGCAATGAGCTCCTGACTCCTCCTACCTTATATTCCTCCCTAGTGCTGGGATTCAAGGTATGGGATCCCAAGTGCTGAGATCACCTTTGTATGAGCTGTTTCCTTTTCAGACTGGATTAATTTCCTGTAGCTCAAGGTGGCCTTGAACTAACAGAGATCCAACTACCTCTGTCTCTCAGGTGCTGGGATTACAGGTGTGTGCCACCACTGCCAGGCCTCTATGGCTAAGTAGTGTGACGAGTTTTGTACTCTGATCTTCAAGCTTTATTTGTTAGATCATAAACAAAATATCACTACATTAGAACCGCAAAAATCTATATTACATGAATTTAAAACATCCATTAGTTAAGATAGTGTTTGTTTTCTACTTGACCTGTTTCCAAGTAATAATGACATAAGCTCTCTGATTCCCTTTCCCCCCTTATGACTACAAGGCATACATTAATTTGCCATCTTAACCATCTCTGTAAGCTCAGTAATATTAGGTATATTCCCATTTTGGTACAAGCACCAGGATTTTCACATCTTAGAGAGCTGAGCTGTTTCATGAGACACTCACTATACGCCACTCCCACCAGCCCTGAGACCCTATTTTGCTTTCTATTTCTGTATATCTGTGATTTATCTAATTTTATAATGTTACTTTCTGTATTCTTCTAGGGTGAATAACTGTGTGGGATTTACTAATTACAAATTCTTCATGCTGTTTTTGTTGTATTCCCTACTGTATTGCCTTTTTGTGGCTGCAACAGTTTTAGAGTATTTTATAAAATTTTGGACGGTAAGTCTTTTTTCTGTCTTAAGCATATATATAAGATGCTTTTTATAAGTAGATCTGATTAGCCTCTATAATGGCTCAGACTTTACCTGCAAGTAAACGTCTGGTGCACAGGCTCTGAGTGACTGCTGCAGACTGTAGGGAGAGCTGTTTTGGGGGAGTCAGCGCCTCCTGTTCTGCCTTGATGAGACTCGCTGTGTCTGCACTCACAGTGACACCCTGGGCCCAGACAAACGCCCGCTTCCTGTCTGCGTACACTTACAGAATTAAGAAAAAAGATTTATTTTGATTTTATGAACATGGATGTTTTTGCCAGGTATGTCTGTGTACCATATGTGTGCCTGATTCCTGCAGAGACACCCTCTGGTGTCAGATCCCCTGGAACTAGAGTTACAGAAGATTGTGAGTCAATATGACATGTATTGAACCTGAGTCCTTTGTAAGAGCAGCCAGTGCTCTTAACTGCTGAGCTGTCTCTCCAGCTCCCATCCTCTCAGACTTTTAAAAAAGCAACAAATAGTTAAAAATAATCAAATGTTGCCGGGCGGTGGTGGCGCATGCACTCGGGAGGCAGAGGCAGGTGGATCTCTGTGAGTTCCAGACCAAGCCTGGTCTACAGAGTGAGTTCCAGGACAGGCTCCAAAACAATACAGAGAAACCCTGCCTCGAAAAACCAAGAAAATAAAAATCAAATGTTTTATCAATAAGGGACTGAAGCATGATTTATCTGAGAGAAATGGTATGAAACAGGCAGCCCAGTGCATATAGTATGTGGTAGTGTCTAAGGGGAATAGCAACCTACTATACTAGTGTGTCCTGGCTTTTCTGGAAATGTTGGAGAATTGCTGGCGCTGCTCCCTGCTGGATGTGGCATCTGGGAAGGAGACATCCTTCTATTTTCCTGGGGATGTTGGCTACTATATACAAATGCTCATCTATTCAGAATACATAATCAAGTTGAAACCTTTTTAGTGTGGACGTATATATACTCGAGGGGGAAATAACTACCAAAAATATGGAAAGAACTCCGTTTTAAGCCGGGCATTGGTGGCACATGCCTTTAATCCCAGCACTCGGGAGGCAGAGGCAGGCAGATCTCTGTGAGTTCGAGGCCAGCCTGGTCTACAGAGCGAGTTCCAGGACAGCCTCCAAAACAATACAGAGAAACCCTGTCTCGAAAAACCAAAAAAAAAAAAAAAAAAAAAAAAAAAAGAACTCCGTGTTAGAAGTGGTGTGGAGAACTGCTGTTTTTCATTATAACATTTTCACAGTGTTTACATTTTCTATTGATAATAATTTAGAAATAACTTTAAAACATATTAAAACTATACTCTCATTAAAATCTTTAAATATCTGGACATTCTTCATCTCTATTTCTTTCCCCAGTGTCATCACGTCAGCCCCATTAAATGTAGGTTCAGTCTTGATTGTCACACTGCCGAACCCAATGCCCAGTCTTCAATTGATAATTACTACTGAGTCGTCAGACATAATCAAGCCATCATAGAAACAGGCGTTTTTCAACTCTGCTTCCTATCCTCTTTCCTTTGTTTTTCTCCATGCTATCGCTGTAATGGGAACAAAGCTGTTGGTTGCCAGGCTGGAATAGTGATGTCATCTCTGAGCGCCTGTTTGTCCTCTGATAACTACCTAAATTAGAGTCGCACAGATCCAAAGGAAAGGGCATGGGCTTTGCTTATATATGTGCTATAAAGTAAACTCCATGAAGGCAAGAAATTGTAACTTTTTCATCGGTAGAGAATCTAGGATGTTACCTGGCCCACAATACAGTCAATGTTCAGTAAATGTTTGCTGAATGGTAAAATAACTAAAGGGACATTAGCTTAGATTGCGCTTTTATGTGTGTGTGTGTGAAATTGGAGTCATACTTACTGCACAGAATAATGTAAACATGGTATATAAAAAGCACCCAGTAGAAGTCTGTCTGTTCATGTGTGTGTGAGACAGTCTAGTCTAGAACTCACTGTGTAGCCTAGACAGTCTTCTTGCCTGAGCCTTATGAGATGTCTTTGGTTTTGTTTTTCTCATTGTATGTCTGAAACCATTCCTGTTGTAACCATGTTTGTCTCCTGTTGCCGTTTTTACTCTCCTTTCTCAGCAGTGCCTGCTGACTTATGAACACAGTACCTAACTTTACTCTGCATGTGTGAGACTGTCTACTAGCTGTTGCCTTGTCTTTTTATGAGCGCCCTAATTTGTTCCACGTCCACTTTCTCTGATAGGTTTTTGTTTCCATAAGAAAGATACTAATCTTTATTCATGACCTTGGTAACAATGAGCCTTTCTTCAATAAAATCACCAGCTTAAAAACAAAGTTCATAATTTAGGCAGCATTAAAATCGACAGTTTCTCTCACGAGGAGCCACTGGGCACCTGTAGTCCAGTACTCTGTTGGCTGAGATAGATTTGTCTGGACCCTGGCTGTAGAGCCCAGCCTTGGTCACGCAGGACAGCAGAGTTCCCGAGTCGAAAGGCAGCCCCAGTGCTCATGGCCAGGCATGCTTGTCTTGAGGGCGCTGGCTCTTCTTGGAGCTCATCTTTCATGACTCTGACTGCAGAGTTTCCGCCCCGTTTCACCTTGTATCTTCTTGTATGTTTTGTTTTTGTTAGTTTCCCATCTTTTAACCAGCTCTTTTTATTCATGTTTCTGTCTGCTGTCTGGTATAAGATTGTACAAATGGTCACCCACTTTATTCTGACACTGTTAGTGTTTTTGTTTTCACTGTTAAATTGTGATTTGGAGGAGGAGATAATTGTGGCATAAAAATACATCTGCATTTACTTTTTTTTTTTTCTTTTGCTTTTTGAGACAGGGTTTCTGTGTATTGTTTTGGAGGTTGTCCTGGAACTAGCTCTGTAGACCAGCTTGGTCTCAAACTCACAGAGATCCGCCTGCCTCTGCCTCCTGAGTGCTGGGATTAAAGGCATGCGCCACCAACACCCGGCCTTGCATTTACTCTTTTTAACAACTGGAAAATGTGTGTTTTGTTATCCAGGTCTGGTGAGGCCCCAGAGCTAGAGCCCATTGTGACTGAAAAGATGTTTACTCAGGGACCCCAGAGAGAACAGACAGCCTGACCAAGGCTAGTGAGGGCAAGAGCTGCTTTAGCCAGTTTGAATAATCTCAGTGGGTTCTGGGATGACTAAACTAGAGTAATGCTGCCTCCTGCTGGGGATGGCAACACATGCAGACTCTGGATTGGTTAGCATGTGAAAGTTGCCCTCCTAGTGGTGAGTGCTTTTTGAAGTACTGGCAACTTGAGAGGGGATTATCTCCCCAAGTCAGTGAAGCCCCAAGATCCCAGTGTTCTAGACTGGGAGATAAGGAACCTTGGTTTTGTACAGAGGTTGTTGTGACTGCAGTTATCAGAGTGAGAAGTGAGATTGGAGAAGTTAGATGCCTACCCAAGGTCATGTATTTCATAGTATAGAAAACTAGAATTTAAAGTCAGATCTGTCTATACCAGGGTTCAGATACTTTCCAAGGTCACTACTTGTCAATTAAAGCTGTGTACAGCGAAGGCCAAGTCACGGAACAGTTATTTCCAGGAAATACCTTATGTATTTTAGAGAGATTTTTATCGAAGCAATGTAATTTGGGGGTCTGGAGAGATGATGGCTCATTGGTTTAGAACACTTGTTGCTCTTGCAGAGGACTGAGGTTCAATTCCCAATATCTACATTCTGGTTCATAACCATTTATAGTCATGTATACAGTGCACATATATATGTGCACACAAAAACCCACTTGTATAAAATAAAATCCTTAAAAATGTATGATTTTAAACTTTCTGCATGCTGGGCACTCATGCCTTTAATTCCAGCACTTAAGAAGCAGAAGCAGGTGATCTCTATGAGCTCAAAACTAGCCTACCTGGTCTACAGAGTGAATTCCAGGACAGATGGAGCTACATAGTGAGACCTAATCTCAGGAAACAAAACAAAAACTAAATAAAGTTTCTGCTCTGTGATAGTGTGAGCTAAGGGTACTGGTCCCTCAGCAGCATCAGGGAGATGCAGCCCAGCATTGTCCACCGTCCTGAGAAGGTGCCTACTTATGGATTTCCACAGAAACGGGCTAGGACAAGTCAGGGTTAGTGAGTTTATTGACTAAAAACAAGATATAGTATGTGCTTCAGCAGCAGGTCTCAACCTGTGGGTCATGACCCCTTTCACAGGGTCACATGTCAGATAGTTACATTACATGCAGTTCATAACAATAGCAAAATTACAGTTAGGATGTAGCAACGGAAATAATTTTATGATTGGGGGTCATCACAGCAGGAGAACTGTATTAAAGGGTCTCGGTGTTAGAAAGGTTGAGAACCGCTGAGCTAGAGGTACGTGCTGGTGTTGGAGAAGTTGTGCCGGGAAAGGGCAGTTGCACACTCAAGGCATGGGTGTGGCTTTCTCCAGAGTCACAGTTAGGTTTTGTGGGTAAGTAAGTTACATTATTTGAAAGATACAATCCACAAGATCTAAAGATGAAGCAAAGTTGCCAGGTGTAGTGATGCTCACTTTGAATCCCAGCACTCGGGAGGCAGAGACAGGTGGATCTCTGAGTTTGAGGCCAGCCCGGTGAGGCCAGCGAGAGTTCTAGGACAACCAGGGCTACGCAGGGAAAACCTTGTGTCTCAGAAAACAAACTAACAGATGAAACAAAGTAGGTAGAGTTTAATTAGTAAAACAGAACAAAACTGAGCTACTTAGTATTTCTCTGATTTTAAAGAGTGTGCTTTTGTGAGTTTGAGGCCAGTGTGATCTTCATAGCAAGTTCTAGCCCTGGCTACACAGTAAGACACCCTGTCTCTAAAACCAAACTGAAAATTTAAAGTGGTTTTTGAGGTATATATTCTTACATTTAGGGCGGACAGGAGAGTGCTAATACGGTTAAATTCAAGGTCACAGACGTTGTGTCCTAAATATGCATGGTTTTAAACATCTTTGTTTGAGGTGTCTTTAGAAAGATGGGCCTTGTCTGTAGGCAGTGCTGGCATTATTAGTCCTATGAAGTTTCTGGACCCTCCCTCAGTCGGTAGGAGATGCAGGACCCCAGGGTGAAAGCAGCTGATTAGCCTTCACATATCTGGGATGATCAAGATGGAGTAGGTTGCATATTAAAGTGAGTGGACAAGGTGGGTCTCACTATGAATGGAAAGTCTGAACCAAGACAGAGGAATTGATCGGTGTCTGAGGGAAGAGCATTTAAGTCAGAGGAATCGTTGAGTTGTACCAAGGGAACTTTTTCTTTTTGTATCCTTAGCTGTTCTGGAACTCACTCTGTATGTCAGGCTGGCAATCCACCTGTCTGCCTCACTGAGATTGAAGGTGTGCACCACCATCACTTGGTTTCAAGGGAACTTTTTATGACTAGATTAGACTAAGGACAGGAACTTAGGAGAAGCCCAGGATCCTGGTAGGGCTAAGTGACAAAGGAACTTTAGCAGTCTTTAGTGTTAGAAGATATCTGTGTCTCTGCCTGCTTGCCTGCCTGTCTAGTCTTCAGGAAAATGGGAACAGAAGAGTGACATGATGTTACTTGTAAAAGGTTCTGATTGCTGAGCTGCAACACAACAGGCTGACAGTCAGCACAGCTGCCATATCAGAGACTGCCATTGTTTTTCCAGCCAAAACAGGAGGTAGCAGGGAGGTGCTGAGTCAGCAAGTCTCATTTCTGGAACTACTAACCAACCAGAAGGTTGAAGAATTACAGATGTTCATGCTAAAATGTTTTGTTTTGTTCTTTCAGACACAAGTTCCTTGTATATAATTGGATGGGACAGTGCATGTTATCGGGTCTCTGAGATGTGCTGAAGAGATAGATGATTTTACTCGTTTGGGAGGGTAGTTTACTTTTTGGGACAGTGCATGTTATCGGGTCTCTGAGGTGTGCTGAAGAGATAGATGATTTTACTTGTTTGGGAGGGTAGTTTACTGTTTGGAAAAGTGTTGACCGTTAGAGGGCAACTTCTTGTATTCCTTCCAAATGCACATAAGTGATAAAGCCTAGTTTTCAGGATAACTTTGTACAAAAGTTGTTTTCTTAATGCATTGTTTCTGTTTGCACAAGCTTTGCCGCAGGAAATCTACAGAGAATTGCCCGAAGGTAAAACATACCATTGCCATGACATTCTCATAATCTCTTTATAGAGTGAATGTTTATAATTAAAGTTTGCTTTACAAGTTGGCAAGATAGAACAGTTACTGTGTTTTAAAAGTATAGTGGTTACTCTGAGAAAAATAAATACCAGGATAGTACAGGGCTGGTGGGGAAATGTTCAGCAATAACTTAGGTTCACTCTCGAGAACACACACACACACACACACCGTGTGTAGTATGGAGGATTATATGTATGCATGTGAGTGTGGGTGTTCACGAATGTAGGAGGCCACAGCATGATGTTGGATGTCTCCCCTGCTGTTTGACTCGGTGCCTTAAGTTGGGGCCTCTCACTTGCCAGCAGGCTTTCCTGCTCTGCCTGTCTCCACGCCTTAAGGGATCTGCAGCCATTCCCACTGTGTATGTGACTGCTGGAGATTTCAACTCAGGTCTTTGGGCTTCCAAAGCAAATACCTCTACCCACCGAGCTGTCTTCTAAATCTGTCAAATGTAAATGTTAAAAATGTCCAGTTGTGTGTCTGACTCCAGTGCACACACGCATGAGGACACACGTGGACGTGAGAGGTGGAAGTCAGTTCTCCTTCTACCACGGGCTCTAGGGACTAAACTCAGGTAGTTGGGCTTGAGCAACAAGCACTTTTTACCCTCGGAGCCATCTTGCTGGCCCTCTGATTAGAAACTTCTGTGCGTGCACTCTCCTGTGTTCACCCAGAGGCCAGAAGGCGGCATCAGATCCCCTTGAGCTGGGATTGTAAGTAGTGTGAGTCACCTAAGGCGGTGTTCTTAAACAAGGAGCCATCTCTCCAATCTGTTGTGTGCTGGTCCCCCACTCGCTTTGAGACGGGGCCTTTCTGTGTAATCCTAGCTTCCTCAAACTTGTATCATCCTGCCTCTGCCTCCCAAGTGCTGGGATTAAAGGGGCATGCCACCATGCCTGGCTTGTTAAACATTTTTTAAATTAAATAGGGCAGCCTGTTCTGAAATACTAGGAGACTTGACCTATATGGTTTTTAAGACAGTCTCGTGTGTCCCAAAATGACCTTGACCTTGCGATCCTCCTGCCTGTGTTTCTTGATCCCTGAAATAAGGCATGCACTACCATGCTCTGTTATTTGTTATCCCAAGGACTGAACCTAGGACTTCATGCATACCAGGCAAGCATTTTTCTGACAAGTACATCTCCAGCCCCTTCAGGGTTTTATTTCAGGGGAAACATTTAAAGGCTTCTTACTGTTAATGGCTGTATTTCTGTAAGAAGGAATGACAGAAGCTGTTCATTGTTTAATACTTTTTGGCAACTTATTTCAAATGGCAATTACCTACAAAGACTCCCAAGGAAAAGAAACAAGGATGAGGAGCCGGGCGTTGGTGGCGCACGCCTTTAATCCCAGCACTCGGGAGGCAGAGGCAGGCGGATCTCTGTGAGTTCGAGACCAGCCTGGTCTACAAGAGCTAGTTCCAGAACAGCCTCCAAAGCCACAGGGAAACCCTGCCTCGAAAAACCAAAAAAAAAAAAAAAAAAAAAAAAAAAAGAAAGAAAGAAAGAAGGATGAGGAGGTGGACATCAGAGCATCTAAGGACCTGGGCACCTCAGAGGAGACACATTCCACTTGTTTTTAGAGCATATGTAATTAAGCAGCTGTTTTTATACAAATGGAAGTAACCTTGCTCCTCTGGATGTTGAGGAAAATCTGAATATATACATAAGGTGTGAAAGAAAATTGGCTAGGGAGAACAGTCCATCTTTTCATTTTATGGCTGAATTGTTAGGTGTTTCAGGAAAACTTTTTTAAAGTTTGTATTACATTGTTCTCTTGTGTATGGGTATGTGTGAGCCTGCATTTATATCTGTGTACCACATGCATGGTTGGTACCCACAGGTCAGAAGAGGGTGTTGGATTCCCCCCCTAGGACTGGAGTCACAGACGGTGATGAGCAGCCCTGTAGGTGCTAGGAGGAACGGTCAGTGCTCTTAACTCTGAGCCATCTCTCCAGTTCCTCAAGACAGTTGTTAAATGAGTTGGGGCTGGTGATGGGTTCAGCCTGCTTAGAGACTGTGCCTTCAAAATAAATGGTCTCATTTATTTCATTACTCTTCATATATGACTTTTTTGTGTGGATTCAATCTTTAGGAAGAACGAGATTACAAATTGCATTTTAGAGGTTCAATATCCTCACAATTAACCCCTCTTTCTTCTTTCCTCAGAATGAACTGAGAGAGTCACGTGCAAAATTCCACGTACTTTTCCTTTTCTTTGTGTCTGCAATGTTCTTCGTCAGTGTGCTCTCACTATTTAGCTACCACTGCTGGCTAGTTGGAAAAAACAGAACAACAATAGGTAAATAAACTAAAGTACAAGTCTTTAAAAAATAACCACAAATGAATGTGGCCTGTAGTAGGCAATAAAGAAATGAAAAGTAACTATGTATTTAAACTTTACTGTTTGGGTACAGTCAGTGTAAGACACCTAGACTCGTGTTGAAGATGATCGTATAAGTGACTGTATATATAGGATTTCAGTAATGTATTATAGCAAAATTTATAGTCTATAAACTTCAAAGCCATTACCTGTGTTTATACAGTGTCTTTTGAAAGCTAATCTCTGAATGACATTTTCATGCTTAAAGTTGATGCTCAGGCCCAAATCATTTTAAACCCTTCAATTTACCTTCTTGCTAAGACAGAGTACACTTCATGTATTCTTGACCCTCCCCATGCACAATTTAACAGGCGTACGTTCTAAGGGTTAGTGCTTATGTTTTTTATTTCCATTTTTGTGTCATTTATCAGTGAAATTTAATGCAAAGTATTGTTGTTACCAGCTTTTTTGTTTTCCTCTCTTTCTGATTTTTAAAATGAAAATACAAGGCTAGAGGGATGGCTTGGGAGGTGCGGGCACTTGGTACCAAGCCAGGCGGTCTAAGCTCAGTCCCCTGAATGCGTGTCCTCTGACCCCCACACGTGTCCTCAGTGTGGATACGTAGACTCTGAGTGTGTAGATAAATGCAAAAGGAAATACACGTAAAAACAGAAGCAATGGAGGAGTAATTGAGGAAGGTGTGCACTAGTTGTTCCTACTCTTTGCTCGTTTGCTCTTTTGGGAGACACACCACCCAGCTCCCAAATAAATCACACAGAGACTTTGTCTCCTTATGAAAGCATGACCTTAGTTTGACTTGTTTCTAGTCAGCTTTTCCTAAGCTAACCCATCTATGTTTTGCCTCTGGGCTTTTACCTTTTTCTATTTCTATGTATCTTTATTTCTTACCCTATGGCTGGCCCTCGATGTCCTCCTCTCCTCCTTTTCTTGCTCCTTCATCTTTTCCTCCCAGATGTCTCCTGTTTATTCTGTCTGCCAGCCCCACCTGTCCTTTCTCCTGCCTTGCTGTCAGTCATTCAGCTCTTTCTTAGACCATCAGATGTTAACACAGCTTCACAGACTTAAACATAAAAGAATGCAACACATCTTTACATCTTTACACAAACGTTTCACAGCATAAACAAATGTAACGTACCTTAAAATAATATTCCACCAAAAAGATTCTAGAGTAGTAGGACTGGGTATTATGGTATGTGCCCTTTCTCCCAGCACTCAGGAGGCTAAGGCAGGGTTACCAGTGTGAGGCCAGCTTAGGGATGCCTAACAAGACACTCTGGAGGCAGCCTCACAACCTTGTTAACTAATACTTACATGGTAGCTTAAAGTCCACCTGCCAGGCAATTCCTATGTGTTTGCCAGAATTGGAAGGAAAAAATTTTTTTTGGTTTTTTTGAGACAGGGTTTCTCTGTAGCTTTGGAGGCTGTCCTGGAACTCACTTTGTAGACCAGGCTGGCCTCGAACTCACAGAGATCTGCCTGCCTCTGCCTCCCAAGTGCTGGGATTAAAGGCGTGCGCCACCAACACCTGGCTGGAAAAAATTTTTAATGTAGAAAAATTAAGAGATTTGAGGCACATTTTAGTTACTGTATTTGAATTATATGGTCTTGTTTATTATTGGTTGTGTGAATTATATAGCTTCCGTATAAGGATTTCTGTTTCCTTGCCCAGCTCACCCTCCACTGTTAAGCACCTCAGGTCCATTATACTTTACTTTTTTCATTTAGATAAAATTCTTTATGTCTGTTACATAATTTGTTCTCTTTACAGAAGTGCTCTTATCCTAGAACTGACAACTTAACCTGTTCACAAAGCCCTACCCTAAAGACCTTTTACAAAAAACAGATTTTAGAAAGAAAACTAGAATTCACAACTGCCTGTAACTCCAGTTTTGGAGGTCCAATGCCTTCTCTAGCCTCTGAGCACTAGGTACACATGTGGTATACATACATTCATTCAGGCACACACCGATACTTACTAAATAATAAAATTAAAGAATTCATTTCAGATTAATAACTGGTAGTGTTGGAGGTCCATTTTCCCAACTGGTACTGACCGCCTAGGTCCAAGGAGCAGCCGGCTGTCGGTAGATGGAAGGCGAGCGCTGTGGTCTGGTTCTCACACGGCTTGTTTCTCCTGCGTGGAGTCTGAGCCCTTGTGTGTAAGAGAACAGAGTACTCTGCTGGATCCACTTACGGAAGCAGGAGCAGGACTTGACTTTGCGTTGTGTGTGTTGACCTCCTGTGCTGTGCTGCCGGAGTCCCTGTGCAGTGGTGGAGAGCATGTGGTGCAGCAAGGCTGCTGTCCCCGTGGCCACCATGGAGGCGAAGGGGTGAGGGAGGGAGGAGACATTAGCCTTGCCTCCATGCCATGGCCTTTACCACCTCCACGTATGCCATCGCTGCTGACCAGCCCTTGCATGCAGTTCAGATCCAGACCGCAGGTCGTGTTTCTAGGCACCTGCTGTTGTCCTTAAGTAATTTTTTCCACATTATTTTTACAAGTGAAACCATTTTATATCATGACTTATCATGTGCACATATAATTACAAAATTACCTAAATAAACAGGACTTCAGAGAATACCATTAATTCCAACCCTGTCTAATATAGTCTGACATTTTGTACGGTCTAGTTCAGCCAATTAGATGATTCTGTGGCCATGCCTTGAAAGACATGTTCATTGCCTTCACACGTCACTTCCTTTACTGCCTCAGCCTCCACACCCTAGCCTCTGGCGGGTCCCCCTGCCCCTGCCAGCTTGTTCTCTGCTGTGAGGGCTGGTTATTCTGCTGTGCACCTTTGCTCGTCTTCCTAACTCACCGCCAGGTCTCCCTGAGTTCCAGTGTCCCTAATGCCATTATCTGAAGTGGAGCGGCTTGTCCATGTCCCACAATCACACTGGAACCTTCAATCACGTGAAACTGGAAAGCCTCTAAAAAATGAGATTTTAACATCACTGACAGGGTCTTTTATAACATAGGCTGGTCCCAGATTCTAGAGCCGGCAGTGATGGTGCATACCCTCAGTCCCAGCACTCAAGCAGACTCTGCCAGATCTCTGTGAGTTCAAGTCTACATAGTGTGTTCTAGGCCAGCCAGGCTACGTAGGGAGACGGTCTTGGGGAAGGGTGGGGGGATGACAGAATTTTCTCCTACCTTTGAGTGCTGGGTTTTGAACTTGAGTACTCTGTCCTCTCCCGGTCCCCCCATCTCCCTTCTATACTCCACTACACACCTAACTTGGAGTCCTCTATTACCCAACAGGGTTGTAGGATATTATTTTAAGGTGTGTCACTTTTACGCTCTGGAACATTTGTTTAGTGATACAAAGATTCAGCTAACGCAACCTCCTGACTACAGGAAGTGGTAGGGAGAAGCCAGGTGGAGAAGGGTTTTTAATGAGGGGCGAGGAGAAGCACGAGGACTTCTGGAGGGACACAAGAAAGGAGAGGAGGTGAGCTACTTGCTACTCAGCCTCTCTGAGGAGCAGGATTTCAGCTTACCCTTTGAATCCTGAGTTCTTAGCAGAACAGAGCATTAGATAAGTTCCCTTGTAGCTTTGAACGAGTTGGTGCCCGACTCAGGCTGCTGCTCTTGCAGTCTGACCACTGCTAATAGCTGCGGAGTTGCAGTTGCTGATTTGGACAACTGGGGCTTAAAAAGCAATAGCAATTAAAAAGAGCACAACAGTTGGCACCCAACGTGGGTGCCAGAATGTTGTGTGACACTTTTGTTCTTTACTTTTTAGGCTTTTTGGTCTCTTGACTTTTGGGGGGATGCAGCACCCAGCTCCCAAATAAATCACATGTGGAGGCTTATTCTTAGTTATGAATGCCCAGCCTTAGCGTGGCTTGTTTCCTGCCAGCTTTTCTTAAATTATCCCGTCTATCTTTGGCATTGGGGCTTTTATCTTTATTCTTGTATACCTTTTCTTTCCTTTCCTTCTTATTCTGTGTGTAGCTGAGTGGCTAACCCCTGAAATCCTCCTACTTCCCCTCATTCCCAGATCCTCATTCTCCCAGATTTCTCCTATTTCTCCTCTCTGCCTGACAGCCTCACCTTCCCTCTCTCCTGCCTTGGCCGTTCAGTTCTTTCTTAGACCATCAGGTGTTTTAGACAGGCACAGTAACACAGCTTCACAGACTTAAGCAAAACACCTTAAAATAATACCCTCCAACACAACAGTCTTCCTTACAGGGTTTCTCTTCTGCTTTGATTGCACACACTAGTCCATTCTAGATCCACTAGCCAATCGCTTCACCTCTTTCTTCGTAGTCTCTCGCCTCTTGTGCCCTAGCTTTCTTCCCATGATGCCTTTACTATTCCTTGGGCTGCAATTTTCAGCTGTCCACTCAGTGCTGTGTCTTGCAGTTTGCTGACATCTGGAGGAAATCATTACTCTGATCTTCAGAGTGTCACACTTCTGATTGACGATCCTAGACCCCAACCAGTTGATGTGGCACACAGTTTTAATTCTAGCACTAAGGCAGAAGCAGTGGATCTCTGAGCTTACCACCAGCCTCATCTATACAGTGAGCTCGTCTAGCCCAAGACTACGACAGAAACAAAGGGATAAGACAATGCCGTACCTCACTAAGGGTGGAAATGGTGGTGGTAAGGTCAGCCAGCTTCCTCAGCTTCTTTCCTTACTAACCTAGACCTTCTTTGGAGGGGGAGGCAAAGGTTGGCTATTGAGACAGCCAGATTAGTGAGTCCTGGAACTCACTTTGTAGACCAGGCTGGCCTTACCAGTCATGATTATCGCCATTCTCTTCTTCCGATTTCTGAGTCCTTCTGAGGAAAATATTTACTTAGAAGTCACAAGCAACCTCCCATCTTCTCACCCTTCTAGCCTTCTTACACATCTCCTCCCCCACCTGTCAGTGTTGACCTTCCTCCAGTTTCTGAGGAAGGATGTAATTTTGTAGGATTTACCTTAGAACTCTTGTTGACATTCTCTTTTGGTCTAGGTTGCCATAGTTTTTATTTGCTTTCTCATGCTATCAATTGTGGTGATATTTTGTTCATGATCTAACAAATAAAGCTTTCCTGAAGATCAGAATGCAAAACTAACCACACTAGTTAGCCATAGAGGCCAGGCAGTGGTGGACACACCTTAACCCCAGCACTAGAGAGCTCATTGGCAGTCTGAGTGAATCTGAGCATTGCAGTCGTGGAAGTCTGTGGTTTGGTGGAGAGCAGTGCAGTCTAAAGTTTGGTGGATGCCCCTTCAGTCTGAGCATTGGTAGAGGTGAGAACCTCTAGTGACTGGCCACTTTCTTCTCTGATCTTCAGCTTCTGACTCTGAGTTTTTGTTATTAATAACAATTAGAATTCCTGCTATAGTCAGTCTGGCCCATCACCTTTCAGCTTGTAAGATGCTGAAGTGCTTTGTTTTTAAAAACAATGATGTATACTCTTCTTGTAGTACCTGTCTGTGCCTGGACCTCACTCTGTGTCACTTTACACTGACTCTTGAAGCTGTGGTCTGTAATCTCCCTCTGCTGCCTCATTATTCCGACATGTAACCACTCCTGCCGTCTTCATTGACTCTACCATCACTCCCCAAGAGACAGTCTGCCCTACAAAATTAGCTGTCCTTACGTCTGTTCTTACACGGCACAGGACTTTCAGGACTTAACACATGTAGGTTTTGCTAGACTGTAGATTTGTAGAAATTCTATCTAATTTTTTGTTTGGGTCCCAGTACCTGTGTTGTTAGGAATATATAGGATGTTCATCAATAAAGAGTAAACAAGTTCTAGTTCCTTAAAAATAAATTGAAATACAATGAATCAATTGGAGTAGAATAATTTCATTAAAGGCTGGGGACTTAGATCAGTGGGAGAACACTTGATAGCATGCGCAAGGGTTCAATTTCTAGTACCACAAAAGTAGGCTAAATCAAAAGTATAATGTCCATAAAAATTTTTTTTTCAAAAAGCAGTAATGGCTGGGCATGGCAGACCACACCTTTAATCTCAGTGCTTGGGAGGCAGAGGCAGGTGTTTTCTGTGAGTTCAAGGCCAGCCTAGTTTACATAGTGAGTTCTAGGACAGCCAGAGATACACGGAGAAACACTGCCTCAAAATAAATAAATGAAAGTAATATTAGATAATTATTTGGGCCAATCATTTTAGTGTTGGAATAAAAATATACTTTCTCCAAATAAGTCAGAAATTTTGCCTTCTTCAGTTTAGCTGACATAATAATTGTGTCTATGCTGAGGTGACACTTCAGTACATGCTTATAATATAACAGTCAAATCAGGATAATTGGGACATCTGTCATCTCAGGTGATTGTCATTTCTTGTTACCTTTTGTTATAATTCCCTTTACAATTTTGAAATAGATAAGATTTATTCATGTATGTACACGCTTGTGTTTGTTTCTTTTTTTAAACAGAGTCTTTCCGTGCACCTATGTTTTCTTATGGAATAGATGGAAATGGTTTTTCTCTTGGATGTAGTAAAAATTGGAGGCAAGTCTTTGGTGATGAAAAGAAATACTGGCTAGTTCCGGTATTTTCAAGGTAAGTTACAGAATGTAGGACTCAGTGGTAGCCTGAGCTAAATAGCTTAAGATTGGGAGTAGCTGTGCAGTAAGAGTACACATTTGAATGGGAAGTAGAAAAATAAAAATGACTCAAAGAGCTCTTCAAAATGAAAATAGATCCCTTTTAGGAATATAGAAAGTATTTTCATAGATTGTGACACAGAAGTGTTGTATGTGTGTGCCCCCTCTTTTCTCTCCCTCTTTTCTTTTTTTTTAAAGACAAGAGTCTCACTGTGTAGCCCTGGGTGGCCTAGAACTTACTGTGTACATGAGGCTAGCCTCGAACCTGGAAGAGATCCACCTCTCTTTCCTCCAGAGGGCTGGTATTAAAGGTGTGTGCCACATCCAGCTTACCTTTATTTTCTTAAAGAAGACTGAATGCTAATGCAGTTTTATCTCAGGTGTAAATGATATATTTGCTAGATGATTCATAGATTCATTTCTCCCTCATTCCAGCTAGTCTGGGCTATCTGTACACCAGTCACTACAGAGAAGGAAAACAATTTGGAAGTGTATTGCCAAGTTTGTAAGATCTGTAGTTATGCTGGGTGGAGGCTCACACCAGAATCCTAGGATTTAGAGAGCTGAGGCAGGAGGATCATCATGAGTTTCTGAAGTTTGCGTAATATAGTCAGATCTTGTCTCAAAGGGGGTTAGGGTAACTATAGGGTCTTTTCCTTAATAAAATTGCCATTTTCTCTCCAAAATGACTCGCTTTCCTTCCTTTTTAATTTTTTGGTTTTTTGTTTTGGTTTTTTGAGGTCTGTGTAACTGGCCCTGGCTGTCTTAGAACTCACTTTGTAGACCAGGCTGACCTCTAACTCACAGAGATCCACCTGCCTCTGCCTCTCAAGTGTTGGGATTAAAGGCACGCGCCACCCACCCAGCCTATTTTTATTATCTATCTATCTATCTATCTATCTATCTATCTATCTATCTATCTATTTTTTTGCTTGGCTGTCTCCTATTGCCTTATCTTCTGCTGACAAGAGTATAGTCATCTTACTTTTTTGACTCCAGATGTCTTCTCTAGATAATTTTAAGAGTGTTAATCATTCTGTTCTGTATGTTGTCCCATCCATCTTTTCAGCTTCCTGCTTTTTAACTTAGTCACTCTAAGTGTATTCACCCTTTGTGCTGTCTTGTCTGCTGGTGAAGCCCCATTTAGGAGTTTTATTTGAGAGGATGTATTTCTTAGCTCTAGAAGTTAGATTTGGCTCTTTCCTAGAAAGTCTTACTTTTCTATTTTGTTATACCCATTTGTCTTTCAGATTCATGGATATGCCTGTTATATAATTGCAGTTTTGAAGTTGCTGATTCTCACTTTGTTTTCTGTTGGTTCCTATAGTCTTAGCTCTGATCACATTATCTGTTATTTTCCATGTAACTTCTAATTAAACAGGGTTTTTTGGATACTAGATAGCAGCTCAGTGTCTAGATTTTATTATCTTTCTTTAGAGCTGGTTAATTTGGTTTTGGAACACTGTTGATTTAGGCTTCACAATCTTTTTAAGCCTTGTAAGGTTGGATAAAGAGTCATAGTTTCTTTAGTTAAGTCTAGTGCTACAAACGATGGAGTCTCAATTGAGAGAGGTTTCCCTGTTGGCTGGTCAAATGTGAATACTAGTCAGGACAGTGGTGATGCACACCTTTGATCCCAGCACTTGGGAGGCAGAGGCAGTTGGGTCTCTGTGAGTTCAAGGCCAGCCTGGTCTGCAGAGCGAGTTTCAGGACAGCCAGGGCTGTTACACAGAGAAACCCTGTCTTGAAAAACAAACAAAAAAAGTGAATGCTCTCCAGTGTTGCAGGACTTGGAATTGTTCACTTCAGGCTTTCTAGCTGGTTTTTCTCAGTTTGCCTGATCAGGATAGTATCTGTCAGAAGATGTGGGAACAGTTCTGTACATATTTCTTTATCTTGTGTGTGTGTGTGTGTGTGTGTGTGTGTGTGTGTGTGTGTGTGTGTGTGTGTGTGTGTGTGTGTTGAGACAGGGTTTCTCTGTGTGACAGCTTTGTAGACGACTCTGGCCTGTGCATCTCTCTCTCTCTGTCTCCCTGCCCTCCTTCTCTCTGTCCTCTCTGTCCTTTCTGTCTCTCAGCGCTGGGATTAAAAAGGCGTGTGCTGCCACCACTGCCCAGCTCAGCCTGTACATATCTCTATAGACATTTGTCCTCTGCCTTTTAGGTTCAAGACATCTCAGCTTCCCAAAGCTTCCTCCTCTGTTGCTTTGATTCAGTGAGACTGCTTTGCTTACGTTCCCCTTACCCTAAGGCTCTAGTGGATGTCTGGGACTTGTTATACTTTTAAAAAGAATTTTCTTAAATTTATGTGTATGAGAGTTTTGCCTGATAACCAGTGGTTACAAGTGGGCTTCAGATCCCCTGAGACTGGAATTTCAGGTGGTTGTGAGCTACCATGTGGGTGCTGGGAAAGGAGCCTGGGTCCTCTGCAAGAGCAGCGAGTGTTCTTAACTGCTGGGCCAACTCTCCAGCCCCTTTTTTTGAGTATTATGCTGTCCTATACTGTCTGTTTTGAAGTCATTGTGTGCTGGTCTGTCCTGTACTGTCTGCTTTGAAGTCATTGTGTGCTGGTCTGTTTCTGATTGTTTATGGTGACACGTCAAATGTACGGGCACTCTGTCTTGATCAGAGGTGAGTGCCTCTGCCGTGCAGAGTTCTAATTGGTCAAGAGCATGAGGACAACAGGACATGCTGTGGGTTCTTTGTACAGCCATCAACTCAGTGGTAGAGCCTGACTTTTTGTTCACTAGTATACCTTACTTCTTACCAAGGGGTTGGGGACTCTTTGGTTACCTGATTGGTTTTGCAGTACCTGAGAGCCAGGCCATTCGAGTGCCTTCTGGGAGGGGCTGCCAATGAGCTCAGCACCGAGATGCACTGGAGTCGCAGCTATTCTCACAATGGAACTGCGCATGGAACTTACATTGCGGTTTCAGTTTGAGTGCAGATGATGTGTTCAGTGATCATGATGGTGTCGGGTACCCAGATAATTGAATTAGGCTCAGTATCTGACTTGATAAGTTTTAATGGTTTAGTTCTACTATGCCTCTAGAAAATGAATGTTAGGGCTGGTGAGGTGACTCAGAGGTTAAGAACACTGGCTGCTTTTCAGAGGTCCTGAGTTCAATCCCCAGCACCCACATGGTGTCTCACAACCATCTATAATGAGATCTGGTGCCCTCTTCTGGTGTGCAGGCATACACGCAGGAGGATAAATAAATCTAATAAGAAAAAGAATGGCCAGGCACGCCTTTAATCCCAGCATTTGGGAGGCAGAGAGAGGCAGGCAGATCTCTGTGAGTTCGAGACCAGCCTGGTCTACAAGAGCTAGTTCCAGGACAGCCTCCAAAGCCACAGAGAAACCCTATCTTGAAAAACTAAAAAAGAAAAAGAATGTTAAAGTTGACTGTTATTAAATTAGCACTGAGATAATTCCTATTTCTCATCGTACAGCTTGGGTGATGGCTGCAGTTTTCCAACTCGCCTTGTGGGGATGGACCCAGAACAAGCCTCTGTTGCAAACCAGAACGACTATGCCAGAAGGTGTGTTTCTTGTTTCTCAGTGTTTCAGCATTCATTGTAAAATGTCTGAAGCCTGTTCTACACAGAGTGACTCATGCACACACAGCAGACTCCAGGAAACACATAGAAAAAGAAAAATTGTATTTACATTCTCTTTTCAATGAAGGACTGATGTGTTAGCTGCCTAATCTTACACACTTTTTACATGCAAAGCAGAATACAAAGAGTACAGAGCACGTCAGTAGTTAGATCAGGACAGACCCATGCAGTTTCATGTCTGGGGAAACAAGCAAGCAAGTAGACATGAAAATCCCCTTTCAGGGCTTCAGTATACAAGTTGTGTTGTGTTGCTCCAAAGAAAATTTAAAAACCACTGTCATTCTAATAACTACTAATTTCAATAACTAGGTTTAATTACAATGTCAGAATAATTAATAAGAATTTGAAAGTACAAATAGTTTCTTAATCATCTTAAAGGAAATTTCTTTCATAGTTGCACACCAAGAAAACTGATTCATAAATTCATATTTCTGTCAACACACAAAAAAATGGAAGGTAGCCAGGCATGGTGGTGCGTGCCTTTAACCTCAGCACTCAGGAGGCAGAGGCAGGCAGTGTCTGTGAGTTTGAGGCCAGCCTGATCTACAGACTGAATTCCAGGGCAGCCAGGGCTTCACAGAGAAAGGTGAGGAGGGCTTTAGTCTCCAAACTAGCTGTTGACATCAGCAGGCAGGCCTCAGCACTTCACGAAGCCTTCTACCCTTCAGCTGCGTCATTTACTGTGGTTCTGGACAGTCATTGAGGCAGTCTGTTTCCTTTCCCTGGGTTCTTGAGAGGGTGGAGAAAGTGTGTAGTGCCCAGTGTAGTGCCCATTAGAAGTACCTGGCAAACCTCTTTCCCTTTCCCTCCTTTCCTCTTCCATTCCCTTCCTCCCTGGTTTTCTTAGTTAGAACAATAAGTCTACGATACATTACTGAATCATTTTTTCCCCTTAGATCTAAACTGCAGAGGTAGAAAGCAGAGAACTGGGAGATGACAGGTAACTTTTGTACTGGCCACAGACGTAGCTCTTCACCTGTCCTATGCTACCCCAGCTCCCGATTAACAAGTGTTAAAAGCCCTTTCCCATCAGCCCTGAAGCTGTGTCGTAGTCTAACTGGTTTCTTTGGCAGTGTTGAAATACACACTTTTGGACCTGAGAGTCATTTGACTGGGGGCGGGGGTTGTGGGCCTATTTTTCTCTTGGAGATAGCCTTTTCAGAGTGCTAAGATCTCAAGTTGCCCTCACATATTTGAGAGAAGGAATACTAATTTGCCGCTTATTAATTATTAAGTATCCTTAATTGAGCATTAAACTATTCACTGAATTGTCTGCTCCTTTTTCAGTAGTGGCTCAAATCAACCTTTTCCTATCAAACCACTTAGTGAATCAAAAAACCGTTTGTTGGACAGTGAATCTCAGTGGCTAGAGAATGGAGCTGAAGAAGGCGTCACCAGATCAGGTAATAACTCTCATCTGGTCCAGATGAGAGTCATCAGACTCAAGAAACCGTGTAAAATGAAGTGGTGTGGCATTTGGGATAATGGAGCATATCTACTGATACAGTGTCACCCATGGAGATGTCGGTGCGTGTTGAGGGATCTGTGAGGAGAGGGCACAGTCACAATGGCTGAGTTGTACTCTGCTTCCCAGCCACAAGTTTCTTCACCCAATGTGGAAAGTTAGTTTGGTATTGGCTAAGCTGAATAATGTTTTGAGAACTATTTTTAGTGTTCCAGTATGTATTAATTGAAAATAATTTTTAAGTGCATTGTACTCAGCTGGATATGGTGCCACATACCTGTAATTCTAGCTCTTGGGGGGCTGAGGTGGGAGAGTCAACAAGCTGTATGCTAGCAGGCTCTTAGTGAGACCTCCCTTGGGGTGTAGTGAGCTCTGTACTCTTTAAAAGGGTGGCGACCAGTCTGTGAACTGTGGCTGTAATATAGAACAACTGCTAAGACTAAGTGGAATGTCCGAGCAGAACGGGGTTACGGTATCATCTGACCACTTAACCAGCTAGCATCACTAGCCCAAATCCCTTCTCAGGCTCTCAGGTACTTCTTGATTCTAGTGGTAAGATGCCTGTTAGTAATCCGCTTGCTTGTAGAAAACAATGAGATAGCCAGATCAAATTCATAGTAACTCCAGGAAGTACCCTGTGAATGGTCTGAATAGCTCTGATCTTTGGGTGGCGGGCAGGGGGCTTCAGCTTTGAGAAGCATTTAGAACTTCTTTTCCCTTACCTCTCATGGTAGCACACCCTTGTATTCCAGTACTTGGGAGCTGAGACTGGAGGATTTCTATGAATTTGGGGCCAACCTGGGCCATAGAGTGAGACCGTGTGTCAAAAAAAGAAAAAAAGAAAAATCATAAATAAATGAAGGGAATCTGTTGATAAGTGCCTTTGGGTCTTTAAGGTTCTTGAGCTCCTAGAGAAAGTAATGGAGAGATGTGTTTCATGTACTTCTTAATTTCTGCTGCCTAGCATCTAAACCTAGCAGCCATGTTCACAAGGTGAACATAAGAAAACCTAACCAACTCTAACATGCTATACTCATGCATCCCTTCTACACAGAGGCAAATAGTTGTCATTAAACCTTTAATATTCAATAACTTCTTTTCAGTGTAATTAACTTTTCCATTTAGCCAGAAATTTAATCCTTCTTTTGTCTTATAATTAATTGTATGTTTACAGGGACAAATAACCATGTTACAGTCGCAATAGAAAATTGAGTACCACTTGTTCATAACTAACCATTTGATGAGTGCAAGGTAAGACAATATAAAGGTAATTTCCTTCAGCAAAATGTAGTTTATTTGCATGTTTCAGCTCAAAACCATTGTAATTTTTTTCAGCTATATCACCCAAATCAAGCAGTTCTGGCCTGCGACTGGAATATTCTGCCAGAATCTCATTTTCCTTACTGCTTCTAACACAATGTTACTAATCATTTACTGGTAGTAGATTAATGAAGAAACTAATTGAAAGTGTTGAAGATTTACATGCAAGCATGAAAACAGCACCTTACTAGTTAGTTTAGTGAACAAAGGATGCCCATTGTTGAAAATTGACTAAAGGTGGACAAAGGGCTTCCAGGTTCATTAATGTTACTCTGTAAGACACAACAGAGATTGTCTGAGGATGTATATCACTAGACCCAAGATAAATGATAAATGGATGTTTATTGGGAACAATTACACAGAAAAATACAAAGAACTGCCAGAGTATTTCCCTGCTCTCCCTACCGGATCCAGCTAACCCAACAGAAAAGAGCAAGGAAAGGAAAGCCATGCCTCAAGTTCCTCCCTTTCTACTTCCTCCGCCTGAAGACACACCCAAAGGGGTGTGGCTTCCGTTTCAGGTCCACAGACCAGATGACCACACCCTTTCCTTCCTGCTACTTTTATTTTCCCAGAGGATCTCATCTGGGGTTTTGCCAAGTGGAACACCTGCATCCTCCACTCTAGGCTTAGCATAAGGTCAGGTCTTTGCAGAGACAAGCCCCAAGACCTAGGACAAAATGAGATCCAGTCTCCAGAGGCAGGGGTTCCAAGCCTCCATCAGGCCGAATAGGCCCTGCTGTGAGGAGCTAGTTGCAGGTCTGCATATGTGGGCACAGCCCCATCCCAGCCACCTGGTGCTTCTCATGCAGGCGGAGGTCCCAGCTAAGGTTTCTCTAGCAGTCGATGGATGTGAGAGGCTGACTAAGTGGGCAGGCACTGAGTGCAAATTGAAAGCTGGATGATGCCTCCTCCACTATTTACAAAAGTTGGTGTTATTGTAGCAGAATTCAAGAATTTGGTTCCTAACTTGTTAGTCCGTAGGACCATCTACTAAATATCTAAGGAAATAGAAAATTGGCTTCCAACTAATAATTCATTTTTTTTCTGGTTTTGTAGGTATATAAAACACATTTTGGACTATTTTCAGTTTTATTTGCAAGAAAAATGATCAGTGGAATGAAATAATTGAAGTATAACAGAAGATATATTTTTAAAAGGGAGCGTTTGTACAGTTTGCTGGACCCACAGGAGCACTACGGAGCAGAAAGATGCCTTAATTTTTAGTGTCCATTTGTGCAGCATTGCCTCACAGCTTAAAAGTGACTTAATTTTCCTTTGGAAATAACACCTGTCTTGAGATGCTATCCTCACATGTTAACATGGCATTTGTATTTCTAACAACTGAGTTAAAACAATAGAGTTATTTCTTAGTATCCACATAGATTTTCACCCCAAAAAAACAAACTAAAAAGTCTTGGGTGAAGTAGATCTAGGGCAAAGGGTAACTAAAAATGATATCCACATCACTGATTCTTGCGCTGTATAAGGGAAAGAAAATACTGCTTTTTTATTAGATATTTACTAATTTATAATTGCTGTTTTATACTTTTCAACATTTTAATAAAGATTTTTTTAATACTGGCTATGAAATAACACTCAGAAGGATTCAGATACCTAAATATAATCATTTAGAACATTGAAGATGTTGATACAAATCAGCGAGGGTTTAGTTAAAAGCATTATAATACAAGTGGCACACACCTGTAATCCCAGCACTCAGGAGGCTGAGGCAGGACTGCTGTGAGCTGTCTTGCCTAGGTTACATAGAGACTGTATCCAAAGAGCAGAGCAGAAGAAGCACTAATAGGGTGTAGCGTGTGCCAAGGCTCAGAGGAAACGTGGTAGTAAAGGAAGTATTCCGGGTACGCTCTGCTCCGATTCCTATTTGTTGAATTTTCAGGGGCGCTTATATGGGCGTGGAAGCACGGAATTCACGTGCTATACAAGGATCCAACAGTGTGATGACGAGGTGGAAGTGGCTGATGAAAAGAAGGAAGGCAGAAGGAATATTTTAAACAGTGAAAAAGTGTGTAAGCTACAAATGCTAATGAACAGACTTTGAGTTTAGTGATGTCTAAAAGTTACTGTGGTACTTTACAGTAATCTTAACAGCTCAGTGACTGAAATGCACTTTAGATGAAGGTGAAATAAACAAAATAAATTCCCAGACTTGGGCTGGACAAATGTTTCAGTAGATAAAGGCACTTGCTCGCAAACCTACAACCTGAGATGAGCCACATGCTGGAAGGGGAGAACCAATTCCCACATGTCTTCTGACATTCCCATGTGCACTGTGGTGCACATAGACACTACTTTTTAAATTCACAGACTCTTGGCAAATGTGAAATCTTTAGTCTGACTCCCTAACAGTCACCTGATGGCTTCAGCAGGAATGGTTGTATCAGGAGGCTAGCCCAGTGTTCTATAAAAGACAATGTGGAGATGCTGTTCTCAGTTTATACTGAGACCAGCAGAGAGAAGTCTCACTCAGATGTGTAGGTATCGGGCTATATGGGATTGCAAAGGAGAGCGCATCCTGGGTGAATTGGACTACAGGACTCCCAGTATTCCCTAGTGTTGAAGTGCACAAAGCAACCTTGCTTTTCATTTATCCATCAAGTGTCTCTGGAGTCCTCTGTATCAGACATTATACTATAGATAGAGCTGTGATTTCCCAATCCTGCATAGATCAAGATACCTGCTATTCCAACTTTGCAATTTGAGGAACTGATTGAATTCTCATTGACTGCACTAATTCTGATTCTTAAGTAACTTCCCCTTTGGACCAAAGGAGTAAGTTAGCTTAGGAACTGTGGTTTAAAAGGATATGTGGTATGAATTCTTTATTTCTTATTGTTGACAATTTTGATTCTCAAAAAAATGAATTAAGAATTACAAATTACTGCTAGGCATGCTGGCACGTGCTGGTAGTCTCAACACTTGGGAACCTGAGGCAAGAAAGTCAGGTTTATTCTCAGCTTTGTAGTGAGGTCAGAAGTAGCCTTTGCTACGTGAGACCCTCTATCAAAAAAACCAGGAGAGAGAAAAAGATCAATTACCAACCAAAAATACAACCTCAATTTGATAGTTTGCATGCTGCTTTTAGAAGTATCCCGGTCCTCTGTGTCTGTATTTAGATCAAGGGATTTGCATGCACCTGGCACAGTTTGCCCCTTAACATACTATTATGTAGAAGCATCATCTTTCTGATGTTGTTATCATTTGTTTATTAGCATAGTAAACTTTTTAGGTTTTGGCTTTGGTAGCCCTTATAGCCAACATTTTGCCCTGCTCTAAAATATTTACCTGGTTCTTGTTGGGTTTTGTTTTGTTTTAGTGCTAGGGAATCAAGCCCAGGACTTTGTGCATAGTAGGAAAGTCCTTACCACTGGTCCAGGCTGAATATGTCCATGCCTATCAGTGGCCATTCATTAGGGGTCAGCAAGTGGTATGGGAACCAAGGAAGGCTGGCTCTTCAGTATTTCAACTGGCATTGAGTCTACTGTCTGCTGGGGAGACCAGGTTAAAATTAAGCTTTGCCAAAATTTCAAAACACTTGAACATTTGTAAAGAAAAATAAATAAATAAAGTTGAATTTCAGGTCTTGCCCTTGCCATTAAAAACATTAGACAGGAGACTTGGTTTACTGGGTACAGAGGTACCTGACATTCAGTACCTGCGGCACCTGGCCACTGTCACTGTGCCAACCAAAGCAGCTGCAGTATACCAGCTATTGAAATGAACATGTTTACAAAGTTGAGTTTTCTCCTCACATAAGAATGATTTTTAAAAAACTTTTTACATAGTGGTTATGATTCAATATGTTATGAGCATAACAGGTCAGCTTACATAAACATGGTGTTTTACTTGAATTTTAATTCTTACAGAAAACAGATTTTGACTGTTTACAGGAATGCTTGAGATGAGTCATGAGATCTCCCATTCTCTCTGAATCAAACCTATATGAAAGGGGTAGGATTAGAGCCTGTGTATTTGGGGCATTGAAGAGGCAGTAACTCAGAAATATGCTTAGCTTACATCTCATTCTACAACCAGTACTTCTGTCGGTGGATAAGTATTTTTAACTAATCTGATATTAAATCATATTTTTGCATTTCAGTCAAATTAACAAGAACATGTAAAAGTACAGATAAGATATAAATCTGTAATTCATATTTCATATGATCTAAGCTGTATTTTTAAATTTAAAATACAATAGAGATTCAGAAAGGCCCATATTTTTCTAATGACTTCACTCTTATTTTCTTGGGTTACGTAAAGCAAGGAATTGTATTTGTATTAAGGGGCTAGGAAAGCTGTTAGTTTATTATATTTGTACATGATTACAGACAAACCTATGCCTGTTTAAAAGAAAAGATGGATACTATTTAAGGTGATATTTAATATGCTTTTCTATAAACAAGTTTGAATTATAATTTACCTTAGTTGTCTTTACCTATTGAGAAGCTTAGCCTTGTATTTATTTCTCATTTGTGTGAACCTGGACCATGATTCTTTGCTCTGTACTTTGGATGGCTTAACCTACATTAATATGTGCACATTTTACAACTTTTTTTCAGAAATCATAATTACTTTATTAATAAACGGATAAAGATATCTCCTTGTTTTGGAATGGTTTTGTTGCCATAAGAAAGTGCTATTTGCCAAATGAATAAATAATTTCATTCGATCAATGAGAAAATCTGTTAAAAGTATTGTTTAGTTTGATGGTTCTCAACCTTCCTAATGCCAGGACTCTTTAATGCAGTTCTTCATGTTGAGGTGACCCCAACCATAAAATTACTTTTGTTGCTACTTCATAACTATAATTTTGCTACTGTTACTAATCATAGTGCAAATATCTGAGATACAGGATATCCTATATGCAACCCCTGTGAAACGGTTGTTCAACCCCCAAAGGGATTTTAATCCATGGGCTGAATGAGGACCACTGGTTTAAAGAGCTTAGTAATTTCTGAAAATGGCCTCTAAGAGAGGCAAGTGAAATTGTAGTTTCATTTTATTTAGAACCTAAAAGGTTTAATTAGGCTTTTACTGAACACAGTTTGTTTCACAAGACACTTTAGGATCTTGCATACTGCCAGATTTGTAAAATGGTTACTTTGTGGTTGTTGATGTTGTCTTGGCCATTAAAATCTTAAGAGTATGTGCAAGAGGCAAGAGAGAGGCTCACAGAGATGAGCACCGTTCCCTCTGGCTCAGTAAGTACAATCTGAGGCCAATCTTGGTGGTATGCACCTATAATCCCAACACAGGAGGTAGAGGCAGGAGGATGTCTGTGAGTTGAAGCTAGTCTGGTCTATGTAGCAAATTCCAGGGAAGCCAGGGATACATAGTTGAGACTCTGTCTCAAAACAACCGAGCACCACCATTAGATGGTGTTCCAAAATACACAAGGATAACAACTGATAATAGCTCTTTGAAGCCACAGGATTTTATGGGTATTCAACAGTTCATGATGTTAACTGTCTTTTGACCTTGTGTCCATGGCTCCCACCTAAGATTTATAAGATTTACTTTTCCTGTGTGGGCTCTTACAGGAAAGGGACTATTGGTGCCCTGAATTGTGTGGAACTAGAGATAAAGGCAGTTGTGAGCCGCCCAACATTGCTCTGCAAGAGTGGGAAGCACTTCCAAACCGAACCAATTCCACAGCTCCCTGCTAGCTTCCGAGTGATGTTTCTGCTCAGTGATCCACCCAGGCTGCATTTCAGCCCCATCACCTTCCCTCCTGTAGCTGCCTGGCCTCTGTCACAGGCTGACACCCTTGGCACCACCACAGCACCTAGTTTCCATTACTGATTTTATTGTGCTGTGCTGGTTACACGGCTCCAATCAACTGTAAGTTGTTGAAGTTTTATTTTCCTGTAATAGCCTCCCACAAAATAAACACTAAAAATCAGAAAGGAGCTGCAATGAATTTCATATCCACTTTATTTTTCTGTGGTGCCTAAATTTCTTTAGATTAACCAGGGGCTGGAGAGACAGCTCAGTGGTTAAGAGCACACACTGCTTTTTCAAAGGACCATAATTCCATTCCCAGAACCTATAATGGTGACTATAATTCTAGCTCTGGGGAATCCAACACCTGGCCTTGACTGACATCTATACTAGCCTACATACACCTGCATGTACCTACATACAGGCACACACATACACATAATTAAAAATATCTCTTAAAAGCATCAGAGTTTTGTGTTTCAGTGGCCTTAGTCTCAGGAGATGAGTTTGGTTTGACAGTGGTTATCACTTTTAAGTGCTCACATTCTCTGACTTATAGTACCTTCAGGAGCTGTACTTCGTGTGAGAATATTTGTTACAATATTTATCTGGCAGTGGATCGTTTTAAAGATTTATTGTTATGTATACAATGTTGAGCCTGAATGTATCCCTGCAGGCCAGCAGAGGGCACCAGACTTCATTAAGATGCTTGTGAGTCACCATGTGGCTGCTGGGAATTGAACCTCTGGAAGACCAGGCAGTGCTCTTAACCCCTGAGCCATCTCTCCAGTCCTCCGGCAGTGGATTTACCATGATCATAAAGATGGTTTTCCTTATCTATTGCACTCAGGATGTGCTGACCCCTTGCATTTCTCCACACGTAGGAAACTCAGCTGCAAAAATTTGTGGTACTGGAAGACTATTCATACTCTCCCCTGCAAGGAAAAAAATTAAGTGTTCATTACAGTACTGTTTGAAGCAACAGAAGGCTATGAAGTGCCCTGTGTCTGACTCCACTTCTGTTTGCATGTGCAGTGGAGTGTCTAAAGACCATCCCTCAGGAGGGTTGCTTCCAGAGAGGGGAGCGTGGAGTTGATATTCAATGTATGTCTTTTTAATACTGTCCTAGCATGTTCCTACATTGGTTTTCAAACAAATTTTTCCACAGATAGTCTGCATCAATGATGAAAAGATGTTGGGTGCTAGACTATTGTGCTACCCATTTGAGGGTGGTCTGCCTCTTTCTCATAGCACTTAGATTCTACTGGGCTTTCAGTTATTTAAAAACTACTGGTCCAGTAAGATAGCTCTGCAGGTAAAGGCAATTGCCTCCAACCTCAGGTCCTGGGTTTAGTTCCAGGAAGCTAGTGTGCACAGTAACCAGTGCGTGTATGTGTGCACACACATGAATGTAGGAAAATTTACAACTCTTCCAAGAAAACATAACTAAGTTGTCGTGCTAGTAATCAAAGGAAAGCATTCTGAGTTTACATGAAGACTTAAGTATCACTGATTAAATGGAGGCCTGAGATGCGGCTTCTGAATAATTACCCTTAGGAATGTATACAGAAATGAGCAGAGAAAGCTAGTTGTTTGGAAGGCTCTTTACAAAGCAGAAAATGAGGGAGACCTGTGTCTATTACACTGCCCTCCCAGAGACATCATGAAACCATGTAAAGATTTCCTTTAGCTAATCATAAAAACCGGAGCACCCCTGGGTGTGGGCATGGTGGGCAGGTCTTTCATCCCAGCATTCTGGAGGTGGATACAGGAGGATACCTATGAGTTTGAGGCCAGCTTGGTTTATATAGTGAGTTCCAGTACAGGACTACATAGATACCCTGTCTCAAAAAACAAAAATTGAAGTACATCCATGTACTTCATGAAGATAAAGTGAAAAAACTTTGCAGATCCTCATACATGATCACCCAATGACAGCATTTATTAGGTTCCTTTGCCGTCTCTTTGTTGACCACCTGCACAAGGGTAAGTGGTGGGAATAGAAGCCCAAGCAGCACCTATAAGGACCTGCGTTCTCTGGCAAAGTAACGTCTAGGACGGTAAGATGGCGGGTAGCCGGTGAGAACTGTCGGCAGAGGGCTCCAGAAGACTATTGGCACAGAGTAAGCAACGGCTTATTGCCAGTTGTGGCAGCTCATACCTGTAATCCCAGCACTTGGAAGGTCGATGCAGGACTGTTCACATCCATTCTGAACTATACAGTGGGCTGCCTCACACACACACAAGTGTTGGCTTAGGACCTGACTTCATTAGCTGGGTAATGGTAGCACACACCTTTAATCCCAGCACTCAGGAGGCAGAGGCAGGCTGATCTCTGTGAGTTCAAGGCCAGCCTGGTCTGCAAAGCTTCCTTTTGCAGATGACCATTCACACAGAGATCCACAACAGTCAACATGGGGAGGTAAAAAAACTATACCGAGTGCTCAGCCCTAAATGGGACATCATTCCAAGATTCAGGGATCATCTTGGAAGAGGTGGGAAGACTAAGAGCCAGAGGTGTAGATGACTACATTAAAATAGTTTTCCTGACGCAACGGGCAGTTGCACATATGAACTCACAACAGTTCTGACAGAATGCACACAAAAATCCCAACATGGAGCAGGAAGGAGGTCACAAAGTCCCTTCCTTAGCAGAGGAGCTACAGGCAACTGTTGCCTGCTGGGAGAGGGAATCTGTTTTCTTTAAGGGTGTGGCCCTGGGAGGCAGCTTATGCTCCAGCACAAATCAGACTCCATGGGTTATTGTTTTAAATAAGGACATGAATTGGAGGAAGGTAGGTGCTAAAGGAATTAGGAATATAATCAAAAACGCTGTATAAGGATTTCAAGGAATTAACACATATTCTCAAGGAACTGGAGAGATGGTTCAGCAATTAACATCACATATGGCTCTTCTAGGACCAGAGTTCAGTTCCCAGCACCCACATCAGACAGCTTACAACTGTGTTTACCTCCAGTCCCAAGGGGGGGGATCCAATACCTCTGGCCTCTGAGGGCACCTGCACTCACCAGCACATACCCACACATGTGATTGAAACTCACAAAAATAGCCGGGCAGTGGTGGTGCACGCCTTTAATCCCAGCACTCCAGAGGCAGAGGCAGGTGGACCTCTGTGAGTTCAAGGACAGCCTGGTCTACAGAGTGAGTTCCAGGACACAGTCTGGGCTACACAGCGAAACCCTGTCTCAAAAAACAAAAACAAAACAAACAAACAAAAAAAAACTGACTTCATTTGGCCACTGGAGGTAATGACCATGTATTTGGGAGATTATCAACTCTGAGTGAACCTGGATGTAGAGTGAACTAGAAACTAGCAGCTTTGCCTCAGTCTTTGGGTTTTGTCTTTTTTCCCTGTTTTTTTCTTATCCTGAACCTAGAATCTGGTAAGCAAGCAAATACTACCTCTGAGCTGCACCTGCAACTCATCCCTCAACCTTTTTCTTTTTTGGCTTTTCAAGACAGTGTTTCTTTGTGTAGTCTTGGCTATTCTGGAACTCAGTATAGACCAGGCTGGCCTCAACTCAGGTATCTGCCTGCCTGTGCCTCCCAAATGCTGGGATCAAAGGGTGCACCACCACCATCCAGCTTCAGCGTTCTCAAATGAATATAGTGCCTGTATCATGCAACCCTTTTAAAAATGTGGAGATGTTGATGTGTGCTGGAAGGACAGTTTCAAACACTTCCTATAATCCCAGCACTGTAGCAAGATAATCTGTAGGTCAGCCTGGGCTACATGTTGAACCTGTAACAGGTCCCCAGACCTTAGCATAACATACACCATGGTGGAAGTACCATTCAGGCCTTGGAACCCAGCACATGTAGGAGCAACACCTGCCAAAAATGAAAACAATGACCTAATTCAAAGTTCATAGTTCTGGGTAAATCCCTAAATGTACTAAGCTTGTCTTTTGGCTTCTATAGTTCTGCTTCTGGCTAACTGAAGTATTTTAGTGTGTAGTCACCGGCTGGCTAAGAGTTTCTATTGGCTTGCCTGTGTCCGAGTTGTCTTCTCTGGTGGATACCTCACATGTCCTTGTCTAAATCCTGTGAACCACACCCCCTGCCTGTTTTGGTTGTTTTTGAGAGGGTCTCACTGTGTAGCTCCAACTGCATTGAAGCTATGTAGACCAGACTGGCCTGGAACTCAGTCATCTGCCTGCTCTGTCTCCTGATTAGAGGCACTCACCACCACAGCCAGCAAAATACCCTACTTTTCAGGCTGGGTATGCAGCTCAGTTGGTAGAGCCCTCGCATGTGACACCCCAGATTCTAACGCCAGCATTATCAAGTTTTATAGAGAGATGGAAAGTCTGTAAAGGTGATCTTCACTTCTTGGACTCATTCATGCCAGAGGGCTGTCTCCCAGCTTGGAGAGGAGGGTAGAAGATGGTGAGGAAGTGGAACGAGCCCTTCTAAAACCTGTTCATCAGAACTGTTCTTCATGCATGTCACCCTGCCCTTTCCAGTGCAGTGATCAACTCCAGGCCCTTTGTTTAAATATCTACTTTTGCTTCATGCTTAGAAGTGTTCACCATGTGTTAGCAGTAGATGTGATGGATTATATATTGGGTACTAGTTTTGTTTAGTAAAGTACTTGGCTAGTCAGTCTGCTTTGTCCATTGGACAGGCTCAGAAGAAAAGCAGCTGACTCATGCCCAAGGGAACACCTTACTGTTTAAGAAAGGAAAACAGGAAGCAGAATGGTGAGGGGGCCACTCATTTTTCACTTCTTTCACAAATCATCAACTCTCCGTATAATATTAAAAAACTGTAAAGACCAAATTACAGAGGGGGGGAACTATAAGCAAAGAGGCCTAAAACAGTCACAAGTGCATACTTTGCTCTCAGCATTTCTGAATGACTAGTATAATTCCCTCTATATGAACAGTGACTAAGCATCTGTAAGTGTCTGGAAAATGTAAACCAGAGTGCCAAGGCCAGCAACCTCTGGATTGTAGACCTTAATTTTTCTTTCATTAAGTTTGCTACCACAAACAGTACAGAAGGAAGCAAGTTCGTTAGTGTTTTCTGTGACTGCAGGCCATAAATTGGTAGTGCTGATGGACAGCATGTTGGCAGTGTCAGTGTACACAGGGTCCACTGCCACTTTAAGACTGTTGCACATACTACAGTCATTATGTACCCTGACATGCTTGACAGCAAGGTTTGTTGGAGGAAAAAGATCAGAATCAATAGCTGTTAGTGGGCACATCTATATTACCATGCATGCGTTCAAGCATAAAGTGGATCTGTATAGGTGCAGAGGCCCATGCTACACTGTTGAGGTAACAATCAAGTTTGCTAGGCATGGTGGTATTTGCTTATAATCCCAGCATTGGGGAAGGGGGGAGAAGAGGCAGGAGGATCAATGAGTTCAAGTCCAGTCTGGGCTACATATTGAAAAAAGCAAGTTCAAGTCATTGGTACATGTAATCACCTGAATGGATCACAAGGGTAATAAACTACATTTTAAAAAAAAGTGAATATAAATTACCCTACTTATAGACCCTTCTTCAAATAACAAAGACATAGAGATGAACAGTAGCCAGGGGAGTCAGAGGTTGATACAAAGAGCATGAAGACCCTGCGAAGGAACCATGGTTACAAACAACTGCATAGACCCGTACATGAATAAACATGGGTGCACGGTGGTGATATTTTATGATCTAACAAACAAAGTTTGCTTGTAGATCAGAGTGCAAAGCTAGCCACATTAGTTAGCCATAGAGGTCAGGCAGTGGTGGCACACACCTTTAATCCCACACACCTTTAGTCTGAGCAGCAGTCTAAGGATGCAGTCTGAAGACAGGTTGCCCCTTTGGTCTGAGCATTGGTAAAGAGAACTCTCTAGTGGCTGACCACTTTGCTTCCCTGGTCTTCAAGAATAACCCCAGTATCTGACTCTGAGTTCTTATTAAGAACAATTAGAATTCATACAACAGTGGGTATAAAATAAGCAAGTCTAGGTAAGTTCTATATATCATACCAACACCAATTTCTAGATGTTTTTCAAGGCAGGGTTTCTCTTCGTAGACCTGGCTGTCCAGGAACTTGCTTTGTAGACCAGGCTGGCATTGATCTCATAGAGATCCACCTGCCTCTGCCTCCCAAGTGCTGGGATTAAAGGTGAGCACCACCACAACCACCATTAGGCAATTTCTAGGTTTTTGTATGGTTAGAGAAAAAATGTTACCACTGAGGGACAGTGGGTTGTAGTTACAATAGACTTGTACTTTTTCTGTTTTGGTTAACTTTCTATGAAGTCCCCAATTCAAGACAGAAAAATTAAAAAGGAGTACTGGGCATGCTAGTACACACCTTTGCTCCCAGCACTCAGGAGGCAGAGAGAGGTGGACATTTAAATTTGAAGCCAGCCTGGCATACATATCAAGTTCCAGGCCAGCCAGAACTACAAAGTGAGAGCCTATCTTTAAAAAAAAAATCCTATGTCACTGTGCATCTGTAGGCCTGTCAACTCAGACTGAGTCATGAAGATAAACAAAGAAAATCTTGCACTGTTTGTCTTCTTTTAGTATGGGCAGGAGTTCCAGGCCAGCATGAGCAACATAGGAGATGTGCTCAGGAAAACACTCCTTTTGAGAAATGGTCTCAGGGCGACCTCAAACTTGCCTTCACCTATGGAATGCTGGGACTGTCGGTATGCATCACCTCACCCAGTTTACTCTGTGCTGGGAGTAAACATTTATTCCAGACCAGTGGTTCTCAACCTTCCTAATGCTGAGAGCCTTTAGCACAATTCTTCATGCTGTGACTCCCAACCATGCATTTCCATTGCAAGTTTTTAACTGTAACTTCACTACTGTTATGAATCATAAATATCTGGGTTTTGACGGTTTTAGATAGAAATTAAAGTCTAGTCTACGTAGGGAGATCCATCTCTAAAACAAACAAACAAAAAAACCCTCATATTTTTTTAGTAGGGCAGGTAGCCAATGCCTGTAATCCCAGCACTTGGAGGCAGAAAGTTCTACCGAAAATGAGATCAGCAAACAAAACCTCCCCCCAAAAGTCACAACAGATCAGAAATTATGTACACGTAGCAAGGTTAGAGCCCAGAATATTCTTTCTTTTGGCTTCCTGAGGCTGGGTCTTACTGAGCATACCAGAAAGATGTTTCTCCCTCTCCCTCCCGAGTGTGAGAATTACAATCGTGAGCCAAATGCCTAAGGAAAGTCCCAGATATTCTCTGTAAAACAACTATTGATGGTGTTTGTTTTAATAAGATTCTGGTCGAAGGGGGGAGGGTCACAGTTATATAAATTTTTTTTGCAGCTCCAGGACCGGGTAAGGGCAGAGCAGTCTGGTATCCTTATGGGTAAAGGTGATGGCTCCGGGTTAGGACCATTTCTTCGTGACGTTGAGATGGTTTAGCTGGTCGGCAACGTATCTATGCTTGGGGAACCTGGAAGTGGCGGCTGCCTTGATGGCCTCAAAAGCCTGGGCCCTGCGCTCGGCGGCGTGGCCGAACTCCTGCTCCGGGGTCATGTAGGGCATGCTCAGCCAGTAGTGGTTCTCGGCCTCCACCTCCAGGCGCCGGAGCATGTTCTCCTTCATCTGGAAAGTCACGGTCCGCGGCCGCCGGTGCTTCCCGATCCACTGCCGGCCCGGGATGCGCCCGCGGAGGAGGACAGAGGTGAGGAGCATGGTGCCTCCTGAGGAAACGACACGGAAGCCGAGGTCGCTGAGACCCTGAGCCGGGAAGCGGGCAGCGAGCGTCCCGCGTTGGCTCGCACGTCCCGCGCCCGCGGGGCCGAGGCCAGAGCACGCTCTACCCCTCACCGGAAGTGGGGGGCCGGTGCCGACCACACTGCAGGGGTCGGTGAGCCTCCCAGAGACCCCACCCGGCCCGCGAACGAACGAACGAACGAATTCACGACCCGCTCACCTCCGAGCGCCTCAAACACCGACCGACGCGACGACGCAAGCGCGTTTCTTCCCGAGCTTGTTGGGGCCCTGGTGCGAGACTTCCGCTCTCGCGAGAGAAATCTGCGCCTGCGCGGAGCGAGGGACTCGAACCGGCGATAAAATTCAAATGAGTGGCGCGTTCCGCTCCGCTCGCCTCGGCATGAACCCGATCCAGCGTTTCCACTGCAAGCTGCGGGGTCTGGCCGCCGTGCTGGACGAAGAGACGGCCCGGCTGCTGCGAGCGCTGGACGGCGAGGACAGCGGTGAGTGGGCGGGCGGCGGCCCCCGCGAGGGTGAGCGAAGGCCGGCTGTGCTTCTCCGGCGTCGCCGCGGGCGTCCCGTGAGTGTTGGGTGCTTGTCAGCCCCTTCCACCTTGGTCTGATCGCCAGTGCACTGCCCGCTGTTCTGTCTGGTGGGTGTGGGGTGGGCTTGAAGCAGACAGCTGCATTTTCTCCAGCAATACTGTATTTCCTGTAAAATACTCGCCGCCGCTGTTTTGTTTTTTTTTTTAATAAATAGAATTCACCACCATTCTTACTCGTATTAGACATTAAAAAAAAATGGTTTCAGGGCCGAAAGTAGTGGCGCACGCCTTGAATTCCAGCAGAAGCAGGCGAAGTTTGTGAGTTCCAGGCCAGCCTGTTTTCCATAGGGAGCTCCAGACTGACCAGGCAACCATAGTGAGATCATAAATGTTATAATTTTCATGTATCTTAAATAATATTGCACCCTGTAGACACAGAATTCTCTTATGACTAACTCTTCATTTGGATGTGTTTTTGTGACTATAAAATCAATGCACTGTAGAAAATTTCAAATATAGAAAAGTAAAAATATACATATTTTCTGTTTAACTCACAAACTGTTTTCGCTGCGTGTCTACCATTCTTATTTTAGGGGGTGAAAATGTGCTTTGCTTGTTTGTTTTTGAGCTAATGCAGCAGTATTTTTGACTATGAAAATTGCTTTTCACAAAGTGAAAATAAGTCTATATTCTTACCAAAATAATTACCTCTGCACAAGTTTCATTTGTTTTTTACGATAAAAGCTGCAATAATTTGTTAATTATTATGCTAAACACACAGAGGATAATTGCTAGCAGTTTTACTTTTTATAACTGTGCAGGCTCATGTCATGTCAGTTTGACACAGCCTAGAGTCTTCTGAGAGGAGGGAACCCAATTGAGAATGTGCTTCTGTGAGATTGGGCTGTAGACTAGCCTGTAGGCCACTTTCTTAATTAGTGATTGATGTGGGAGGGCCCAGTCCATCGCGGCTTGGGTATTCCTGAGCAAGCCACTAAGCAGCATCCTCCATGGCTTCTGTGTCAGCTCCGGCATCCAGGCTCCTACCCTGTCTGAGTTCCTGTTCTGACTTCCTTCAATGCTGGGTTATGATGTGGAAGTGTGAGCCACATAAAGTCTTTCCTCCCCACGTTTTGGTCATGGTGTTCCTTTGCAGCAATAGAAACCCCAAGATAGTGACTATAGTGATAAATCATTAAATGGACTTATAAATTACCTTTGCGATTACATACAGTAAAACCCTTGAGAATGCATTTCATTGGTTCTTAGTTGTGCAACTGTCAGTATAGAAGATTTAGATTTTAATAACTTCCAAAAGATAACTTCCTGGTCAGGTGGTGGTGGTGCACACCTTTAATCCCTGCATTCGGCATGCAGAGGCAGGCGGATCTCTTTGAGTTCGAAACCAGCCTGATCTACAAGAACTAGTTCCATGACACCCTCCAAAGTCACAGAGAAACCCTGTCTCAAATGAAAAACAAAAACAAAAAACAAAAAAAACCACAAGATAAATTCCTGAAACTTGGTGTTAGATGAGTCTTGCTTCTACCTTCACAGGTGTTCTTTATTCCAGTAAACCCAAATCCCAATCCGATTCATTAAACATTCACTATTGGTTCCCTGTAACCCTATCACTTCGCATCACACTGGCTTCAGACTCTGCCTTCCGTATGAGTGGGCCTTTCCTGTAAAAGGGCCCATAGTGTGTAACCCTTTAGCGTCATTCCCCATGTTCATCCACATTGTAGAGAAGACCACACTTGGTTTTATTCCGTTGTACAGTTGCTATATGTTGTGTTTCCGTGTTTGTAGGACATTTGTCTGTTACATGTACTTTTATCTGGTGAAGTAAGGTCTCACTGTATAGCCCTTGCTGTGTTGATCAGGGCCTGGTCTGGCCTTGAACTCACACAATTCCAACTGCTTTTGCCTCTCAGTTATGAATCAAACCCATGAGCTGACATGCCTGGGAGGTGTGTACTTTGTGTGCTGTAGTTCTTTGAAGGTTATTTGTTTGTTTTGTTGTTTTTCAAGACAGGGTTTCTCTGTAGTCCTAGCTGCCTGGAACTCAGATCAGGCTGACCTGATCCACCTGCTTCTGCCTTCCAAATGCTGGGATTAAACGCACCACACCAGCAGGATTTTTATGTCTAACGAACGATACTAAATATTTTTTTTCCTCATGCTTACTGAACTTTTTTTCCCTTGAAGACTTTGAGGATTATCCAATGAGAATTTTATATGACCTTCACTCAGAAGTTCAGACTCTAAAGGTACTATTATTATTTTTTGAATCATTTTTCCATAGTGGGTGGGTAATTTTTTTTTGTAGCTTACGCTGTCATGGGTTTGGGTCGCTCAGAGATCTACCAGTCAGCCAATGACTAAGACTTTAACAAGAGACTTTGGAAGCTTTTGATTTGCTGGCACCTGACTGATTGGCACCAGGGTTACACCTGAGAGCACTCCAAAGATGCAGCATTTGGCCATATCAACCCAGGGCTTATCCAGGCAAAACTCAAAGATTACAGGTATTTTGCCTTCGGGTAGACAGGGGCTTATTTTGACATAGTTGTCCTAGTCATCTTTTTGAGCACAGTAAGCAAGTTTGGTTACAAAAGGAGAAATAGCAGTTAGTCTTGAGGAAAAACAAATTTTACAAGATCAGTTGATTTTAAGAGTGGTCTTCAATGTCTGGGGGAAGAGGGAAGTGGGCAACTAGGGTACAGCCTGTACAGTCTAGGGACCCACATGCCTGTACAGTCTAGGGACCCACATGTCTGTACAGTCTAGGGACCCACATGCCTGTACAGTCTAGGGACCCACATGCCTGTACAGTCTAGGGACCCACATGTCTGTACAGTCTAGGGACCCACATGTCTGTACAGTCTAGGGACCCACGTTTGAGGCTTTTTCTGTTTTTTGGTATCTCGAGTGTAGTAAGTTTAAATCTTAAACACAATGATAACCATCACAAAGTAAATTAGATAATATGTACTATATTTGTTTTCCTCCTAAAAGGACGATGTTAACACTCTGCTTGATAAAGCAAGGTTGGAAAGTCAAGAAAGCACAAGATTCATAAAGGCAACAAAAGTATTGATGAAAAAAAATTCAGCAGACATCATGAAACTAAGAGAGTTTTTCCAGAAGTATGGCTATCAGTCACGTGACAAAGATGATTCAGGTTTGGTTGACTCATTTCTTATCATCTCAGTGTGCAAGAAGGCAGAATGATTGAGGCTCGACTGGGGCCTTTAGTTCTGTCTGTCAGGTCATTCCGTGAGCATTCAGCACTCTGCCTGTCAGTGGTATGCTGGGAAGCAGTCCTTGTGGGTCTTCAATAGCAAGCTTCAGGCTAATCTGGGCTACATAGTAGTAAGACCTGCAGCAAGAAATGAAACTGCTCTTGTTCTCCTTTCTATAGTGCTGGATGAAAGTGTTGTTGAGCTATTTAAAATGAAAACATGTGTTTAGTTAGCTCAGCCACTAAGTAGCTGGAGAACCACTAGGTACTCTTGTTTCTCTTACATTCAGATTTCTCCGCTGCAGAACAAGGTGCTTGAGCTATATAAATTGGTAGAGTACTTTTTTGGTTGCACACTTATTAAAAGGGATTGGTTAGTCATGGTGGCTCAGCAAAGCTGCACACACCTGTAACCCTAGGAGCCAGGGGAGAAGGGTCACTGACCTTGCTCCTCAGTGTAAGGTGGGGATATTTAATTCATCTACTTCATGAGGTAGCATGAAGAGCAGTTAAGAGCTGAGCATATTGCAGTCCTTTGGAGGCCAAAGCACAAAGATCACTTGATGGAGGCCAGCTGGTATGTTTGTTGCCCAATGTTAATGTTGCTGCTGCCATGTGGCCATCTCTCTGAGTGGCTGGCTTTAATATACTTCAATGTCTTGGTCTTTTATGAAGATGATCTTTGTATGTAAGGAAAGCATGCATGAAATCCAACAAGTATGTATTTGTGGTAAGTATGTTAGTCAACATGTTGTACTAGAATTCAGTTTAATTTGGAAGTTAGAAAATGTGTAATATAATTTGCTTTTGTCCTAAAATAATCATAGATTCAGATTCTCCTTTTTTGTACTTGAGCACCTAAAATTTAAGTCTGTGGCTGGCAAGAGGACTCTGGATAAAAGGACTTGTCACCTAACCTGACAATAATCATGGCCACATGTATCCTGTGGCACACACACAAACAAAATGTAATTAAAAATTTTCACAAAATCAAGAGTCTAAAATATTGTTACAGTTTGTGTTAAATCTAGAACGAAGTTGATTATACACCAGTTCCATACTAATAATACTTTTAGAAAATAATAAGACTGATAAATAAATCATACTGGAGAGTAAGAAATTGGATTTTATTTGTGGTTTTGGTTTTTCAAAGCAGTTTCATTTCTCTAGAGTGTCTAGATGGAATACAAGTAGGTAAGATGTATATATCAAACTTTTGAAATGAAAACTTAAAGAATCAAGATTTCATTGACATGGAACGTTTGGGGTGAGCTATTTTGTGTTGTTTTAATAATCAAGAGATTTTCTGTCTTGATGTCTGACCAGAATTTACCTCTTCGACTTTTCTTCCCAGGATGTAAGCACAAAGTCAGTGACTCAACCTCAGAGTTGGCTGTGTGTGAAGACCTTCAGGAGCCTGGCATGGAGGGAGATCTCTCCGATTCATGTGTTCCGAGCAGTTCTGTTTCTGAAAAGCCCCTACTCCGCAGCCCACAGCTTTCAGATTTTGGACTTGAGCGGTACATGGTCTCTCGAGTCCCAAACCCTCCCCAGGCAGCTGACAGCCTTAAGGAAGTGTGCATATCTGAAACCCCTCCCTCCAAAGACTCTTCGATTAGAGTGCTAAAGACTCCCAGGTGTGCTCTAAAGATGGATGATTTCGAGTGTGCAACTCCTAAATTAGAACACTTTGGTATATCTGAATATACTATGTGTTTAAATGAAGATTATACAATGGCACTTAAAAATAGGAAGACCATTAAAAGGTAAGCAACTTGAAATTTTTTAAAGATTTATATTTGTGATTTTCTTGTTTTTTTGTTTTGTTTTGTTTTTCGAGACAGGGTTTCTCTGTTTAATAGCCCTGGTTGTTCTCAACTCACTCTGTAGACCAGGCTGTCCTTGAACTCACAGAAATCCACCTGCCTCTGCCTCTGGAGTGCTGGGATTAAAGGCATGCACCACCACTGCCCGGCTATTTTTGTGAGTTTTAATTACATGTGTGGGTATGTGCTGGTGAGTGCAGGTGCCCTCAGAGGCCAGAGGTATTGGATCCCCCCTTGGGACTGGAGGTAAACACAGTTGTGAGCTGTCTGGTGTGGGTGCTGGTAACTGAACTCTGGTCCTAGAAGAGCCATATGTGATGTTAATTGCTGAACCATCTCTCCAGTCCCTTGCGAATATGTGTGTTAATTCTTTGAAAACCTTATACAGCGTTTTTGATTATATTCCTAATTCCTTTAGCACCTACCCTCCCCCAATGCATGTCCTTATTTTAAAAAAAATAACCCATGGAGTCTGATTTGTGCTGTCCATTTACTGCTGGAGCATAGGCTGCCTCCCAGGGCCACACCCTTAAAGAAAAAAAGATTCCCTCTCCCAGCAGGTAACAGTTCACTGTAGCTCCTCTGCTAAGGAAGGGACTTTGTGACCTCCTTCCTGCTCCATGTTGGGATTTTGTGTGCATTCTGTCAGAACTGTTGTGAGTTCATATGTGCAACTGCCCGTTGCGTCAGGAAAACTATTTTAATGTAGTCATCTACACCTCTGGCTCTTAGTCTTTCCACCTCTTCCAAGATGATCCCTGAGTCTTGGAATGATGTCCCATTTAGGGCTGAGCACTCGGTATAGTTTTTTACCTCCCCATGTTGACTGTTGTGGATCTCTGTGTGAATGGTCATCTGCAAAAGGAAGCTTCTCCAGGCCGGATGTGGAGGTGCACACCTTTAATCCCTGAACTTGGGAGGCAGAGATAGGCTGATCTGTCAAGAGTTCAAGACCATCATAGTCTATGTAGTAAGTTCCAGGACAGCTGGGGCTATGTAGCAAACAACAAAAATAGCTTCTTTGACACATATTCAAAGAGATGTAATAATGGCTGGGTGAGGTGGTGGGTGCATGCCTTCAGTCCCAACACTCAGGAAGCAGATCTCTTGAGTTTGAGGTCAGCCTGGTCTACATAGCAAGCTCCAGGAGAGCCAGTGCTACATAGAGCTTGTCTTAAAAAAGAAAGAGTTGGGTGAGTACACTAATCTGTGAGCAGTGTCATTACGCTTCAGCTTAATCCTATGTCCCTGTGTCAGAATTAATAGTAGTAGTTTCTCCCCTAAGATCTATCGAGCCAGGGGTATTTGTGTTAGGTGTGGGTTCTGTCTTGTATGGATCAGGCTGTAATTGGAATTAGAAAGCAGTTTTCCCAGTGGTGGTGACACATGCCTTTAATCTCAACACTCGGGGCAGATCTCTGTGTGTTCGAGGGCTGCCTGGTCTACAGAGTGAGTTCCAGGACAGCCAGGACTATTTTATAGAGAAACCCTGTCGTGGAAAACCAAAGAAAGAAAGTTGTTATTTCTGAAACTCCAGTGGGCTTATGTCATCTGTAATGTGTGGGAGTCTATGGGACCTCACCAGCAAATAACTCCAAAAGGTAACCATTCCAGGCACTGGGCTTCTTAATCTAATAGTTTGTGGTGTCTTAGGGATGGCACCATTGTTCCTATTTATAGGATAGCTCCTTTTAAACCCTTCATAGTGTGTGTGTTTTCGGGAATGTCTACAGAAGTTGGTCTCCATGACTTTTGCCAAAGATTTTTAGTGTTAGTTGTCCCTCTGTCCTGCCCTTATTCCCAACCCCACTTAATCCTCCTTACTCCATTCTACCCCCCACCTCTACACCACACACACACAATGGTGCTGTATCCATTCCACATACAAGAGGAGATGTGACATTTGTCTTTCATAGTCTAGGTACCTCATTCAGAGTGATTGTTTATAGCTCCATCCATTTATTTACCTGCAAATGTCATAATTTCATTTTTCTTATCAGTTGAATAATATTATGTTGTGTAAATGTGCCACATTTCATTATCTGTTGCCAGCTGGTGAACTTGTAAGGTACTTCCATTTCCTGGCTGTCATGAATAAAGCATCAATGAACATAGTTGAGCAGGTATTTCTAGAGTAGAATATAGACTCCTTTGGGCACATGCCCAAGAGTGGTATAGCTAAATCATATGGAGGATCTATGTCTAGCTTTATGTGGAACCTACACACTGATTTCCAGAGTCGCTGCATCTGTTTAAATTCCTACCTACAGGAAAAGAATGTGTTCCCCTTCCCTGATATCCATGCCAGCAAAACTTGGGGTTTTGTGTCAGTTGAGTTTTTGTTGTTGATTTTACTTGAGTCAGGGTCTCTGTGTAATCCTGGAAGGCCTGAAATGCACAGAGATTCCCCTACCTCTGCCTTCTGAGTGCTGAGATTAAAGGTGTATACCACGTCTGCTGTTGCCTTTTTTTTTTTTTTTTTTTTAGTCTTAGCCTTTGTGATGGGGTAAGATGAACTGCCCCTGATGTCTGTGCCAGGATCTGAAGTGGGGTCTTCTGGAAGGGCAGGAAACACTGAGCCATCTCTTGAAGCACTAATCTAAATAATTTTAGTAAAAACCAGAAGTCAAATATTGGGGTAAAGACCCAGAAGATCAGAAAACCCAGAGCAGCTGCCAGTTACATCTTTCCTCTCTTGTTCCTTAGTCCAGAAACCCCGAGATCCCGTCTACACCCCACCTTATTACTTCCTGTCTCCACCTCCAAGTTTAAAGGCATGTGCCACCACTGCCCAGCTTCTATGGTTAACTAGTGGCTAGCTAGCTCCACCCTCTAATCTCCAGGCAAGCTTTATTTGTCAGAATACAAACAAAATATCACACAACAATCTTCTGCCCGCTTTTGTAAGGAATTCAGCTATTTCATATTTTAAATCTCTTGAATCACTAATTCTATCAATGAAGTGTAAGCTATTGATCTCCGAAGTAGTGATAGATACTGTACAGTGTTCTCTCCTGTGTATTTGTGTAATTGGACAAGTCAGCTCCCCACTCCCACTCTCCACCCTGAGACAGGGTTTCTCTGTGTAGACCAGGCTGTCCAAGTCACAGAGATCTGCTTGCCTCTGAGTCCAAATGCTGTGATTAAAGGTGTGCACCCACAAGGGCAGTCAATCTTAACAAAATGATAGATTCAGTCTTTTTCCTCTAAAATAATGGCAGGTTTTTATTTTATTTTATTTTGTGTGTTTGAGTGTTTTATCTGAGTGTGTATCTGCACTTTGTTCATGCCTGGTGAAAGAGGGTGTCAGAGCCCCTGGGATGGGAGTTAGGAATTGAACCCTGGTCCTCTGGAAGAGCCGCCAGTGCTCTTAACCACTGAGCCGTCTCTCCAGCTCCCTCACCCCCAATTTGTTACTGGGCTTCAACAATTTTGCTTTCTGTCATGCTACACGAGGTTATTAATGAAGTCTTGCTAATTTAACTGAATTTGCATACTGGGTAAATTCCACAGATTTCTTTTAAGTTAGAGGTTGTTAAGCAAGGAATCACCTATTATGGCTCAATGTATGTGTCTCCACATCTTGCTTTATATATTTGTATATTTTAAATAAGTATTATATACTTTAAATATTTAAAGTAAAAAATATGTGTATCAAATATATTTTTAATTATTTTAATGATTTCTTCCATTGGTCTTTATTTCTTAAACCAAAAATGAACTACCCCAGACTGAAAGATTGAAGTTTTTCAGCAAAGACTGAATGTTAACTCTTGCGATTTTACAGTTCCCCTCTGAATAGTGCCAATGACGAGGCCATAGAGACAGAGCCTGTGACCAGTGAGAATTCTTTTGCCGTTCCTGGTTTCATAATCCAGCAACTAGAAAAAACTGGTGAGTTTAAAAATTAGCTTCTCCTTTGTACTCTTCTGGTTAACTTTGTACAAAATGACTCTAATTATAGATTACTAACTTTATGGTTACTGCATCTTTTTTGTTTGGGTTTTGTTTTGTTTTTGTTTGTTTTGGTTTGGTTTTTTTGAGACAGGGTTTCCCTAGTAGCTAGGGAGCCTGTCCTGGAACCTGCTCTGTAGACCAAGGCTGGCCTTAAACTCACAGAGATCCCTTTGTCTCTGCCTCCTGAGTGCTGGGATTAAACGCTTTTGCCACCACTGCCCAGCTTTTTTTCTTTTTTCAATGTGTACATTTGTCTGTGTTAGGGTGTCAGATTCTCTGGAATTGGAGTTACAGACAGACAGGTGTGAGCCGCCATGTTGGTGCTCTGGAAGACCAGCCAGTGCTCTTAACTGCTGAACCATTTCTCCAGCCCCTTACTGCATCTCTTTAATCTGTGGTACAGATTCTCTTTGGTACCATTCCACTTAAGTTCAGCTTGATTTCATGGGAGAGAGATACATTTTTTCAACTATCTTTATTTCATGTGTATATTTGTCTTCGCGTATATCTGTGCCACACGTGTTGTGTGTCCTGGCCCAGTAAGTTTTCAGTATTATTTCTCATTATGTGTAGTATGAGTCAGGTTTTTGTTCCCCAGTGTTAAATTTTTAATCATTTTTATTTTATGTGTGAGTATTTTGCCTGCATGTATGTCTGTACATCACATATGTGCCTGCTGCCTGTTGAGGTCAGAGGAGGGCATTAGATACCCTGGACCTAGACTTATGAGTGACTATGAGCTGCCATGTGGGTGCTCTGGAACTCAAGTCCTCTGAAAGAGCAGCCAGTACTTTTAACCACTAAGCCATCTCTTCAGCAGTCATTTATTCTTTAATTTTGGAATCTGAGTTTATTCACATTGTTGGCAAGTGTTTAAAACTGTATCATCTTTCCAAAGTTTTGCACTTATTTTTAGAAAAAAAATGTGCTAATTTCAGGACATGTTATTAATAAGCACTGCTGGTACAAGCAAGTTTAAAAACTGGTCCAGCCGGGCGTTGGTGGCACACGCCTTTAATCCCAGCACTTGGGAGGCAGAGGGGGCGGATCTCTGTGAGTTCGAGGCCAGCCAGGTCTACAAGAGCTAGTTCCAGGACAGCCTCCAAAGCCACAGAAGAAACCCTGTCTCGAAAAACCAAAAAAAAAAAAAAAACTGGTCCATACTCATGGTAACTATAAGGAAGAATATGACTGTATTCAAGAAATTCTAGTTGTTTAAAGAAAGGAAACAGGTCATTGGTGGCACATGCCTTTAGCCCCAGCACTCAGGAGACAGAGGCAGTCGGACCTGTGTGAGTTCAAGACCAGCCTGGTCTACAGAGCGACTGCCAGGATAGGCTCCAAAGCTACACAGAGAAGCCCTGTCTCAAAAAAACAAAGAAAAAAAAGGTGACACAAGAGCAAACTTTGAAGCAATGCCTTCATTCCAGTTTCTCAAGTATCTTTAGGGGCTGGAGAGATGGCTCAGTGGTTAAGAGCACTGACTGCTCTTTCAGAGGACCTGGGTTCAATTCCCAGCACCCACATGGCAGCTCACAACTGTCTGTAATTCCAGTTCCAGAGGACCTGACACCCATGGCAAAGCACCAACACATAGGAAATAAAAATTAATAAATTTAAAGAGAAAAAAAAGAAAGGAAACAGGCTCATTAGTGTATCAAAAGGAAAGTGGTGGTCGTGGCAGGCGCAGAAGAGCTGCCTGAAAAGATGCTATTCTTTTTTATTCTTTTTTAATGTGTATGGGTATTTTGTCTGCATGTGTGTCTGTGCACCGTGTGCATTTATGTCTGGTACCTTCAGAGGCTAGGAGAGGATGTCAGATCCCACAGGACTCGAGTTACAGATGTCTGTAAGCTGCCATGTAGGTGCTGGAAATTGAACCTTAGTTCTCTGGAAGAGCAGCCAGTGGCCTAACCATTAAAAAAATGAAATTAGAGCTGGAGAGATGACTTGGCGGTTATGAGCATTTGCTGCTTCTCCAGGTACGTGGTTTGATTCCTAGCAACCATAATTCTTAGCTCACAACCATTTGTAACCAATTCCAGGGACTCCAGTGTCCTTTTCTGACCTCCACAGGCACAAATATGCACAGACATTCATGCAGACAAAACACACATACACATAAAAGTAAATAAATGAATAAAAGTATGGTTGGGGAGATAGTTCGATTGGTAAAGTGTTTGCCACAAAGACACGAGGATTGACTTGGGCTTGGGTTCCCAGAACTTGTGTAAAAGTCCGGGCATACTGAAACATGCATGTTATCACCAGCACTGTGGGAGGCAGAGACAGTCGAACCCCTCAGGTTCAGTGAGAGACTGTCTCAAAAAACAAGGTAGAGGCTGAACCTGATGGTGCTTACCTTTAATCTCAGCACTTGGGAGGAGGCAGAGGCAGGCGGAGCTCTATATTTGAGGCCAGCCTGGTCTACAGAGTGAGTTCCAGGACAGCCACAGAGAAACCCTGTCTTGAAGCAAAACAAATAAAATAGAAAGATGGGGTGCAACTGAGGAAGGCACTTGATGTCCGCCTCTAGCCTACACAGTCATGTATACTGAAACACACTTGTGCATACACCACACTAACAAGTATTACACACCACTCACTCACCCAAAAGATGAGAGAGAGAGAGAGAGAGAGAGAGAGAGAGAGAGAGAGAGAGAGAGAGAGAGAGAGAGAGAGAGAGAGAACAATGTCTCATATCAAGTCTTTGAACTCACAGCAGTCCTCTTGCCTCAACCTCTGGGATTATAGGTTTGAACCACTATGTCCAGTTAAAATATATTTTTTAAAGATTTACTTATTTTTTTATGTATATAAGTGTTTTGCCTGCATTAATACTTGTGCACTGTGTGTGTAGTGCCTACAAAGGGCAGAAGAAGGCTGGAATCCTGGAGCTCTTGCTACAGGTGGTTGTGAGCTCTCCTGTGGGTGCTCAAAATCAAACCTAGGACCTCTACAAGAACAGTGAGTGCTCTTAACCACCAAGCCACCTCTTGAGTTCTGGCTTCACCCTTTCTCATCCACCACTACCTGGTTAATGTAGTCGTGGGGATTGAACCCTGGGCTTTGTGCATGAATGGCAAGCACTGTTAGTTTTATGTTAGGTTTCTTTGTTTTTGAATTTGTATTTGTTATCTGTCTCTCTCTCTCTCTCTGTGTGTGTGTGTGTGTGTGTGTGTGTGTGTGTGTGTGTGTGTGTGTGTGTGTGTGTGTGTGTGTGTGTGTGGTGTTTGTATGTGAGTATGGGTATATGCTTACCATAGTGTGCATAATGGAAGCCAGAGAAGTCACTGTGTCATGTGGGTATTGGACACCAGTCATAAGGTTTATGTGATTTTATCTGGTGAACTGTTTCAATGACCACTTTACACGGCATTTTGTTTGTTTGATTTTTGGATTTTGGAGACAGTGTTTCTCTGTATACCAGTCCCGGATGTCCTGGAACTCACTTTGTAACCAGGCTGGCCTCTAATTCACTGAGATCTGCCTGCCTCTGCCTCCCGAGTGCTGGGATTAAAGGCGTGTGCCACCAACGCCTGGCTGAATTCATTACTTTGTACTGCTCTTATAAGATGTAACTTTTGTTATATATATGAATGAATTTGACAGTTTTGACTTTTCTTGTTCAGCCAAACCACACACTATACGTAGATTTTTTTTTAAAACATTACTAACAAAATATACAGGCCAAACTGACAGTGTGTTTAACTTAAAAAATGGCTCCAGAGATGGTTCAGTAGTTAGGAGCATACTGTTCTTGTAGAGGACCTGGATTAGATTCCCAGCCCCACATCAGGCACTCACCTCTATCTTAAGAAGTTGGAATATTTATTTCAACTTAATTTTCATGCCATTTTATGTCTTCTAGATGCTGAATGCACAAATTCACCATTGCCACCTAAATTCTGCACTCCTGGTTTGAAAATTCCTTCTACAGTGGACAGTACAGCTTTGGTAAAGTTTCATGATGAGCCCCAGCCTTCCTCCTCATGACTCAGACATTACTTCTGGACTCGGTGTGTCTCACAAATTAGACCAATGCAACTCTTAGGAATGCACCATAGATCAGGATCTGATATCATGTCAAAAAATTTGTTGGAGGCAAATTGAGGCAGAGCTAACAGTATAGAAAGAAGTACAGAAATGCAAATAGCTAGTGAGAAAGCAGCCTAATGAATACAGTGAGCTTATCTAAGATCTGATGCCAAGTATCTGTCATGGTCTAAAAACCGGATGAGACCAAGCCAAAAGAATATTTTCAAGAAATTTGATGTTGTTGAAGATAAATGATAATACACGCACATATAGTTTGAGAAAAAAGAATGGGCCAGGTGGGGTTGTGGCAGCACACCATTAATCCCAGCACTCAGGATGTAGAGGCAGGTGGATCTCTGTGAGTTTGAGATGAGCCTGATCTACAGAGTGAATTCCAGGACAGCCAAGGCTACACAGAGAAGCCCTGTCTCGAAAAACCAAAAACATTATTTACTTACCATAATTCAGTGATTTATTTTTATTCTGTAGGTATATAAAAATTATCCATCGTCCAAGCCAAGTTCATCGAGTGATTTGGAAGTTAAAGATTATGCTCCGTTACTTTTAAATTCAGATGAATGCTATGAGAGCTTTGCAGACCCCCCTTCGCCTACAATTACTTCTTGTGAGAATATCAGAACACCCAGTCCTCCAGACGTCACTGAAATTCCAGAAGACATTCTTCAGGTTATTTTCCACACTATTTTTCTAATATTTTTATAATTATTATATTTGTGTTAGAGAATTGAAATTGCATATTAACCTGTCATATTTACCATCAAACCAATGTGTGACTTGGTTTTAGTGATATTACTCTCATGAGGTGCTTTCTCTTTAAGTTTGTGTCCTTACAATGTGTTGTTTCTGTTAGTTTTTAAGCTGTGGTTGCCACATTGGCTATTTATTGTTCCTTTGAAAGTGAAAATGTCACTTTCCCTGTAATCACCATAGCGGGGTGTCATTAATAACGTGTGTCTGCATTTCTCAAACTGTTTCACATGGTAATAAAATAGCTGACTGTAGTATGCCATCACCAACTAGTAGATACTACTGATGGGTCTGACTCTACTCCAGGTTACAGAGTTGGGCAATTAGTACTTAGGTGCAAAGAATTCTACGTGACTGTTTAGAGCTGTTCTGCCTCACGGGCAGCCATGAGAACTATAAACTGAGAAAATATCTAAATACCAGTAGAACTGACTCAACCCTGAAAGATCAACCAAGGGGGTCTGTTAAACTTTTCTTTTTTTTAACATTTTATTTTTAATTATGTGTGTAATATACGTGTGTGTGTCTTGGGGTGGATATGTGTACCTACCCTTGAGTACATGCCTGAGTAGTCAGAAGAGGGCGTCAGATCTAGAGTTACAGGCAATTGTGAGCTGTCCAGAGTGGGAACGGAACTCTGATCCTCTGTACAAGCAGAGCGTGCTCTTAACTGCTGAGCTGTCTCCAGTCCTTCCCTGACTACTTGCTTTCTTAGGAGATAACTAGAACGCCTGTCTTGGTGAGGGTGTATGCAGGTTCATGTTTCCTGTTGTGGTTTTCTTTGTTGTTTGCTTTCTTACTGTGATGGGGAACAACACTGGGACTTGTGTATGGTACAGAAGCACACTGCCTTTACTTATTACATGCCCAGTCCACTCAATATACTGCTTCTAGTCTTTTCCTTTTATGTTTTATTAGCATATGTTAATTATATAAAGCAATGGATTGCATATGTTAATTATATAAAGCAATGGATTTCATGTCTTTTTCTTTTTGGTTTTTTGAAACAGTGTTTCCCTGTGTAGCCCTGGCTGTCCTGGAACTCACTCTTTCTCCCTCTGAGTGCTGGGATTAAAAGCATGTGCCACCACTGCCCAGTTTACCTGATGAAATTTTCACATATGTACATAATATATTTTGCTGATACTCACAGATGCACAAACACCCATTACCTTCTCTTGCCCCACTCTCACAGGGCAAGAGAATGAGTTTCATTAAACTGTTTTAGGGATGGCTGTGTTGTGAAGACAATGTGTCACCCTCCTCATTAATGTGTCTGGATACTCAGGGAGAGGCAGGGCCTGTGAGCCTCTCCCCCTCCTAGCTGGGTGCTCATTTGCTTGTCTTTCTGTAGACTCAGTGCACATACTCAGCTGTTCTTTACCTTGTCTTCTGTCATCTACACCATCGTCAAGACCAATGCTTCCATCAACTTTAGTAAATGTGGATTAAATCTTAGACATCAGAATTCCATGTGGATTTTATTTTCTCTGCTTGTTCAATGTCTGTATGGACTGCTGAGTTTTTATTTTTTAAGTATTTTAAGTAACCTTTATCGAATTGTTTGTGGCTTTTGGGGGAGCAGGGTGGTGGTTTCCAGACAGGGTTTCTCTGTAGCTTTGGAGCCTGTCCTGAAACTCGCTGGGTAGTCCAGGCTGGCCTCGAACTCACAGAGATCCGCCTGCCTCTGCCTCCCGAGTGCTGGGATTAAAGGCGTGCGCCATCACTACCCAGCCTCATGGCTTTTCTTGAATGTTTATAACCCTTCCACATTTGTCTTTTTGTTTGTTTCAGATATTAAGAAAGCACAACTCAAACCTAGCTACTCCATTGGAGGTTAAAGCAATGTCACCCAGGAAAGGCTTCCTCAAGTATGAGGGACAGAGCATCCGAGGTGCTGCCAACAAGGAAAACTGGTGACAATAAGGCGCCATCACAGACCTTGGGAATGGTAATGGCGATTTCCCTTTTCGTTTTCATTGAAGTGTAGGTTAATAGCCTGGCTCCACCTGAGCTGGCACTGGCCCTTGATCTCATTCCCAGATTAGCAAATCTGTGTGTGTGGTAATGAATCTATTCCCAGCTTCCCTTTTGTGAAAACATTATTATTCTTGAAACAGGGTCTTACTCTATAGCCTTGGCTGGCCTGCAACTTGCTATATAGACCAGGTTGGCCTCAAATCACATATCTGCCTACCTGCCTCAGCGTATGCCACCAATCTCCTTTTAAAGATTTATGGTGTGGCCGGGCGTTGGTGGCGCATGCCTTTAATCCCAGCACTCGGGGGGGCCAGAGGCAGGCGGATCTCTGTGAGTTCGAGACCAGCCTGGACTACCGAGTTCCAGGACAGCCTCCAAAGCCACAGAGAAACCCTGTCTTGAAAAAAACCAAAAAAAAAAAAAAAAAAGATTTATGGTGTGTTTGCATGGGTACGTAAGTTTAAAAAACTGAGCTGCCAAGCTGCCTTGTCTTGATGTCCTTATTTGATTTTCTGTTTGTAGGAATTCTAGTGTGGATACATCCAATACAGAAGCTGGACAGAAATGGGGAAGCAAGATGGACTGAAGTTCTTCTCAAAATGTTCTTTAGAAATGTTAGCTGGTGAACACGGAGACCAGTGGAGGTGGAGGGCGGGCTCAGGTGGAAGGAGGGCCCACTGCTGGCAGTCTTTCCTGTTGTAGTCCATTCTAAGTGAATGTTTCCATCCCGCCACACTGTGCTGGCCTCTCCAGCTTCCATCTCTGCCTCCCGAGTGCTCTAGGAAATTTGGTGTGGCATAAAGATTATTTTGATTATGCATTGAAAATTAAGTGGAAGAGTTCCAGGGTCATTGTGTTTGTATATTTTCTTTGTTACGTAATATGAAATAGATGAGTTTCGAAGTAAAACTCTAGCCCACCTTTTGTGTGCCTTTTTCACTACCAGGCATTTGTGCCTGAGCCCACATGCCTGAACAAGACTGCTGAAGGGCTGAGAGTGGCCGGGGAGATGGCCCGCAGGCTGAAGGTGCTTGTTGCTCTTTCAGAGGGACCTGGTTTTGATTCCAGGTACCCACGTGGTAATTTACAACCATCTGTAACTCCAGTTCCAGGGGATCTGATGCTCTCTTCTGACATGGGCACCAAGCACACACAGATGCAGTACACATACTACATGCAGGCAAAGCACACATAAAATACAATAGATGAGTCTACTGAAGTTTTTAAAGAAGAGTGGTTAGAGTGTTCTAGCAAAGGTTGGGGAAGAGGCCTGGTGACTCAGGAAATATTTTAGGCAGCAATCATTTCTTTCAGTGCTGCTGAGAATATGGAGGCTGAATTTTTTTGTTAGGTTTGCCAAAGTTGATGATAGGTTTAGACATGATTTGGGGTGGACTGAAGAATGGAAGGGAGTAGAGAGATTGAGGCAGCTCTTTGGAGTTTCGCTAGGGACGGTTAATAAATGGATGGGCTAGAATGGAAAGACAAGATAGGTATTCTTCAGGGTTAGTGGTAGACTTGGGCTTAAGCTTGGCTTGTTTTCACCTTGGCCCCTCAGATTGTACAAATGTGTTTCCCTAAGCTCCACCCTCAGCACTACTGTCACTAGCCTGTCACTTGATGCTTCTAGTGCAAGCTGTATATGCTGTGGTCTTTCCAGGGTACTTTCCTACTGTCTTTAAAGGAGATCCAAGATGTTTACTGTGGCCTAGGTGACTGCTAGGGATGTTACACGAAGAAACCAGCCTTGAGGAAAAAAATAAAAACTTACTGCTCAACCAAGCAGCAGCATTGCAATCCCCAACACAGTACTGGGTGAAATGTGCAGAGTGCATCTACCTGGACACAGCCCACACAGGCCCTAGCAAGACAAGAGATGTCTCCATGTGAGCTGGTCTCAGGCCAGCTAGCTGTGCCCTGGACTTTCCATATAAGTGATCATAAACCCCTGTGCTTTATGCTACTTAGACTGTTGTTGTCAACAGTGCGCAGTATTGGGAGAATTAGTTCAGATGCCTTCCTGGCTCTCAAGTGCTATATCTGTCACACTAAGTAGAACTTGTACTATATAGCTGAGTATGAAATGTTCACCTCCCACGTGGGCTACTCACTGAACCCTTGGTTTCTGTGGCCTTTACCCTAGTCTGTGTTTACTTAACTATTGATAGTGTTAATTACTGAGATTTATCAGTAACGTTTTATTCTAAATGCCATTAGCTCTGATGGTCTCTAACTCAGTTCTCACCTTAGTTATATAATCTGACATTTCTACCTCCTTTCCTTCAGTTCTTCCAATAGTACATAAAAAGTTGGGTGAGAAGCCTAGGGTATAGCTCAGTGCCATTGCTTACCTAATGTGAAGGCCCGTGCATTTGGTGCTTAGCACCACAAGAGATTATGCACTGTGGCCCTTCTGTTAACAAGTGTCCTTTATCTGGAGTAGAAATGTCACCTCACGCTTTTGGAAATGGCAAGCTCACACCATCTCCAGAATTGTACCTCGTAGTTTCAGCGATTATTAAGACCGGTCTCTGATCTTTGTATTTACCGGTTGTCACTGCTGGAAAGCTTGGAGTGAATCAGAAATACTGCAAGTTTTTTTTGCTAGTTTATAATTACTTTCTCAAAGTTCACCTCATTCATACTCCAATTATTTTAGTTAGTTACAACCAGACCTGTAAACCCAATAGCAGGATGGTCCGGAGTTCAAGACCCTCCATAGAGAGTTCCAGGACTACAGTAGAGACAGCATCTCAGGAAAAGTTTTTATTAAGTTACTGTACATGAATCTTGCAAGTGTCTGAACCACCTCAGGGGCAGAGCAGAGGGCCGGGCAGTGCTTCCCTCTTTGGAAACAACTGACACTGAGCTGTACGCTAAGTCTCAGTTGCCTGGCTATGCATGCCAGTCAGTGGAGGCGGAGACAGACAGATTTGATTGAGTTCAAGGCCAGCTTGGTTTACAGAGTTCCAGGTCAGCTAGAGCTATGCAGCAAAACGCTGTCCAAGAAACAACCAAGAAGTATCACCACAGCACCCTTCCAGGGTAATGACAACATAACATTCCCAGTGACTTAAGTGTTTACTATTAAAAATGCCTTGGGCCGGGCGTTGGTGGCACACACCTTTAATCCCAGCACTCAGGAGGCAGAGGCAGGTGGATCTTTGTGAGTTTGAGGCTAGCTTGGTCTACAGAGTGAGTTCCAGGACCGCCTACAAAATACAGAGAAACCCTGTCTCGAGAAAAAAAAAAAAAAAACACTTTGTGCTGGGCATGTCTCTGATCCCAGGGTAGAAAGCAGAGGCAGGTAAAATCTCTGGATTCTAGGCCAGCCTGGTCTACATAGTGAGGCCCTGTCTCAAGAACAAGGGCTACAGAGAGCACTTGTTGCTTTTGCAGAGGACTCAGTTTGGTTTCAGCATCCACATGCAGCCCCACAACCAGGTGTCTGTGATGCCAGTTCTGGGGGCCTGACTACACATATGCAGGCCAACACTCATGCACTAGCTCTCTGGGCCAGTGAGATGCCTCGGTGGGTAAAGGGACCTACTACCAAGTGTGACAGCCTAAGTTTGATCCAATGATGGTGGCCGTAGAGAACCAACACCCAGAGCTGTTCGGACTCATAATCCCCTTCCTCCAAATAAACGTAATTTTATCTTCGGTTTTAGCTTACTGCCCCTAGGGATTTTCTTATTTGGAGGAAAAGAATCCGTGACTTAGTCTTCAGAGAATGGTTACCTGGCCAATATTAATCCCAACAGAATAAATACTTTTAGCTAATTTCATTGCCAACCCTAGGAAATCATAGCCATTGGCAAGTGTTTAAGGCAACAAACCAAACATGCAGTCATTCTACTGCTTTTAATCACCTTCAAGGTGGAAACCACAGCCACGTATTTTAAGAGTTTGTAATTGTATAGGAATTGAGTAAGGCAGGGTCAGTATTCCAAATGCCTGCCTTGAACTCAGTCATCACCCCTCAGCCATGGAGGTTGTGAGCCAGTGCTTGGTATATGTTCTGTACGGTCCTGGCACACACAGCTAAGTGCCCCACCACACAAGCGAGAAAGCAGGACAAGTTCAGTTCTTCCTGTCAGAATAACTATTCAGCTCTCTTCTCACTTGCCCTCACACACGACAGCTTGCAGCTCCACATGTGATACTGAAGCAAGTGTTACCTAGCCAGTGACTCACCTGCTCTGCAGGTGCTACTCAAGCTCTCACAGCTCTCCTGCACTTCCTTCACAGGACTGCTTCCTTCCATCTCCCTCCATCCTCAGCTTTTCCAGGTAGACGTGCTGTAGCCTAGGCTCTGGCTCATTTCCTCTTACTACATGCATTTTGAAGTCAAGAGGGGCCAGATCCCCTAGGACAGCAGTCAGAGTTGTGAGCCTTCATGCAGATACAGAGAATAGGACCTGGGCCCTCTGCAAGAGCAGCAAGTGTTCTTAACCTGAGCATCTCTCCAGCTCTTGCCACCATTTTATCTTGTGTCACTTCAGTGAGCCAAGCTTTTCCAACACAAGACGGTTTCTTCAACATGTCTTACTCACACAGGCCTAGAGTCTAATGCCACAAACTGACTGTACCATTTTATACAACCCCGTGGCTTTCTTGTTCTGTCTCTTGAGGGCTTAAAATACTCTACTACTTAGTAAAAACCCATGAGGTGAGACTTGTTCCCAGGTCCCCATTAACTTTCACACCTGGGCTAATTGCACACATGTATTTCACAATAGTTTTACACAGAATGCTAAGAGCACTTTTTGTATTTTACAGAAGGGCTTAAAACATACAGACTTTAATATACCAAAGTACATCCAACTCTAATTCCTAAATAAATGTGTTACAATTTGCTTAAAATTTAAAGGCTTAATGGCAAGGCTCAAGGGAGGAAAAGATTAAGTAAGTTTATTTTACAAACTGGCTGAAAAATAACTTCAAGAAAGTCAATAGAATTTAGTAGGGTCTCATCCGTCCTGAAGGAGGCGCTCGATTTGGAGGAGTGATGGCTATGTCCAGATAATCCCCTATTTGGAACTTCTGTGACTGCAGGGTCATAGAGTCATCAGTGCCTTTCCTGCCAGACATGGTGCTGCCAATCTCCTTAACTCTGCAGGGAGGAAAATCAACAGTTAATGGACTAGAGCTGCATCAACAGAGACCACAGAGAACATGAAATAGGTTTGCAGAGTTTAAGCACTACATTCAAGCTAAGACAGATCTGAATATAAGCCTAAGACACAACCACTGCCACTCAAGAAATTATCCCAGCCGGGCGGCGGTGACACACGCCTTTAATCCCAGCACTGGGGGGGGGAGCAGAGGCAGGCGGATCTTTGTGAGTTCTAGGCCAGGCTGGACCAACAGCCTCCAAAACAATGCAGAGAAACCCTGTCTCGTAAAACCAAAAAAAAAAAAAAAAAAAAAAGAAATTATCCCAAAGCTAGGCATGGTGGCATACGCCTATAATTCCAACACTGAAGCTTAATCTTGTCAGAAAGGGGTCCTGTGCAAACTCTAGAGATTACAGAAATTAAAGTAACAAGTCACTTACCGATACCCAGGTCGTTTAAGATCCATAAAAACAATCGCAAAGTTGAAGTGTGTGCCCTTCTTTCTGGCTTCTGGGTAAACTTCCTTTACTAAACTTGTCAGTTCTTTCAAGGTTGCATCCATCCTAAGGGTTTTGAAAACACAATATGATTAATAAATGTGGGTTATATTCCAGGGCCTCTCACTACATGAATTACTGGCAAGATGGCCTGGCAGGGAAAAGGCGATTTTGCTGCACAACCCTGGCAACCCAGATAAAGGCCAGGAGAGAATCAACCCCACAGTTATCCTCTGACCTCAAGCATTTCACAGGATGTGGGGTAAACAACTAGTAGTAATCATTAAAAAATTATTTGCCTCCAAATATTTCCTGTGCTGGCCTCAGTGCTAAAAATAGCAATAAATTAGTCTTGCTACAAGAGTTTAAGGAGATTTCCACATAACCACTTCTGAGGCTACATAACATCATGTGTCAGTGATGTACTTACCCACAAGTAACCAGTCCAACTTACTCAACTACAAGTTAACTGTTTAATTTCTTTTTTGGTTTTCAAGACAAGGTTTCTCTTTATTGTTTTGGATGCTGTCCTGGAACTTGCTCTGTAGACCAGGCTGGCCTCGAACTCACAGAGATCCACCTGCCTCTATCCCCTGCCCCCCCCCCCCAGTGCTGGGATTAAAGGCATGCACTACCAACGCCGGCCTGTTTAATTTCTAAAATACATAATCTCATACGTTACAGCCTCTAAACAGTAATGCATCTTAGAATCAACGTGCTGGGATAGCATCTTAAGGATATGCAATTTCTTGTTCTCTCATATAATCTTAATGATGGAGGCAGGCAAGATGGCTTAGTGGGTAACAGTGCTTGCTGCCAAGCCTGATGGAACGAACGAGAGACGTAACCTGTCCTCTGTCCTCCACACATGTACCATGACCCCATACACCACATATATACAGAAAAGTGTAATCTAAATTTGCCAGTGATTAATCCCAGAACTCAGGAGGCAGAGGCAGGCAGATCTCTGTGAGTTCAAGACCAGCCTGGTCTACAAGAGCGAGTTCCAGGACAGCCTCCAAAACAATACAGAGAAACCCTGTCTCGGAAAACAAAAAGAAAAAAAAAATTTGCCAGTGAGATGGCTTAGTATGTAAAGGCACTTGCTGCACAAGCCTGTTGTCCCAAGTTCAATCTTCAGAATCCTCAATTAATGTGGAGAGAAAATATTCCAAAAGATGCCCTCAGACCTCTACAAGTGATGTAGTTAGTAATTGCACAGTGCACAGTTCATTGGGGGGAGAGAAAGGAGAGTGTGGAGAGAGGAAAGAAGAGACAGAGCTGCCTCCTGAGAAACGGCAGAAAGAGAGCACTAAAAAATGATTTTTTAAGGACATGATATTTGGCTCCTTTTACAACATAAGCTATTATTAACTTAAAAATACTTATCTAAAAGGGGGGTGGGTAGGGGGAGGGAAACTGCAGTTGGGATGTAAAATAAATATAATTAAAAAGCTTCTGAACTCAGAACTAAAAATAGTCCTTTGGGCTAATATAACAATCTAGAACAAAAGAACTGGAAATGTAAACATCTTAGCAATGTTTAACAACCTCACTCACATTTGTATTGTTTTTGCCCATAACAATGAGAAAGTAAAACGAAAGGTCTAAACTTAAAACACCATTTTGTGCAAAGTGCTGGAAAAAAATGGCAGAGCACTAGACACTTGAGAATTAGAACACTGATGTAGTAGAATCAAGGAAAAGAAAGAGCCCATTGCATTTCCACCGTGAACTTTACAGTCTCCACACCATCAGACTCAAACACATGAAGTGCAAACACCAAGGATGTCCTCCATTTTCTATTCCAAATTATTTCTCAGATATCCCGGTAATAGAATTCAAGTCTTCCAGAACGTGCACTTCTACTAACCTGATTTTAAAAAAAAATACTACCTCCCCAGTTAAACCTTGTTTAAATCTTGTTACCAAGCAACATAGCTCTGAGCTATACACTCAGCTCCAATCTATACTGCTGTGGAATGCCACCTATTGTCACCTCTAGGGGAGGGTCTCACTGCTCGCACAGTATAACACAGCAATGCCAATGCCTGGCACCTGATAAAGCCCCAGTCTGTCATGCTAATAAGTGACTTGTAGGTGCCATAGTCACCAAGACAGACATTATTTGTATTATGATAAGTACTTTGCTCACAAAGACACAAATTGGGTCAGCAAAGGCTCGCCCAGGCTGCCATTCCCCCCTCACTACAGGCCAAAAGTCCTAAGAGGACATCCTGAAGGATAGGCACAGGTTCTAAATAAACACTACATTTCTTTTTAAAAATAAAAAAAGTCACTATTCCAAGACTTTGATATCCACGTGGTTCTGGAACAATCTCTATGGATATAGAGAGATAACAGTCTTTGAAAAGCTCATCACTATATAGAGAGGCAGTACATTATAACCTCAGGGTGTAAGGAAAGTACTGGCAAATTAGAAATCTTATTTGTTGAGACATGAAATTTTAGTATTTGAAAAGTGGCTTACTTTAAGCTATTACTGAATAGTTTTTGTTGTTGTTATTGGGGGGGGGGGTTGAGACAGGGTCTCTGTATAGTCTTGGCTGTCCTGGACTTCACCATGTAGACCAGGCTGGCCTCGAACACTGCCCACCTGTAATAAGAAATGACCGCTTGCTTAACAGGTAGAGTTTCTAGTTGTGAAGTGTGTGGAAAGATTTCAGAAAAAGACGTTGCACAACTTTGAAAAGTTAAAGTGGCAAATTTCGTGTTATATTTTACCACTTCAGAAATGAGCACTTACTGCTTCTCAAAAGCCCATTTCGATGTTAACCCGCCACCATATGAAGGACAAGCTTGTAGGGTCCTAACTGAGTGGGCAGCAAGGCAGTTAACGCAGACATAAAACATCTGCAAAGTCGTCTTCACTAAACCACCACCTTGGCCTTTCCGCCGTGGGCCAGGGCAGAAAGCAGGCGGGCGAGCCCGCGCCCCTCCCACTGAGAGCCCGGTCCCCGAGGGCGCAGCCCCAAGGCCCCAGCCCCGCGCGCCTCACCAGGTGTAGATCTGCAGCTCACTCGAGGGCACGTTCCCGCGGGAGAACTCGTCCATTCTGTGGTGGCGGCCGTTGTTGGTGGTGAAGACCCGCAGCAGGAGCGGGCAGGTCTGCGGAGAAGCGGGGCTCACTCAACGCTCGGCCGCGCCGCTTGGCCTTCCCGCCCACCGGTCCGCAGGCCGCGCCCGCCCCCACGCCCGCCCGCCCGCCCGCCGGCTCTGTCCCGCAGCGGCCCGCACCTTCTCGCGGTCGATCGGCTTCTCCGGCTCCTTCTTAATCTCCTCCTGGGTAACGCGCGATTCCACCGCCATCTTCCTCCTTCGGCCCGGGAGACGTTCGCCCTGACCTCCGACCCCTGCAGCGAGCATGAGCGACTCGTCTCTCGCGAGGAAAGGCACGAGGTTTTATAGCGAGCGAGGGGTGGGGCGGGGCGTCGGCCGGCGCAAGCGCACTTCCCTGTGAGTGCAACCAGGGCGCGCCTGCGTATTGCCCTAGGGAGGGGGCGGGACGCGCGCATGCGCGGGGTCTGCCAGCGGGCTCTGGAAGTCTTGTTTGTTTCATGTCAGTGTTCACAGTGCAAGTAAGCTTAACGTACATTTTCATAAGAAATGATGAAAATATGTAGAAATGATGAAAATATGTAGCGAATACGAAAATCTTACGAACAGTCAGGTGATTTGTAAAAAAATAGGAGCAAGGTGGTGTCATTGGTGATAAGGTAGACCGTACTGCCCGGCCAGCAGAGAAATGAGGAGATGAAACCGTCTGTACTGGGGAAGGGAATGAATTGGACTCTTATGTCACACAAAATTCAAGTGAATCAGACCGGGCGGTGGTGGCACACGCCTTTAACCCCAGCACTGGGGAGGCAGAGGCAGGTGGATCTCTGAGTTTAAGACCAGCCTGGCTTGCACAGTGAGCACCAGGACAGCCAGGGCTCTCTGTAAAGAGACCATGTTGCACGAATTATTATTATTATTATTATTTTGGTTTTTCGAGGCAGGGTTTCTCTGTGGCTTTGGAGGCTGTCCTGGAACTCGCTCTTGTAGATCAGGCTGGTCTCAAACTCACAGAGATCCGCCTGCCCCTGTCTCCCGGATGCTGGGATTAAAGGCATCCACCACCAGTGCCCTGCCAGAATTCTAATTATTCTTAAAAACTTGGGTCAGCTATCTGGGGGGTGAAAGTTGAAGGATCAGAGAAGCAGAGCTGCCAGCCATTAGAGTTCTTACCTCTACCAATGCTCAGACCAATTGGGCGATCCTGTCCTCAGAAGGCCTCCTCAGATTGCACTGCTCCTCAGACTACAACGGCTCTGTCTCCTCCTGCCTTATACTCCTCCCTAGTGCTGGAATTTAAGGTGTGGGATCCCAAGTGCTGAGATCACCTTTGTATGAGCTGTTTCTCTTTAGGACTGGATCAATTTCCTGTAGCTCAGGCTGGCCTGGAACTCACAGAGACCCATCTACCTCTGTCTCCCAAGTGCTGGCATTAAAGGTGTGTGCCACCACTGCCTGGCCTCTATGGCTAACAAGTATGACTAGTTCTGCACTGTGATAGTCAGACAAGCTTTATTTGTTAGATCATAAACAAAATATCACTACACCATGTAACAAGAAAAAAAAAGACCCACAAAAAACAAAAACAAAAAGTGAATCAAGCCGGGCGTTGGTGGCGCACGCCTTTAATCCCAGAACTCGGGAGGCAGAGGCAGGCGGATCTCTGTGAGTTCGAGACCAGCCTGGACTACCGAGCGAGTTCCAGGACAGCCTCCAAAGCCACAGAGAAACCCTGTCTCGAAAAATCGAAAAAAAAAAAAAAAAGTGAATCAAAGACCTAACTGAAGTGCAAAACCAGGAGCTCTGGAGGAATAACCTAGACTATCTTCTGGATCTGTGACCAGAAATATTTACTACAGAAGTGCTTGCTGGGATAGATCGATAAAACCTTCACAATATGCTATACAGAGAAAAAAGTAAGACGCACAGGACCAAAGGTATCTGTGAGGCGTGTGACTGTGAAAGCAACTTTCCCAAGTACAAACGAGCCAAACAAAAAGAGCCCCAAGGAAAAATGAATCTTAGAAAAATCTGGGCAGTCGCTTTGAAAATGAAATCTAAAGCAGCAACAAGCACATAAGGTTCTGAAGTCCATTATTAATCCAGGGCGTTTGTTAAAGCTGTAGTGACCGCTTTTAATAGATTGGTTTTTAGAACAAATTGGATGTGCTGTATTGGAAAAGTTAGAACCAACAATAGTGCTGTTGGTCTTGGCACTTGTGCAGTGTGGTGGGAAGGCACGCTGATGCCCTGGATTACTCAGGGCTATGTGGTAGTTACCCTCATCCTAACAACTCCTTGGTATTAGACTCTCAGAATGTCTTTGCTCGAGTGTGTCCAGAGACATTGTAAGATTGCTCTTCACTTGCTCTTCTTACAGAGGACCAGACGGGTTCCCTGCACCTACATGGCTCCCTGTAACTCCAGACCAGGGGCTCTGATACCCTCTTCTGGCTTCCCCAGCCCTGCATGCTTGTGGTGCACACAGACAGACAAGCAGTCAAAACACCCATATGCATACAATAAAAATAAATCTTTCGAAAGGATGTAGAGTGTTCCTAACTTCAGACAGAGGCTGCACCAGTAGAAATGGTCAGTCAGGTCTAACACCCTCTCTCTAGGACCCCCTTCCCCAAACCACTGAGCTCCTAGTGGGTAACAGAGCCAAGGCAGGGTAGGACAATAGGATTCGCTTGTTACATCTCAGCCTAATTTCCCATCTAGTACCTTCATTAATCTGCTACAATCAGAGCCCCTTTCCCTAATGGAGACATCTCTAATAGAAGGATTTTCCTTAGTTCTGGAGCTGCTACAGTATTCCAGCTTCCTCCGCTGTGAGTGGCCAGTTTTATGAAAGAATATGATCACTTAAAATCCATCTCAGGATGTCTCATCTCTCTATCAAATCTGGAAAGATTTTTTATTACTTAAAACGTTAGCTATATGAGGCTTTGTGGGGTGGATTTTTCTGTTTTTGTTTGCTCGTTTGTGTTTGCTTGTTTTAGTTTCTCACTATGTAGACCAGGCTGCTCCTGGAATACACAGAGACTTGCTATCTCTGACACACCAGATGACTTAATGAATAACAGCTTTATAAGGAAATCCTAGTTCTCTTCGGAGGTAGAGGCAGGAAGATCAGGAGTTCAAGGACACCCTTGGCTATTTAGCAAATTAATGGCCATCCTACACGAGACTCTATGTGTGTGTGTGTGTGTGTGCATATGTGGCACTGCCTGTAATTCTAGCACTTGGGAGACCGAGACTGAAGGAGAATTATGAGTTCAAGGTCATCTTTAGCTACATAGTGAGTTTGAGGACAGCCTGGGCTACATAAAACCACCAGGAACAGTCTATGTCTATCAATGGGATGGTAATTCATTGAATTGTCATACACTATATTCTAGTCCATCATTTTAACCACTCGACCATGACTACTGTATACTATATTCTAGAAAAACTTTTAAACAATCAGAGCATGGTGGGGACAAGCCTGTAATGCCAGCATTGGAAGGCTGGAGTAGGAGGACTGTAGACCAGGATAGCCTTGAACAGAGATCCACCTGCCTCTACCTCCCAAGTGCGAGGATTAAAGTGTGTGCCACCATACCTGGTTTTTGGTTATTATTTTAATGGTATATTTAAGCTGTGAGTGGTATCACACACTTGTAATACCAGCAGCTAGGATGCTAATGTAAGAAGATTGCTATGAGTTTATGGTCAGTCTGGGCCAAGAGTGACCCTGTCCAAAAAAGGAGGAAGAGGGGTGCCCAGCTCAGTGGGTGAAGGTACCTGCAAGCAAATCTGACAGCCTAATTCAAAATCATCCCTAGGGCCCTCAGGGTAGGAGAGAGAATCAGCTCCCATAAGTTGTATACACACACACACACACACACACACACACACACACACACACAAGAGAGAGAGAGAGAGAGAGAGAGAGAGAGAGAGAGAGAAATTGTAAAAAGGAATGAAAGCATATTCATATTTTTGCTGTTGTGGAGCTATCTTTGTACATTGTATATATGTATTGCTCTTGTTAATAAAAAGCTGATTGGTCAATAGCTGGACAGGAAGAGATTGGGCGAAATAGTCTGACACAGAGAGAATGCTGGAGAGAGGAAGGGTAGAGTCAGAGGAGTCGCCAGCAAATGCAGGGAGAAGCAAGATGGGCATGCCATGCTGAGAGAAGGTACTGAGTCACATGGTAAAGTGTGCATGAGAAATATGGCTTAGAGCCAGGCAGTGGTGGCGCGCGCCTTGAATGCCAGCACTAGGAGACAGAGGCCAGCCTGGTCTACCAAGCTACACAGAGAAACCCTGTCTTAAAAAATCAAAATAAATAAATAAATGTGGGTTACCTTGAATATAAGAGTTAGTGACAAACCTGAGCTATTGGCTTGGCATTTCTGTTTAATATTAAGTCTCTGTGCCATCAGTTATTTGGGAGCTGGCAGATGGGACACAGAAACGTCTGCCAACAGTTTGCACCTTTCCGTGTCAAACACTAAACTATTGACGAAATAGTTCCACCAACAATAGAAAACACCTGTGGAAGCAGAACACGGTGGGGTGGCAGATGCCTTTAATCCTAGTACTTGGGGGAAAGAGACAGAAAGGTTTGAGTTTGAGGGTAACCTGGTCTACAGATGTGTGTAACAGCACTGGCTGTCCTGGAACTCACTCTGTAGACCAGAAATCCACCTGTCTCTGCCTCCCAAGTGCTGTAATTAAAGGCTTGCACCACCACCACCACTGGGGGCGGGAGCGGGGTGGGCGAGTGGGGGGTGCTTTTTGTATTTTTTGAGACAAGGTGTTGCCATATAACCTCAGGTGGCCTAGAACTTTCAGTGACCATCCTGACCAGGTGCAAACCACTACTACAGCAGAAATGCAAACTCAAACCACCAGGAGGTCACATTTCACCCTGCTAGACTAGCCAAAATGTGGAAGTCTGACAGGCAAGTCCTGTGTCAAGGCCATGGACAAGGGAGTTCTTACAGACAGTGCCCATCCAATTTGGAAAGGAAAGCTGACTATAGAAAAACTAGTCATATATACACCGCAAGACCCCACTATTCCATCCCTTACTTTTACTACAGAAGAAGCGCACCATGAACTTAGCATTCTAGCATCTCTTGAATGATAACTGGAAGCTGTTTTAAAAGTATATTCTGTTATGGTTTTGTTTTTTCGCTGTGTACCCTGGACTGTTCTGGGACTCGCTCTGTAGACCAGGCTGGCCTTGAACTTACAGACATGTGCCTGCCTCTGCTCCCCAAATGACTGGGATTAAAGGCGTGTGCCACCATTGCCCAGTTTAGGAGTTTATTCTTAAACTGAAATAACACCAGAGGTGAACGGGAACGAGGAACACTACGTGCTTTCAAGAGATGAAGAAAGCAAGTATGAATAGATGGAAGAGCAGTCAGTCTGTGCACATCTTCGTAGGAAATCTCATCAGTCCTTGCCTGGGGAAAGCAAGAGAACATTCAGAGTAGGGTTGCCTGAGGTAAGCTCAGTTGTACAGCTTGTGTGAGCCAGCTTGGCTTCTACAGTGCTACAATGTACCTCTACACAAGGGTTTGGGGTTTTCATTAATCTATCCAAATTTTGGGTTTTTAAAAAATGTACTTAAGCCGGGCGGTGGTGGCGCACACCTTTAATCCCAGCACTCGGGAGGCAGAGGCAGGCGGATCTCTGTGAGTTCGAGGCCGGGCTGGACCGATAGCCTCCAAAACAATACAGAGAAACCCTGTCTCGAAAAACCAAAAAAAAAAAAAAAAAAATGTACTTAAGATAAGATCCAGCAGGCAGGTAGTGTTCATTTTTTAAATGATACTTAAATTCCTTCCCCTGTTATATGATTCTAATTGTAAGTCTTTTGCAGACACATGAGGACACTGTTATCAATCAGTTAAAAAGGAAAATTCTGTAGCTATGAAAATGAAGAAACTCAAGGCCTTTTGTAGGTGACATTGGGGAGATTTCACTTCCTACAGACCAGTTTTCACTTGGGGATATTTCCAAATAACCCATTGTTTTTCCCAATACCATGAGACAATAAATCTGCCACTGTTCTTCAAGGAGATAGGACCAGGTTGGAAAGATTGCTGAGCAAACTTGGTAACTTGAGTTCAAGCCCTGAAACCCACAGAATGGTGGGGGAAAAAAAGAGGACCCAATGCACAAAACTGCCCCCTGATCTCCACTCATATGTGAGCACGCAAAAAATATAACAGCACATCTTTTCAAGGAAAACTAAGATCACTTTCAGCATCCTTCAATCCACTCCTCATCTTTGTAGGAGCAGCTCTAAACACAGCAGTCTTTAGATGTATACAAGCTCTCTCTCTGTACTGTTTGTTTATTTAGAATTTACACAAGCAAGCATTATGCTTCTGGATATGTATTCAGAAGAATTAAAGCAGGGACTCCACAGACACTTCCTTAGTGTGCACAACGGCATTAGCCACAAGAGTCAATCTAGAAAGTACCAATAAGGCACTTTCACAGAGGAAAAGACATATGCAGGCTGAGTTTTAATAGTGCTTTAATCCCAGGAAGCAGAGGCAGGAGCATCTCTGAGTTTGAGGCCAGCCTGGTCTACAGAGCTAGTTCCAGGACAGCCAGGGCTACACAGAGAAACCATGTCAAATTAATGAATAATAAGGAAGTCAGGGAGGGAGGGAGGGAGGGAGGGAGGAAGGAAGGAAGGAAGGAAGGAAGGAAGGAAGGAAGGAAGGAAGGAAGGAAGGACACACCACAGTGTATTTAGTTTTTAAAGGCAACGGCATTCTGGTACTTGCTTTGAAAACATGGTAAGAGAAGCAGGCAGGACGAAGGACAAACAGTACTTTATTCACATAGGCATTTAGAACAGCCAGATTCACAATACAGAGAGTAGAATAAAGGTTACCAAGGGCTGGGGTTGGATGCAGTGGGGCATTATTGCTTAATGAGTACAGAGTTTGTGTTTGAGATGATGGAAACTTCTGGCTACGGATTGTGGTATACAACACTGTGAATCCACTTAATGACATTCAATTACATGCTCAAAAGGATTAAAATATTAAAGTTAAACTTTATCATAATTTTTATAGAGACTTTATCATAATGCTAAAATTGAAAAGGGAACACCAGGGTTATATGACTCTAAGTCATCAAACTCTCTACTTCCTTTTCATAACACTCTTTTACTTAATGACATTCAATTGCATGCTCAAAAGGATTAAAATAGTAAAGTTAAACTTTATCATAATTTTTATAGAGACTTTATCATAATGCTAAAATTGAAAAGGGAACACCAGGGTTATATGACTCTAAGTCATCAAACTCTCTACTTCCTTTTCATAACACTCTTTTTTACATGTCCCTCAGCAGCACTAACAAGGAAAAGACAGAATGCACGGTGGGAGGTTTCTCCAGTACTCCACAGCCAGCTACCTCAATTTCATACTGTTAAGATTTAAAGGCCTGGCTGCTTCCTAATGGCAGAGAGCAAGCCTTTGTGAACACTAGGATGTGTTTCTGTAGAGACCGAATGAAATATTATCCATAGGTGCTCTGATTTACAAAAGGTCGGGGCTATGCATTTATGTCTCCCTGGGGGTTTATTGGGAGCTTCTTGAATTTCAAAAATGCCTCTCTTTCTCCCAGGTACATCTGTGGCAGGCAGAGCATGCAGAGTTCATAAGCACAGCATTGTGGGGAATCTGTCTCAAAGAGGCACAGGTAAACAACCTCAACAAAGCACATGCCTGTTACCAAGAGGAAAAAAGCACATTTCTATCCTCCAGATCAATGGTTCTAAACCTGTGGGTCATGATCCCTTTGGGGTTGAAAGACCCTTCCACAGGGGTCACATATCAGATATCCTACGTATTAGATATTTACATTATGAATCCTGACAGTAGCAGCATTACAGTTAAGAAGTAGCAACAAAAATAGTTTTATGATTGGGGCATCAGCACAGCATGAGGAACTGTATTAAAGGGCCACGGCATTAGGAAGGCTGAGAGCCACTGCTCTAGAAGAATTAAGCCCACTTTGTAGTTAACTCTGGGCATTCTATGCAATAGCAGGGTGAGTGATGTCACCATGACCAATCCTGATAATCCTAATGGCCTTGCTGAGCTACACTCACAGGCCCTTACAACAGACTGGGTAGGGTTTTTAAATCCAAAGTCCTCCATCAAAAAACTTTGAGGCACTACACTTGTGGTCACTATTCTTGGTTGTCAACTTGACCACAGTTGGAATTCATTAAAACCCAAAAATGGCAGAGCACAACTTTGGTTTTTTGAAACAGGGTTCCTCTGTGTGGCCCTGGCTGTCCTGGAACTTGATTTTGTAGAGCAGGCTGGCCTTGAACTGCAGATATCTACTTTTGGCTCCCAAGTGCTGGGATTAAAGCCATGGGCCCAGCTCTGTAAGAGATTTTTGCTTACTCATCTGAAGTAGGATCGTCCACTTCTATCCAGATCTTTGAGGTGCGTAGACTCATCTCTAATGTGAGCCACAGCTTCTGCTGGAGGACATGGAAGAAGGAAGCGTGCCTTGCCTGCTTGCTCTCACCTTGCGAGCAAGCCCATTCCTCCGCTTGCATTGGAGCCTACTTCTTTAGAGCTCTGCAGTGTACAGAAGACCAGCCTCATGGAATCAGCAACTACTGGACGCTTGAACCTTCCAACCACAGGCAGCACTCTAATAAATCCCCTTTCTATATATTTAAAAAGATATTCATTCTCTAAGTTCTGTTACTCTAAAGAACCATGACTAATACACCATTGTAATTGAGAATAGTCAATTTCCATGCTAAGGTCCTGCTGACCCTGCCACACCCCTAACTCACATTTCTGCAGCCAAGAGCCTCCCCTTTGTCCAGGACAATCAACCCTGCTGTCTCCTTAGTCTAAAGCAGTCTCCCTCAGGCTCCTGCCCAGATGCAGCCTGAATTCACCCTGGTACAAAAGCTCTGTCCTCGGAGAAGCATTTCCTAAATTCTTTATTGAGATACAGTTTCAAAGGTGCTCCAGGCTGCCTCAGATATGGTGAAACTGTCTTTGGCTCCTGATCCTCCTGCTTCTGCTCACCAAGTACAGGGTTTGTCAGCATGTGCCACCAAACCTAGCTCTTCTTTTTTTTTTTTTTTTTTTTTTTTTGGTTTTTCGAGACAGGGTTTCTCTGTAGCTTTGGAGGCTGTCCTGGAACTCACTTTGTAGACCAGGCTGGCCTCGAACTCACAGAGATCCGCCTGCCTCTGCCTCCCGAGTGCTGGGATTAAAGGCGTGCGCCACCAACGCCCGGCTTTAGCTCTTCTTTTTTAAGATAAAACTTTCCCTTCCTCTTCTGCTGAGCCTTCCTGGGTTATTTCTCAGAGCATCTTTGCTTTCTGACTTTCTTGTCAACATCCCTTGCTAGAATGTGTGCCCCAGAGCCCAGGCTGTGGCTCAGACCTGCATTCCAGCTCCTAGCCTTCCTCAAAGCCTCGCCCTGGGTACGTGTCTGGGTGGTGCATGTACTGAGAGATGGGTTGGTGGGCCAGGTCCACTAAAATAGGCCCCTGGATGTGGGCTTTGGAAACCCGTTTCTCCAGACGGCGTCTCAGGTTGTTGTGAAGTCCTTTTGCAACAGTGTATCAGTAACAATGCAACAGTGTATTTAGTAACCATCTTTTTTTTTAATAGATGTTAACCCAGAGGAACAGAATAAAGTCCATTGAAAGAGTTGGAAGTCTCTCATTTCATCCCCAATTTTAATCATTTGAATGAATTGTTTTTTTAAATTTTTGAGTTGTGTATTCAATAAATTCAATAAACAGATAAGCAGTGATACACCAAATAGTCATTATAAAGTTTTTTTTAATAAATGTTTGTTTAGAATAAAATGCTGTTACAAAAACCAGAATTGGCCGGGTGGTGGTGGCGCACACCTTTAATCCCAGCACTCGGGAGGCAGAGGCAGGCTGATCTCTGTGAGTTCGAGGCCGGGCTGGACCGACAGCCTCCAAAACAATACAGAGAAACCCTGTCTCGTAAAAACAACAACAACAACAAAAAAAAAAACAAACCAGAATTGGAGTCTAATAAAACAAGGCACAAGGTTTAAGGCAAAATTCACAAAAAAAGGTATATAAAGTTAATATATGATCATATTTTTTCATGTCCTTTGGGGGAGGAGGCACAAGAATTTAAGTAGTTTAAACATCTTTTTAGACTATTAGCCATTATAAGGTAAAATACATGTGATACAATAGAACTATATCTTTTCCAGAAAACAAACTCCATTATTAATTCGCATCTCTGAGCTAAATTTTACTTATGTATATACTTCTACAGATATTTCTAACACATTAGATTTAGATACTGAAATTTATAGAAGTCAGCATACATAATAATTTGACCAAAGTAAAAACACCATCTTCTCAGCACCTTTTGTTGTTATTCGAAGCTTCAACTTTATGAAAAGCTAAGGCTTGTTATGTAGAAAGGTTTTTCCATTATTTTCTGTTTCTAACAAACACCAACTGGGCTCAGAATGCCATCTAGCTGCTGGGGGCTGAACCCAGGTCCTCTTGCTGTTAATCTTGAATATATTTTTATATGTTTGTTTTTCACTTAGGTTTTTTGTTTGTTTGGAGAAGTTGTTTGTTTGTTTGTTTGGCTGGTTGGTTTTAAGGGTATCCCTGTATATTCTTGACTTGCCTAAACTCCGTATGTAGACCAGGCTGACCTCATATTCATAGAGAACTGGCTGAGATTACAGAGATGTGCCACTATGCCCAGCTTTTTGTTGTTGTTGTTGTTGATGTTGTTTGTTAATCTTAAGTCTCTTACCAGCTCTGAGTTGTAATTGAGAAGTTGGGAATACTAAAATACCATATAACCTATTATAATGAACAAAATCATCTGAAACAATTGGTATAGTGTCTACCATAATAAAGTACTCCAAGACAATGAGCCTTTATAATCATCATCACTGTATCGTATGCAGATTCTGCGCCTTGGGAAATGAGGCAGGAAGACTGTGATGTGAATCTTGCCAACTTGATGAGACTTGGAATTACTATGGAGACATATTTCTGTGTATGCCAAGAATTACTTAGATTAGATTCATTAACAAGACCCACCTTAGTCAGGTGATGGTGGTACACACCGTTAAACCCAACACTCAGGAGGCAGAGGCAGGCAGGTAGATCTCTGAGTTCAAGACCAGCCTGGTCTACAGAGTGAGTTCCAGGACAGCTAGAATAACCCTGCCTCAAAATAAACAAACAAACAAAAAACAAAAACAACAGTAACAACAAAAATCAAACTAAATTGACAGTTGCCATTGAATTTGGGCATGACGCAGCTGGACAGTTGTGTTAGTAATGTAGGACTCCTTTTTTTTTTTTTTTTTTTTTTTTTTGGTTTTTCGAGACAGGGTTTCCCTGTGGCTTTGGAGGCTGTCCTGGAACTCACTTGGTAGACCAGGCTGGTCTCGAACTCACAGTGATCCGCCTGCCTCTGCCTCCCGAGTGCTGGGATTAAAGGCGTGTGCCACCAACGCCCGGCCAGTAATGTAGGACTCTTATGGGTCAACTGCTGGCAAGAGACAGCTCAGAGCCATTCATATCATACTCAGGGCTTCTAGAGTGTGAGCAGAAGCTGCAAAGCCTATTGAGGACTTGGCTCATTAGCAGCATAATTCCACTATTACAGCTTTCTGTTGGTGGAAGGAAGTTACAAGAGTGTACCAGACTCTGGAAAGTGGAGGCAGCACACACACACACACACACACACACACACACACACACACACTTCTTTTTCTTTATGTGTGTGTATGTGCAGATGCATACACTTGTATTCCTTGAAGAGGTGTTTTAATATTTATAAAATATTATTATGGTTATGTGTGTGAGTGTATTCCAGGTATGTGCAGGTGCTCTCAGAGGCCAGAAGAGGGCATCAGATCCATTGGAGCTGTAGTTGCAGGCTGGTGTGAGTCACTCAGCTTGGGGGCTGGAAGTCAACTCAGGTCCTCTGGAGAAGCAGTGGAGTTCATCACCTCTGAGCCAACTCTAGCCCCTTCTCTCTGTCTCTGTCTCTATCTTATGTCTGTCTCAGTCTGTACCCCCCCGTGTGTGTGTGTGTGTGTGTGTGTGTGTGTGTGTGTGTGTGTGCGCGTACCATGGCATGTGTGGTAGTTTGGATGCAATTAACCCTCATAGGGAGTGGCACTATTAGGAGGTGCGTTGGAGTGGGTATGGCCTTATTGGAGGAAGTGTGTCACTGTGGGGGCAGATTTTGAGGTTTCCTATGCTCAGGATATTGCTCAGTGTGTCAGTTGACCTCCTGTTGCCTGCAAGATGTAGGACTCTCAGCTCCAGCACCACATCTGCCTGCTCGCTGCCACGCTCCCCTCCATGACGATAATGCACTGAACTTTGAACTGTAAGCTACCACCTCAACTAAATGTTTTCTTTATAAGAGTTGCTGTGGTCATGGTGTCTCTTCACAGCTTGTGGAAGTCAGGACAACTTGTAAGAGTCTATCCTCCCCTTCCACCATGTGGATCCTAGGGATCTGACTCAGGTTGTCAGCCTTGGTGACAAACACTGAGCCATCTCACTGGCCCTGGTTTCAGAAACACAGATTTTAACCATGGCATGACTAGGAAGGAATGTGCATGACTTTTTTTTTTTTTTGAGGCGGGGCCTCACTCTCTATTCCTGACTGGCCTAGGATTTACAGATTCTCTCACCTTTGCCTCCACCACACCCGACCCCATGAACGCCTCAGTTATGTTTTGTTGTTTTTGAGGGAGCTCGGGCTGACCTCAAACTCTGTCCTTCAGCCTCACTCCCAGATGTTGGGATTCCAGGAGTGCACTGCCACACCTCACCTTGCTCTCTGAACAGCAAAACTGTGCTTCCCCTCCAGGCTGTCTGAGAAGATTTGGGCCACAAATTGAGGACAGCTTGCTGACAGAGAGATCTCTGTTCACCTTAGTTCTCCTCCAAGGTACTGAAGACAGTTTCTTTCTCCAAGAGGAGCCCAGCTGGCTCACCTCCCACGGGGCCTCCTCTGCCACAGGTGGGGACCTCAACACATCGGAGAAGCTGGGGACTCTCAGCAGCCACCTTCCCCTTTTCCATAACACTCAGAGGCCTCTGGAAGGTCTGCTTGGCCGTATTATTGTTTTTGTTTTTCCCAGAGTATTTTGTTGTTGTTAACCCCCCTCCATGAGTGCAAGCATGTGTGTGCCACATGGAAGTCAGAGATTCTGGAGAGAGACGGTGGGGGAAGGGGGAAGGGGAGGGAGGGGGAGGGGAGGGAAGGAGAGAAGGGAAGAGAGACTTTTTTCCTTCCTTCTGATAATTCTAGGGATAAAACTCAAATCATCAGGTGTATTACTATTCTATTACTATGTTAAAACACCATGACCAAGGCAACTTACAGAAAGTAGAGTTTGTTTGTGGATACAGTCCCAGAGGGATAATAGTCCATCACAGCAGGGAAACGTAGTAGCCTGGAGGCAGGAGAGTCAGCTGAGGGCTCACATCTTGAGCCACAAGCAGAAAGCAGAAAGAAGGAACCAAAATGACCTGAGTCTTTAAACTCTGAAATGACACACATCTTCCAACAGGACAACACCTCCTAAGCCTTCCCAAGAATTACCATCAACTTTGTATTCAAATGTGCAAGACACTGAAGACATCATTCAAACCATCACTCCAGGCTTAGAGGCAAGTGCCTTTACATGCTCAGCCATCTTGCCAGCCTTGGTAGAGATTATTTTTTGTCCGTTGGTGCTAAACAAAATAGCCTTCCTGTCTTAGGGTTTCTATTGCTGTGAATAGACACCATGACCACTGCAACTCTTACAAGGAAAACATTTCATCAGGGTGGCTCACTTACAGTTTCAGAGACTTGGTCCGTTATCATAATGTGGCGAACATGACAGCATGGAGGCAGTCATGGTGCTGGAGACGCAGCTGAGAGTCCTACATTTTGCAGGCAACAGGAAGTCAGCTGAGACACTGGGCAGTCTTCTGAGCATAGGAAACCCACAGTGACACACTTCCTCCAACAAAGCCTCTCCTCCTAATAGTGCCACTCCCTATGAGGTTATGGGGCCAATTACATTCAAACTACCACTCTTCCCCTGTGGAGAATGGAAGGGATAATTATTTTATTTTTCATTAGAAAATCAAGAATGTTTCTGACTAACTGCTAACAGAGCTTCCTGACCTTTCTTTTCTGAGCATTTCACATTGTGTGTCCTGAGGAATTCCACACCCAGATCCCTGGGCTCTCTAAGGATGATCACAGGCTGTGCGTGGACAATAGGGGCTGATAGTTCTCTGCAGTCTTGAACATTCACACACCGCGGACATTTCCACACTGTCTACCAACAGGGTGTAGTTTCAACTACACGGTTTTAAGTGACTCTTGTTGAAGAGGTGGAAGGTTATGGAAACATATATAAAGAGAGAAGATCGTCTACAGCCATACCACCCTGGACACGCCCAGCCTTGTCTGATCTCGGAAGCTAAGCAGTGTCGGGCCTGGTTAGTACTTGGATGGGAGACAGAAAGGAGATCTAAAATTAGAGCAGAAGGGGGGATCCTGCTTGGAAGAGTCACAAAACAAGCACACTGGGTTCTGTTGAGAGAAAAGAACAGGAAGGTTAAGAAGGGAATTGTGTGGGAGGCTACATGACATTAGTGCACTGTTGTGGCACCTGGCTTGACCTTCTGAACCTCATGATGTAGAGGTCAGGCAGGCAGAGGACCTCAGTTCTCTACCAGAGTCCTTTGTTCCAAGATGTTCCTTACTGTTATTCACTTTG